TCATGGACCTGAGCGGCGACGGAAACTTGTCGGACATATCATACCAGTACTACATAGACTCTGGGAGCTCTCCCAGTGGGCGGATTACTACTCCACGGCCGCCGCACGTATCTATACCCATAGGTGGGTACTTTGTTGCATAGAGTAGATAGCATGGTTAGAATACACACATAGAACGCAAGCAAGCAAGCCAGTAAAAAGCTACGAAAGCCGGATCCCTACTGAGCCACACTCCATTTTTTCCATGCCATGGTCCCTCCCTCCCTCCCTTCTCTCCCGCTCCCTCGCAGGAAGTTTGAAAGGAAGGAAACGAGATCAGCGGGTTCTGCTGCTGCTGCTTGCTGCTTGCTTGCTTGCTTGCTGCGTGCTGCAGCTGCACGCGGATTTTACATACGCACACCATTCTGCGTGACGCAGCCCCAGCGCCCTGCAGGGCTCGTGCATCATGGCATGGGTGTGGGGGGGGGGGGGGGGGGGGGGAAAGCCTGGGGGGAGGGGGGAGGGGGGAGGGGGGAGGGCGTGCACGCTGCAGAAATAAAGAAATATATATGATCTATATACGATCAATACTCTACCTACGTGTATCTCGCCGGCACCAATGGATTTTGCAGTGCTAGGTAGTAGCCTGTAGGGGTGGTGGATCGCTTCAGCGTTTTGGGATTCCGGATATCCTTGACTTGGTCGTCTTTGGTTTGGTTTGGTTTTTTGGGGGAGGGGGAGTGGGTGGAGGTGGGTAAGGATGGTGATGAGGGGTTCCTTCTCACGCTCGCAGCTCGGCCATCGGCCTCTTTGCTTTGCTTTCCTTCCTTCTTCTCTTTCTTTCTTCACGTTGGCTCGCTCGGGTAATGTAAATACTAGTACTGGTACGGTAAACGACTGCTCCATGCAGAAGCGGAAGCCGACCGGTTCGTTCACATGGGAGGACGAAGAAGAAGGACGATGGGGTTTGGCGAACGGACAAAAGAGCCCACCTGTGAGAGATCGTACGTATATACGGTAGGTACATCACATACATTTGACGACTGCAAGTCTGCAAGTCTGCAACGGCAAGAGGGGGAGGGTCTGTCTATCTGTCCGTCCGTATGGTCCGTATGGTCCGTGTGGTCCGTGTAGTCTGTCCGTCTGTCTGTCTGAGGTCTCGGGTTTTGGGTATAAGGCTGCAGAGGTGGAGCGGGAACCTTCCTTGCTGCAGGCGTTTTAGTGTGGCAGACATCCATCCATCGCGGGAAGACGCAGTTTGTGCTGAGTACAGTATCGCCGTCACGCGTTTCCTTTTTGTTGCCCACCACCATCAGTGGCCGCCACCACTGAGTACAACCATCGTCACCGGCCGGCTCGAGCGCTCGCTCGATCGATGACGTTTCACTTCTTACCAGCTGCTTCCTCCCTCCTCCTCCTCTTGTTCCCCCTTTGTGCGAGGGCAGACGGGCAAAGCGGCCGTGTGAGCTCGCGGGGGGATGGGGGAAGGAAAGTTGTTGGACGGAAGCTGGAAGCTGGAAATGAAGCACTGTACCATACGATGATGTTGGGTGGGTAGGTGTGTGGTCGACAACAGCCCAAGCTCCAGGCGCATGATCTGGCATGATCTGCTGTAACGATGGATTGACTTTGTAAGTTACCTACCGTATCTACTGGAGCATTGCGGTGCGTGCCCCCCGCTATACGGTAGTATAGGTATAGAATAGAGCAGGTATATGGTAGGTATAGCCACAGTGTCGTGTGTATGCTACGAAAGTCAACATGGCCGTGAATGTTTACTACGGTACCGCCGGAGGGGACCATACGTTACGGTTACAGTTACAGGAGGAGGGTGAGCCCTTACCCGTCTCTCCGTCCCGCGTCCCCCGTCCCCCCGTCCCCCCGTCCCCGTCGCCGTCCCCCGTCTCCGTCCCTTCCCCGTCCTCCATCGCCCGTCCCCGTCGCCGTCCCTTCCCATCCCCCAACCGCGACCCCAACCCCGCGGAACGATGCAGAAGTCCGGAGAATTCTTTTATTTATTCTTTTATTTATTTATTTCTTGTTATATTTCAAGGGGGGGGGGGGAGAAATCAAAGTTGCAGCGCATGGTGCAGCAGGCAGCATGCGTGCGTGCTTGCCTGCTTGCTTGCTTGCAGATGCGAGTTTCGCGGCGGTCGGACGGGCGTTCGGGCGTTCGCAATAACACCACCACCACCATCCATCACACAAACCTAGAGTGCCGAAGCACTTGCTTGGGTATGTAGGCGGATCTTATCTGCCCTGTAGATACATGATACATAAAGTACATACGTGAGATAGGTGGGTATGGGCGCTCGTCCGTCCGTTCGTTCGCCTCGCCTCTGTCGCGCACGGTCGGTTTGTATGTATATAATATGTACCTAACAATCCGCCCGGGTGTCGGTATGTGTGTACCTGGGGAAGCACTTGGTTACTTGTAGAGTAGATGGATACATCTACGCACTCTACAGTACGGCACGGTGGTAAGCAACTACTGACTTGATGTATGTACTCTAGAGGCACCATGATTCCGCCGCCGCAGGCCCGCAGTACTCTAGGTACTCTACTCTACTCTGGGAGGGGAGTTCCTACTGCGCCCTGCCCTGCCCTGCAATCAAAATCGATTAATTAGAGTACCTAGAGTACCCAACACGGATCACATCACACGCAAGGCACAATATGGGAATAGGCAATGCAAGGAAGCAGAAGGGAAGCGAAAGAGGAAGAAGCAGGCTGCGGAAGGGATCCGGGCTCCACGAGTGACGAGTGACGAGAGTGACGGAGATGATCGATACGATCGATACGAAGCTCCCCCTCCCCTTCGCCGCCGCCGCCGCCGCCGCCAGTGTCGACGCCGTTGGCGCCTCCCCCTGGTATCTCCGACATCTCTCGACGGGAGACGGAGATGGAGAATTGTAATGAGAAGGGGTTGGAGAACGAGAGTGGCGGCGGAGGAGCAAGTGGAGGAGGAAGATGAAGAAACCAGTGTCTCAGCGCGGAGTCACCGGGATAATTACGCGAAGTACGTCCGTTGCCAGGGCATCGTATAGGTACTGGGTACTAGGTAGTAGGTATATCGTTTAGATTCCCATGCCGCGTTTGTCATGCTGTTTTTAGGTGGTGATGGCCAGCATAGACCATGGTGCCAGTGCCAGTGCCAGTGGCACTTGGTCTTTTTTTTTGTGTGATTTCCGATTGCCTTTTCGGGCCGGGGAGGTGGTGGAGACAAGGAATCCCCTCCCCCCCATCCATCGTCCCAACTTTCACGTCCTCAGCTGCGCAGGTGAATGGAGGGGTGTGCGTGCGTGCGTGGGTTATCGATATCATGATCACAGGTAGGGTTGGGGGGGGGGGGGTCTTGAGTTGATTGATCGATTGTCCGATTGTCCGATTGTTCGATTGTTCGATTGTTCTTGCCGCCATCGAGAACACTTCTTTGCCATCCATCCATCCGTCCATCTACATACGAGTATCTATCGCGAAGGCGAAGCCCTTCTTTCTTTCTTTCTACCAGTCATACCGGTACTCTAGAGTGGATGTTCGAATCCGTCACGGATGCGCGGTGATCCATCACCCAGCAGCCACCAGCGTGCGGTGATAAGTAGAGTACAAGCGCGGTATTATTCGGCAGCACTAGTTGGGCTGTGGCTGGCTCGCTGGCTCGCTGGCTGGAGTTATCGAAACCTCGGGAAACGAAACCCCCCAACCCCCAGTAACTAGCCGTGGCCCGTTAGTTAGCTGGTTAGCTGGTTAGTCCCGTGGAGGAGAGGGGGAGGGAAGATGCGAACGAACGAAAGCCACCGGTCCTTTTCTATCCATATCTCGCGCAACAATTACCACTTGTCGCGCTTGTAACGCCAAAATCACTACCGGCGCACCTACCATACACACCTAACCACCTAACCTACCCACCTCACCTACCTATCGCACATGCCCTGAGTTATCGGCAGTGATGGATAGAGTAGAGTGAGCGAATACCCACACGGATCCGGCCAATCCAATCCCCTCTCCTCCCCTCGCGAAACTCCTGGATCGATACTCTCCACTCTGCTCTAGATACTCCACTCTAGTTTCTGATGGCCTCGAGCGTCACGCGTGGATGGCACTAACGAGCTAACGGGTAGAACCTTTTTGGCTGGTTGGCTGGCTGGCTGGCTTTCTAACGCAGGCTCTCCCACGCAGGTTCCGAAGAGAAGTGAAGTGAAGGGAAGGGGAAGTGAAGGGGAGGGGAAGTGAAGGGGAGGAAGGAGTTGCCTTTTCCCATGTGCGTTGTAGTAACGCCGCCGCCGACGCCGCCGACGACGACGATGACAACGCAGGAGGAGCCGGCTCACCTCTTGGATGGGTGGGCGGATGAGCATTCGTCCTACCGTTTTGGGCCCGGCGAATCGGCCGCTCCCTTGCTTCGTTCGTTCGCTCGCGACGGCGCTTGCTGGGTACCTGGGCAGTGGGCACTTCTAGTCGCTCGCTCCGGCGTCACGTCAGCGGGCAAAAATACCTTGCGAACGGGGTGGGTCGGTCGGTCGGTCGGGAGAAGGAAAAGAAAAGAAAAGAAAGAAGGTGGCAGGCAGGAAGGCAGGCAGGTGGAAGGGCGGCCAATTCGAAACAAAATTAAACCTTCAACTACGCCGCCACCGTGTGAATGGGAGTGTCGTGGTCTGTAGAAGTACGTTTCGACTGCCTGCTGACTGGTCGTGCGAGGGCACGAATGATGAGCTGATGATGGTGATGATTGTGATGTTCGGTATCACAGCCGTCTATCTAGAGTATTCTACGCCAGCCACGCCAGTCCGACCCCGTGCTACTGTCGTTGTTGTTGTCATTGTAGACGCCTGGGAATGTTTGTTTCTCTGGCCAGACAGATGCTCCAGTGTCCACCACCACAGCACGGGACAGCACAGTATCAATTATTACGGTACATATTCTTCAGAAAGATCTCCGGAGCTGTCGCTAGCCGCTCCCCTCCAATCAACGCGGGGGCTTCACGGGGCGCCGCGGAGCTAATCACCGTGCGCCGCTGGGGGGGCATTTCTGTCTCACTCTGAAGCAGGCAATCCGGCGTGGGACAAGTCTCACTTCCCTTTCGAGGTCACGCCAAAATCATAATAACAGTGATAATGGTGATGATGATAATCCCCACACTATCATACCGGTACTACCATGTCTGTAAGTAAGGAAGTACAGGTACCTGGTACATACACACTGCGAAAGCTATGTAGATATCCCATCAATCGGCGCGGTCCACGCGATTATCTGGCCCTCCCAGCCAGCTGCCGGCGGAGTCTCGCCCGCTAAACTACTTCTCTAGATGTCAACAATTGATCACGGAGGTTCATCTTTCGTCTTGCTGCTGGTGGTGGTGGTGGGCGGGTCGGTTGGGTTTCAGGCTTGCTTGCCCGCTTGCCTGTGCTTGCCTGTGCTTGCCTGTGCTTGAGCTTGTGTGTGCTTGCTGCCTCGCTCGCTCGCTCGTCTCCCCTTGCAGGTTGCCCTAAGTACCCTTTTGGCAACTAGAGTACATGCTTACCTAGAGTACGGTACTTGCCTTACCTACCCTACCGGTATCATCCAAGTACTCTACACACTAGTAAGCGTTCGTTTTCACGGTGGCGGCAGGGCGGCGTAGTTGATGGTGGTGGTGGCGGCGGATGGGGTTGTTGTTGTGGTTGCGGTTGTTGTGGTTCTGGTGGTGGTGGTCCTGTCCTTCCTGACTGTCCTTCCTGGTCCCGTCCTGTCCTTCCTGGTCCTGGCCGGTGGGTTCGTTGGGCTGGCTGGCGGTGGACGTACGATGCCATCCATCCAAGACAACCACCGATACCTATCCCGTTCGTTCTGTGCGATGATGAAAACGATGATGATGATAATACTGGTATCGATGATGGTAGGTTAAGCGTGTGCGATGTTGCGGCAAACCTCCAGCATGGTATCATACCGGTATGTATTATACCTACTCTGCCTATCTACCGTACCGTGTCCTACCATACTTCCTTCTATCCCACCTTGCCTGCCTGCCTACGTGTTGTCGTGACCGGTATGTAAGTTCATACATACATAACTCTACCACACTCTACTCACTCTATTGCCATGCCATACGGCCGTGACATGACCGCCGATGGATGGATGTCTATCGCTTCTGGCCTGCCGTTCACGGCGTTGCGTGATTAAATGGGGACGATACCTGCCCGCTTGCCCGTCTGCTTGTTTTTCCGTCGTGTTAGTCCTCGTCGACCACGACGACTACGACGACTACGACGACGACGTCCATCGTCCCCACCATGGCCACCACCATCACCATCAGCACCCCCGTCTCTCACGGACATGCCCCGGTTCATCACCAATAAGAGGCACGATAATGCTTCCATATTTACACACGCAATCCTTGGAGGGTGGAGGGGACCTTGCCAGCGCACACTCCGCCCTAGCCTCTTTCTGCATCCGACCTACTCTGCGACAGGCCAAGCTTGCTGTGTTATTTTTTTTCTCGTTCCTCTCTGTCTGCTCTCTGCTCTCTCTCTGTCTGTGTGTTCTTCGATCCCCTAACCCTGCTCCGCTCCCTCTCTCACTCTCTCGCACAAGAGCACGCTATACCGTGAGCGGCCTAGCCGTGCGTGTCGTCCCTTCTCGTCGCTCGACCAAAACCTCGCGGAGTCGCTGCCCCCCTCCCCCCTGCCCATCTCTGCCAATCCGAACACGGCACCTTCGCCCCAGCCAGCCAACCAGCTGTCCGCTGCTCGCCGAGCCCTGATCCCCATTCCCTGCTCGCCCTCCTTCCTCCCTCCCTCCACACCACCTACCCCTTCCCTTCACCCCCCCCCGACCCGAACAGAACGGCTTGCGAGTGTCTGTGTGGTATGGGTTGGGGTGTGGATGCGTGTGTGGGTGGGCGGGTGGTGTGGGAGGGTGTGTGCTGGCTGGGGTTCGCCAGTCCTCCCCTCCCATCCATCCATCCATCCATCCATCCATCCATCCATCCATCACTCCTCGCTTGGGACAAGGGACAAGACAGGCCGACCGCAGACAGTGGGGGCTTTTTCTTGGGGAGTGGAGGTGGGGGAGGGGGCTCAGTCAGTCAGTCAGAGACAAGGTGAGTGAGATCGAGTGCAACGGAATTCGATTCGAAGGGGGCAGCCATTGCGATTGGGGTTTTTTTTTTCTTCTTCTTTACTTTTCCTCTGCCTTTCCTTTGCCGTTTTCCTTTTACTGCCTTTTTACTTCTTTTTTTTATGGGGGGGGGCTTTCGTTCTTGACGGGTTGAGGTGAAGTCGAAGCAGTCGCGCGTTTTTGGCTTCCCGGGGTTTCTGGCTGGTCCGGATGGCACTAACCGCCGGCACGGGTAGACTGCCAGTGGGGATGCAGAGAAGAGTGGGTGGGCAGTGGGAATGTGGTGGGCACTGGGAAGTCTTCCTCCTCGTGCTGCTGCTGCTGCTGGTGGGCATAATTATCCTACTGACCGCACACCCGTACCGGACCCATACGGCAATTAACTATTGAGTTCAAGGCTGCTCGCCCGCTGCTCCATCCTGTGCTGCATGAGAGACATTCAGGCTCAAGGCTTCATCGGCATCAGCATCAGCATCAGCACCATCTCATCACTCAGCAAGTGGCATCAGTGCTACCGGCTCGGTGGTGGTGGTATTGGTGGTAGTAGTGGTGATGGCGGCGGTGGTGGCGCCATGGGCCAATGTACTGTGTACCTTGAGCATCACGGAGCAGAGTACCACAGAGCAGAGTATCACCGCCTGCGTGGGTGTCGAGCAATCGGTAAACAGCATATCTCGAGTAAACGTACATGCATCGGGCGTGCGTGCGAGTGTGCGAACGAACGGCTGGCTGGTTGGAGCTCGCCTTCTTGCAGTTTGCCATTGCCGCTGCCGCAGCTGCTTCTGCTGCTGCTGGTGTGGATTGGATGGACATAAGCTTGTTTCGACGGGGGGCGGCATGAGAACGGCGGAATCCCATTTATTTTCGAGGTCCGTCACTGGCCGGCGGCCGCCCATCCCATAATCAACCTTCAAGCCATGGCCATCGGCGCATTATTATTACATACATCCTATCGTCTGCCATACTGCTACTGCTACTGCGGCGCGCGGGCGTGATGGTAGTGAAGCGTCCGTGTGATTGAGCAGTAGTGGTAGTATGTAGTATCTAGCAGTAGTACTATGTAGAATACCTATCGGCCAGTGATCCTCCAACCGCATGCGTAGATGGAGTATGGAGATACTCTATCCGTATGTACTCTACTCTCTCTGTCTCTCTGTCTCTGTCTCTCTCCATCACTCTACTACGGTACTCTACTCGCATCCATCTGTCCTATCGATATAGATTGCGGGTCGTCCGTCCCGTGTGCTTCTTTACTTGCTTCCGTAGGGTAGAGTAGAGTACATGGAACACGGTGGGCTTTCTTTCTTAGTCCTTCGGCGGTTGCATCTCACACGTCCTCACTCCCGAGCGTGCGAACGGTCAGAGGGGAAGGGAAGCCCGCCGACTTGTCAGCGCCGGTATGTATGTAACAAGTAGTCTCACGCAGACGGGTAGTGGGGGGAGGGTAGTGGTGGTGTTGGTGGTGGCCGTAGTGGCAGTGGCAGTGGTATCTAGTGGTAGTGGAGGTGGGCGTTGGATTTCTGGGTTTGATGGTTGCGCTGCTGCCAGCTGCCAGCTGCTGCTCCTCGTGCTTCTGCTTCTGCTTCTGCTTCTGCTTCATGCTCTCCAGACTTTTTTTCCCCGTAGTCTGTACCTGCCTTTGTGCTTTGGTGGATTTCGTTCGTTTGTTTGTGTGTTTGTTACTCGAACTCGAACTCGGCATCGGCATCGGCGGTAGGTATTTAGGCAGACAGACAGGCAGCCAGCAGCATACTCTAGCCAATCTCTGTGTGCGTGCTTGCTTGCTCGCTTTCTTGCTTGCTTACCGGTAAAAATCACAATACTCCGGGTCCTCTGCTGCTACAGGAAGGACTCGTGGAGAGAGGCGAAGTAGAAGCCGGAGCAGAAGCCGGAGGGATGGGAGCAGACAGACGGGCAGGGCGAAGCAGCCGCTAGAGCGAAGGGACACGGGGAAAGAGGTGATGGTAACCGGAGCGAGAAAAGTCACCATAGAATCCGCCTGAAGCTTCGGGTATATCCAGTGTCCCATCGAAAGTCAAAAATCACCTCCAGTCAGCCCGCTCGCCCCCAATTCCGCCGCCCCACCTCCCCCGCCACTCCGCCGGCCGCCCCCCCCCCCCCCCCCCCCCCCGCCCGTCGAATCCTCCCCCTTCGCTGCCCCTCCCGCCCTTGTAAAACGAAAAGGGCAGAAGAAGAAGACGAAGAAGAAAAGGAAGTAGATGTAGGAGAAGAAGAAGAAGACGAGCGGGATTGAGAAGAAGAAGAAGAAGAAGACATTGCTGTTGGATAGCCGTTATTTATCTCTCTTTACTTATTTCATTTTCGACTGCTCGTCCTGCTCTCTCTCCGCAGCCGCTTTCTTCTGCTCGTCTCCACCGCCCACCCCCCCCCCCCCCCCCCCCCCCCCCCCTCCTCTCCCAATACCGTACCGTACCATACCACCACCACTGCCACTACCACCACCTCCACCACCTTCTCCTCCTCTTCCTCTTCCTCCTCCTCCTCCACCACCTCCTTCGCCCACTACCACCTCCTCCACCACCCTCCCATCTCGATCCCTGTCCCGCCCAGCCATCCACCAACCACAGCCGGTCCAGCCTCTTCGTCTCCCTCCTCCTTTTCTTCTCCCCACACCCCCAAAAAAGTCCCATCGTCCAACTTCCTGTTGTTGTGTGCGCTACTCCCTGCAAGTCGCCCCGACCCGCAGCAGCGACTTCAAAGTCTACATTCGCTCCGCCTTTCCTCCTCCATCTTCTCGTTCAACCTCCTCAACCACCAACTATCAACATCACCACCACCTCCACTACCACCACCACCGCCATCAACACCACCGCCCCTCCCCGTCGTCCGTGCTCACAGCCTCTCCACACGACACACCCTCTCTCTCCTCTCCAAAACACCTCTCCCTTCCCCACCCAAAAAGAAGGTGCTTCTCTTCCGCCATCCATTCATCCAACCTCCCCCCGTCGGCCATTAGTTTGTCGCCAATTCTGCCCCCCCTCCCAACCCCCCAATTCCCCACCACCCCCCGGCAGTCTCCACCACAGACAGACGACAACACACGCCTTCTCGAATATCTGCATCTCTCGCTCTAGTACGACAGGCTCTCATCTCGGCAGCGCAGCCCGTACTCACTCAGGATCAGCGCTCAATCGACCGTCGGCACCTATCATTGGGCCAGTCCTGCTACGGGAAGAAAAAGATTTCGACTCGGTTCACCCCGGGAAGAACGCAGAGCAGGAAAGAAAAGAAGGTGTGCACTTGAACGACGATCAACGAGGAAACGACGCGAAACGACATTTAACGAACCCCGACTCACCACCCCCCCAATTGGCGCAACCAGCCATTTGGAAATCTGCAGCCAAAAAAGCCATAATAGGGTACCAGCATATCACGACGTGAAACGAAGCAACGATCAAATAGTTTTTTGTGCGGAGTCAAAAAGTTCAGAAAAGTTGCCCCCCTCATCATCGGTTTTTTTTTACTTTTCTCAACTCGGTGTCGTCTTCTGCGTCCTAGCATATTCTCGTACACAATACCCTCGACATTTGCATTCCCCTCCCCCCACCCTCCCCCCCGTTCATCAGTTCGGGTCTCGCATCTTCCCCAGAGCTAGAATTGCTTGAGTGGTGGTTCCGGTCTCTGATTTCGACGGACGTGTGATTTTCGCTGCGATTTTTTGCCCTTTCTGCTGCCTTGCAGCCGCATAAACGGCCAACTATCCGGTCGGGACGCGCCGTCAATCTCTGCATTGTGCTGCTGCAAGTAGTGTTCTCCACCCGCCATCCTCGGTCTCTGCATTTAGGACGACTTGCGGCCATCTCCCAACCGTCCGGACCTGCATCCCCTCGCAACACTACACCACTCTCTCTGTCGGAAGGCCATACTTAGACGACCCTCAATTACCAGTGGAATTGGGCGGCCCCTTCGTTGAAGAAATCTCATCGAAGTCTTTCTACATCACCCCTTCCAAACAATAAGAGAAGCACAGAAATCGATTTCTTTGCTTCCCACACCCCAACCTTCACAATAGCAGCGCTACTTCACGCGACCATCAGCAAGCTGGAGCTACCGTCCCTCGCATCGGTTCAGACACGAGCCCCCACCGACGCCTACCCGTCTTGGTCTGGCTACAACGCCCATTACGCCAAAGGGGGCATGTCCAGTGACAAGCTCCCATCTGCGTTGTTCTCACCTTTGGCTAGCCAACAACAACAACAGCAGCACCATCACGCATCTTCGCCGAGAGGACTAAGCAGTTCAATCCTTAACGGCTCGACGTACCCCAACAAGAAGGATTCCACCCAAGTCCTCCCCAGCCCCTCTCAATCACAGAACGGAGCCCCGCAGTACTCCACCTCCAACAATCAATTCGCCTACGGAAACGAAGGAACCGGCTTCATGAATACACAAAGCAATTCGTCGTACGGTGCGCTAGACTACGGCCACCAGCACCATCTCTCGCAGGGACAGCCGCCTACTCCCCAGACGGCGACCTCGGGCGGCATGGGCAGCTTTCCTCCGCAACCGTCACTGCTACAACCCACATACCACCAGCCGAGCCATGGGTTCCCGCAGTTCTTCCCAGGCTCGAATTCGCCGGCGAACCAGCCTCCGATGGGCGTGCATCCCCAACAGCCCATGCTCCCGCTGCCGCAGACCACCGCGCTGAACACAAACCACTCCCCGTTAAGCGCCGTCTCGCAAGGAGGCCCGCAAACCCCTCAATCCGCCACAACAGGTGGTTACAGCAATCATTCATTTGATGCGACCGGCCAGATCGCGCCCCCGGGAATGAAACCCCGTGTAGCGGCAACACTCTGGGAAGATGAAGGCAGCCTATGCTTTCAGGTCGAAGCTCGAGGTGTTTGTGTAGCCAGACGAGAGGGTAAGAATGACAGTCTTGATAACGATTATTATTATTATTATCATTATTTGAAAATCTTGGTCATCCCGCTAACGGTTCTGTTTCGTCGCAAAAAACAGATAATGCCATGATCAATGGCACCAAACTTCTCAACGTGGCGGGAATGACCCGTGGTAGACGTGATGGTATCCTGAAGAGCGAGAAAGTGAGACATGTCGTAAAGATCGGTCCGATGCATCTGAAGGGCGTATGGTGCGGCATTCCTCCACCAAAATCCCGATAGTCTCGTGGGCTTGGACTAATGTTTCGATAGGATTCCATTTGAGCGTGCATTGGACTTTGCGAACAAGGAGAAGATCACAGAGCTCCTATATCCGCTGTTCGTCCACAACATTGGTGCTTTCCTCTACCACCCAACAAACACCCACCGAACAAACGCGGTCATGGCTGCAGCCGAGCGTAGGAGAGCGGACAGCACCGTGTTGACCCAAAGTCAAGCCCTCAACCAAGGCCAATTGCAAAGACGGGCGACAACCGATATGATTCCCTCATCACAGGCGCCGCAGATGCACCATCAAGGCATGCATAACCCCATGCACCACCAGTCCCTTCCCCCCAATCTTTCTCAGCCTCGTCCCGAGTTGCAGAGGAGCATGTCGTTCCCCACCCCCCCTTCTAGTGCGTCGAGTGTGATGGGAGGCGGCCCGGATTCTTCGTTCTGGAGCGGGAACATGGTGCCGCAAGGAAACAATGGTCCGTTAGCCATCGACACGGTCATGAACAGTGCTCGTTCGATGCCGACAACCCCTGCGACAACCCCGCCGGGAGGCATCCAGCAGTTGCAATACCCTCCCCCACCGTCATCCTTGTATCCACCCCAGCAAGGAAACATGGGCCAGCAGAACATTGCGCAGCAGAACATGCAGAGGTTTAACCAGCCCCTACCCCAGCCGCAGTACATGAACCAGAATAGGGACCAGAACAACATGGGACCCCCGACATCAAGGGGACCGCCGCCAACCTTGTCAAGGCCGGCTTCGCGACAGGATGATGGACATGGGCATGGAAAGGAGGAAGGTGCTGAGGAGCAGAATGGATTGGCAACCGAAGGTGAGGATCACGGAGTCCAGGGAGTTCATGGAGTAGTGTCCGCCGAGAATGAAGCTGAACATCATCCAGAGGAATATACGACCCATGAGACCAATTATGCCAACGGTCACCGACCCGTCTACTACCCTCCTCTTCAAACAGAGCACACGCCGCATCTGTCGCCGGAGATGAATGGTTCCCCAGGACAGGGCCCATCCACGCCAGCACGTGCGTACGGTGCTCCGAACGCCAATGTTCCGCGCACGGTTGATGGTGCAAGTGGAGCCACTCCGCGAACCACCACCACCCCGCAGCAGCAATGGGTCCAGAACGGCAGTGGATACTCGACTCCGCCACGATCCAACTCCGCCAGTGGAAATGCCATACGCCAGCCTCCGCAAAGAAACGTCTACCAGCTCGTTGGCGGTGACACTCCTGCCGACCAGTCGGATCCCAGCGCTGCTCCCGGCGCGTCCGATGGCACTTACGCTACCCAGGCCGGACTCAGCGGTGTGCCGATGCCTTCCCAGACGCCTCCGCAGAGCTACGTTGTCAACGGAATCACCACGCCGTCGTCGTCCAACAAGCGCGTGCGCGACATGGATGATGACGAGGAGCACAACTCGCGACCGTCGAGCCGGGATCACGATGACCGAGCTGGTGCCGATGCCGATGCTGCGATTGGTGGAATGAAGAGGCGCAAGACTGTAGGCCGTGAGGGTGCACCGGCAGTTGCTCCCGCGGCCGGCATGGCAGCTGGCAGCTTCGACAGGGCAGCTGATGGTCGGCTTAACCGCACACGATCAGCCGTCAACCCGGGCAGAGTTGGAGGAAGAAGATAATATAGTTTTAGAGGAGGGAGGTGTTTTTTTTCTCTTGCTCTTTTTCTTTTCATTCGATTCCGGTACAAACTCATCGAGCCCGTCGACCTCATAGTCCTCTACGACCGGACAGATGACGGGCCCACTTCCTTCGTCCTAAACGTTTGTTCTGTGGGTTTCTTTCGACGTTCATTTTGTTTTCACTGGGTTGAAACAAAACGGTGGGCCACGTCTGCTTTTGGTTTTCGTCTGGTAAAAGCCATGAAGTTACGCAGCGTTTGTTTTTCTCTTTTCTTCTCAACTATTATTTTCTCTTTGCCTTTTTGTTTTTCATCAAGTCATACTTGTGCGAGATCGGGTCGGTGTTTGTCTGGGATATAGTTTGTGATTTTTTGCGCGTTTGATTGCTCCGCTTACCATATTCTTCTCTTTGTTCATCAGGGATTCTCATCTGGTTTGTTGCTCCTAGGTGTGGGGCGGTTTGGGTGGGGATCATTTGACTTGACATGCGTTTTGCCAATTGTAAGTGCTGTTTGGGGGGCGCTTTTTGGCTTCTGTGGATACTTCTTCGCGCGGGAACAACGATTTTTTCCTTTTTTTTTTCCTTTTTCTTCTTTTTTTTCCTGTTAACGTCTATACCAGGCTTGTTGTGGGGAAAAGGTGGCTGGAGATCGGGAGGTTGGGGGGAGTGACTGTGATTTGCTTTGCTTTGGGGACATGCCCGTGTCTTTTTTTTGCTTTCGAGGTCAAGTCGGATCGGGGCTTGCAGAAGAAGGGGGGAGGGTGGACGGCCTTTTCTCTTTTTTTCTTTTCTTTTCTTTTCTTTTTTCTTCATCTTTCTTTTTCCTTCTCATGATTGCGATTTTTTTCTCTCTCGTCGCATCTTAACGACTGTTATGACTACTACTACCATCAACCATCATCGATTCGATTCATCCATCCAACCAACCATTCAAATTTTCCTATTCTTTTTTCCTTTTCTCTTCTTTTTCTTCCCTTCGGTTTTTACTTTTACAATAGGTTAGTGTTTTCGTGTCTAGTGGTACGGTACGGTCACAGGTTTTTTCTTAGGGAATGTAACTACGGGGTTCGGGTTCGGCGGGGCGTAACGGGGCTGGCTGAAAAGATATGGATATGGATAGCATGGGTGGTGGGATGGGAGGAAACGGATTGGCATGGTACCGGGGGTTTAGGGGGCGGGGGATGGGGGGGCGGGGGGGATGGGGATTTTTTAGGGAGTGTGGGGGAGATGGGGAAGGGGGATGGTGGTTGGGGGGGATGGGCGGATTTGTAGGATGGAATTGGAATTAGGAGGGGGCTTATACCACTGGAGGAATTCGACGGGACTGTACGTACTTACTGGACACCAACGCTGTATGTTTGTTTGTGGAGTGGGTGCGCGGAATGGAAAAGCGAATCGTCTTCTACATCATCATCTTCATCTTCATCATCACGCTGCGATACTGGTAGTACTTTAACCACCACCACCGCTACTGTCTACAAAGGAACCACGATCGCGATATACCTAGCCATTTTTACTTCCACTGTACCGTTCGTTACCCAGAGGATGCGGATGAGGATGATGATGAGGAGATTAAATCACACACACACACAAACACATAGACAATACCGTCCGAAAAGCCCCTGATCTGCGCCCGCCGCCCGCGTGTGAGCGGCAGCAAATTGTATGCGGCGGCGGCGGCGGCGGCGGGAAGTGCACATGTTTGTGGCTGCGGCGGAGGCTTCGGTGGCTTTGTTGGCTGCGGCGGGGGGGATGCGGTGAGGGTGCATGCGGACCTGTGGACCTGCAGTGTGGCGGTCGAGTGTTGTTATATGCCTACATACATACAGCAATACCTATAGTCGTGAGGAAGGTTTGCGAGGCGGGGGGCGGGAGGCGGGAGGCGGGGGAGATTGAAGACCTGGATGGATGCATCGAGGGAGGGGGGAGGGATGTGGAGATCGGACCCAGGACCGCTGGGCATATGCTATATACGCCGTGGTTTCGAATAGGTGCATACTTCTACTTAGATATTGTCCCACGACGACGGCGGCAGTGTTTTACGCATACTATACATGTGTAGCGACCGATCAATGTCCTGACACCTGAGGATGGATGGGCCCACAGTGCTGCACTGCATGAGATGACATGAGATAGTCCTAGGACGTGTTTCAAATCCGCTCATCATCCGTACATATCTCCAGTTTTTACTATCTATGTCTATATCGTAGGTACTTATGTATGTGTGTGGTTGGATTGGGCTATCTCAAATCCAATCCTGTGTTCGCCGGGTGAAAAATCCATATTGTTCAAGCTGTCGGATATCGGGGGAGGACTACATATTCGTTTGTCTGGGTCTTGTATGATTTGTGAAGGAGTTTTCTGGTTAGACCTTTGTTTATTACTGAAGAATTAATGCATCCTGAACATGAGATTATCGCCTTCAGGAGGATATGGATAACACGGGCATCACCCCTTTCACTGCACTTTTTTAATGCGAAGAGTTGACGGTCAATCGAGTGATACTACAGGACCTAAGACTGCCTAGCCAGGAATGCGTCGTGCGGTATCTATTGGAAGGGAAAGAACTATAGCGAACCACACGGTGATAATCTGCACCTGAATGCGGATATAGAGAGATTAGGGACACATTAGGGCAATGGAAATATCTGTAATCGAAGTGTTCTATACACGATATGAGGTGATTATCTCCCGGACACGGGCGCGCTGGGGACTGCTGGACCGATCAAGAAGCCCATAGGCTGTAGATAAATAGCCGGGCTGCCTTTTGGGAACTCGGAATACCCTCTTATTCCAGAGGTAAGCCGCAGTCCTTGTCTGTGGACTGGTAGTGGTCTGTATCATATCCTCCCGTGAAGCTGCATCCTCACCACGAGGACGGCAGCAATTCATTGCTCCCTCCAGCTCTACGCTCTGTGAGATCTAGGTAGGCCCGAAGGAAGGCTGGAACAGTGATTATCGGGTACTATCAAACTAGTGAAACGCGCCCAGGCAACATATACTTGACCGCATCTCCATCCATCCCCTAATCGACAGCCGCTTTCGGCGAGGAAGATGTCTGGCTACTTCGCTCCCTGCATATCACAGTCTCGGAGTAACCTACGGCCGGTCTGGAGGATTGCAACACACGCTCTCAATCGCTTCCTGAAACTAAAACTTCAACATGATGGGCGGACTGAAGCTTGAGCCATTGAGCCGTTGAGCCCCAAGGGCCGTCCGGTTTATATTACCGGTAATTGGGAATACTCAACTCCATTGCATCACGCATATCCAGACCTGACGACGAGTAACGGTGTCTGTGACAGTGTAACCACGTAGGTAGGCTTCCAATGGCGGCGGTCCGGAGGATTTACTTCCTTATACCTAGCAGTGGATCGGAGTGGATGAAAATCGTCTTCCACCACCACCCCTCCTTCACTCTGCACTCCAGCACAACCCATTTCGTACATATGTGGCAAAAGCCCCATCCCCAAGCCAACCTAGCCCAGCTCAATGTCCAGATACCCGCATCATCAATGACGATGCCAACCCTCCACCGTGCCAGCCCAGTGTTTCCAATACCTAGGCCGTCTTGCCCGCCTGCCCGCCTACCCGCCCGCCACGGCGGCCCATCGCCATCACCGGCTGTCCCATCCGCTCCCCGCCGAGAATAACACCGGCGAGCGGGCTGCGGGCTGCGGGCTGCAGAATACATACCGTATCTGACGGCTCCGCAGACGGTGCGTGGTGCCGTGGCCTTCACGTGAAGGTATTTCCCATCAGAAGAAGAAAGAAGGAGAACCCCGTATGTACGTTGGTAGCATCAACAGCACCGAGGAATGCCGCAAGACCGCGCCTGGCCCGGAAGATTGTAGGCCCGGGAGACTTGTACTATACATAGGACGGATAGAGTGGCGGGAACACTGAGTGCCGCAACAGCTCCGGCGGGATGGATGGACAAGTGGCGGATGCCTCTGACGACGCTCTTCCCCCCACCACAGTCGCCATTTCCGAACGCTGCTATACTCATGTACAGACGATACAGGTGCTCTAGTTCCGAAGGTTGGGGACGCTGGGACGACATACATACGATTAAGATGGCGGTGGTGCGATTTTGCACTGTTCAGGTGATATTTATTTGTAACAGACCCAGCCGCACTGAGTACCACATTCCGGACGAGACCTCATACAGCTCATCGAGCATCCTGCTGACCGAGAAGCCAAAACCGCCGATCATCCTGCTCGTCCTCCAACCCGAGTGACATCCACCGCATCCACCGCACCACCGCATCACAAGATATCACTCTTGTTTTGCAACCCAAAGTCTCATTCTCAACGAATATTTCCCATCTATAATCAACCAACTACCGTAGCACCCGCCGCTCATCATCATCTAAATCTTACAACATGTAGTTAAGGTGAACCTCCTCACCCTGCGAAACTCCCAGACCCCCCGCGCCCCCCTCATCCAAGCCAAAGACTTCTTAAGAAGACAGCACGACTCTCCGACTCTTCGAACCCACAAGTCTAATATAAGTGATGTATATATACAACGCCGCCAGGCGAGCCCCCAACCCCCAATGCCCCATCTTCATCTCTCCCCACCAGCACCAGCACCAGCACCAAGCACCAACCATCATCAACCTCTCCGGATATACAATGAAAAAAAACAGAGACCCAACGTCAAGGAAAAAATGGCAAAGAAAAAAAAATGAAACCAGCAAAGGAACCAAGAAGTGGAGAATACATTTGTTTTTTTGTCAGGCTGATTGGTAGTTGGTTATAGTTACACGGGTTCGCCCTCAGCATGCGAGGATTTTTCCATCTCCTTGAGCAGGCTCTGATACAACACGAGCATAATTCCGCTCTGCACGCTGGTCCACACGGCGCGGGGGCCGACGCCACGGAACCAGCCTGCTAGTCCCTCCGTGCGGTAGATTAACCGGAGGCCCATGAATACGCTGGAGGTGTTGAGTTTGAGGGCGCCGGCTCTCGGCGGGGGCGCTGTTGACGGAGAGCCGATCGAGGTTGGGCGGGGCGTTGTTGTGTGGAAGCCGCGGGATTGGCTCTTGAGCGTGGCGGCGGGGGTGGATGGTGGGGTGGTGGTGCGCACTTGCGTTTGCAATCGGGTTTTGACGACGTCTACATATGCGTACGTGACTCAATTAGCCCAGTTTCCGGCAGTGAAAGAAGGAGAAATAGAAGAGAGCGTACCAAGAGGACAGGTGATGATTCCCGCCAACCCACCCGCCATCGCACCTGTACCGATCTCAAATCCGAGTCCGATATCGTTTCCAGGACCGCAATACCGCTTAGCCCACTTCCGGAACTGTTCGTAGAACGCAAACTGCAGAGCGGAGAACGGAAGGTCTCGCATGATCGTCGCTTTGTACCCGTAGAAAAGTGCAGCCGGGCCCTCGACCCTAACAATAGTCTTTGCGGCGTCCAGAGTGCTACGGTAATTGTACCCACTCTTGAAATAGGGATTATTATACCTTCCCTGGAGCTGTAGCCGTGTCTTGAGGACCTCGGACGGCACGTAAACAAACGATGCAAAAAGATCACCGATGAAGCCACCAGCGAGGTACGCCAGACTGTCGGGACATCCGGAATCGATCAGGTAGCGTTTCGAGTACTCGTACGTCCCAAAGAAGATGACAGTTCCCGGCAACGAGCCCATGAAAGCCGGCGTGACCCCCGAGTACAACCCGCGAAACAACCCTTCCTCCATAAAGATAGTCGCATAGGCCTTTGGTGTGGTGGCGTATTTGATAGCCGTGGGCGCGCCCTGCTGCCGTGTCTTGACTGTGTCGAGCGAGTGCATCAGCATGTCGCCTGTGCTTCCACCGAGGCCGCCTGCAATCATCGCCTGTGTGGGGTGTCAGTTCAATTGACCACTTGTCGTCGTCGAGGGAGGAGAAAAAAATGTGCGGGGTCAGTCAGTCGGTGGGTGGGACAACAGACATGCAAGTACGGCGGTCTTCCCTCGCGTTCCTCAACCTCCGCAGGTCGCGCTGCAGCAACCGGCGTTCTATTGTCCATCGGGATATCATAATCTCTACCGATGATCCCCAATTGGTGTACGGAGGTACTGGTGACGGCGGTGGTGTTGTTGTTGGTGGGGCGTACCGATACGGAGGAGTTGTCGCCGCTGTCGTTGCTGCTGCCGCCGGAGAACAGGTTGCTTATCCGGGAGCCTAGGGACATGGCAAACCCGCCGCTGCGGGCAAGTCGAGGTGGAGGGAGAGGTGGTGGACGAGTAGAGGCCGCGGGGGTTGCAGAGGGTTGTGTGTCGTTTGTTTCGTTGCTTTGACGGTGGTTGAAGGTTGTCACAAGAAATTGTAGGCGTAAACCCGGGAATCTTTTTTCGACCAATCCCGCCGAAGTGGGGCAAAATCGACAATGTAAGAAACTATGATTTGAACAGTCGGAATTGGCTCAATTAGGAGCGGCGTTTCTAGAAGGTATCCTTTTCGGCGGTTTTATCTATTCGTAGAATTCCATTGTCGGCGGGACCCATGGGCACGTGCTATCTATGAGTCGTCACTCGATGACAGTGCGCCTATCTAAACGTAGACGAGGTTCAGTGGCGATATTCAGCAACGATGCAACTCCCTTGGCAAGGCAAAAGCTGGGAAGTCTACCGGGCCGCGTAGGTAACTAAACTTGGAACCGTTGAGATCAAGGTGGCTTTAGAGTAGTGGGGGATTCACGGTGGGCAGGTGGGCGTTCGAGGCTACAGACAAGAGGAAGACCAGGTTAAAGCAAATGATGCCACTCGCGATCCAGAACACAGTAAAATATGAGACCGAGTAGACCATAGGGAGAGACATGTATATAAAGAGAGTGAATGAGAACCAGCATGCAAAAATACCCCCAAAACGACCGACAGAAAGGAAATATGACACCGTGCCCAAAAAACCCCATGTAGAACGACAAAAGTAAAAAGTAAAAAGGATATACAAGTGCCCCAAGGCGAGTGTAATAAATGATTGTAGGGAAAAGACACATGAGTAGATACAGCACGATCATTCCTCATTCGTTATTGATGGGGGGTGAGGATACAAAGTTGTTTCACCAGAAATGAGAAGACAAGGTCCAAGCACGCTCGGAAAAGAAATCAAGCGACGGACGCATCCCTTAAATATCAGAGAAACCGGCCCCTTTCCGAGGGATGTATCGGTAGTGGTGGCTCCATGGTCCGTATTTCAGGTACCGCATTGACTGCGTATGAGACACCGTCATCCGAAAGATATGACGGTGGTCTTGGTGACATCGCCATTGATCTCCGAGAGCCAGTGTGCGGTGATGTTGGGGTTAATGCTTGCCCGGAACTTTGCCGTCGTATCCAATAGAACTCATTGGGATTAACCCGAACACTATATAGACAGTCTGGTCAGCTTCATGCATTCGCCCAGTGGATTTCATGGTCACATACGAGCATCTCCACAGCCCATAAACTGGCGGTGGCTCCTTCATCCCTGGGATGATATCTGGTGCCTGGGTATTGACTCGTATGGGCTCGCGAGGCATCGCATAGCCCCCGGGACCAGCTATGGACGGTATCCGCGAGAAGTCTGTTGATCCTCTCCTCCGGTCCGAGTCACCACCGCCGGTAAGATCCAAGCACAGCCTGACCAACGAATGGCAGAAAAACATCGTCGTCACAAGAATGATCAATACTAGGAGCACATGCCACTCTTGCTTCAGTTGCAGTTGCTTTGAGAGAGCCAGCCCAAGATCTTTCCAGCATCAGCGTTGAATCGCCATCGTTTCAGGAAGGGGTGTACCCACATACTGATAGTACGATCACGCACATCGTGCACGCAATCATCACCGTAACCAATCGGTTCTGAACACCCTTCCACCGAGGTTTCTGCCACCACCACTTTTTCCGCGGCGACACAGGCTCCCGCTGCTGTGCTTCTGCGTCTGGAATCCGTGTCTCCTCAAGATGTCCGCTTTGCAGCCTTTGTACTGAATAGCGTATTTGCTCCATGGCCTGTGAACTTCGATGCCCTGGTTCCTGTTGTAACGTAGGCGTGCCATGGGTAGTGAAATATCCCGTCGTCCTCGGCGATACCGGAGTGCTCGGGCTAGTCACAAACAATCCACTTGAGCGGTTCGACATCGAGCTTGCCAATGGCGTTCCGACCAGCACGGCCTCGATGCGCCCCATCTCTTGAGTTTGGGGCAGAACCGGTGTTTTGGGCCCACTTCCTGTACTACTCAGAGAATCTCCGCGTATCCGACCATCAAGCCAGGGTCTCATCCCACTCGCACTCTGACCACCGGTCATTTCTATTGGCGCATTGAAGTTGTGGGCCATATCTGGGGGCTGCTGGGTTGTGATCCGGGGAACTTGTGGAGGCGCCATTGTGCCGTGTTGATAAAGAGTACAAAAAACGGATCTGTCGCGCGGAAAAACAGAAGGGCAATGTGAAGATTATTCTGCTGCTTTGCCCGGCCCAGAGATATTCCCCACTCCTGCCCCCGTGAGCTCGGATCCTTTCAAGGTTGTAACTAAGCGCGCCCACTGCAGGTCGAGATGTATGTGTGATGGGTAGCTGCAAGGCCGTTGTGTACGTACGTGTGGGCCAATGACGATGCGAAGGGGGTGCTGACAGCGCGTATCAACGATTCGATGGAGATCGGGTTGTGAGGCGGCGACGAGGACGACGACGGATAAACGAAGGTATCAACTAATCAGCAAAAGCAATTTCACTCCGTCCGGAACACTCGGATACAATTCCGGCAAGCTGTGGTGCTGAAATCGAGATGTATCTCTAGTTGTCGATTACGAAGAAGCAGTTATTCTTCACAAGAGCGCCGTCCGGTGGAGACTCGCTCCCAGAGGATGCAAGTGCGTGTGATTTGATGTAAGAAGAAGAAGAAGAAGAAGAAGCGCCAGTTCTAACATCCAAGGTCCACCGTCCGGGGCGTGTGGGTATGTATTGTTCCTGGGCTGGGTAATCCGGATAAACGGTGTAATGCTGCGCGATTGAAGGAAGGATTTTTGGTATGTGTGCTTCGAGCACGGAAATGAGTGAGAGGTCGGACACCTGGTGTCAACAAAAAAGAGAGAGAACAGACGACGACGACGCTCGAGAAGGAGCGGGGTGATGGTCGAGGAGGTGGTGGACGACGAATGACGGACGTCGGAAGAAGGTGTTTTGGATGTCACAGACAGGCATGGATGAGGTATGCATACAGAAACATGTTAGGGATCTTCAGGGGCAAGTTCTTCTCTGACTGTTTCACACTACTCTGAGGACTTACGCAGGTACGGCGGGCTAGACTCTAGACAACCTTCAACCCGTCAGAATCTGGATGGTCACCTGGAGCTGCTGGAAGACTGGAAGGCAAATTAATGGCATCATCTGGGATATTCCGACATTCTCTCCCCTCACAAAAGTCTTCACGGGTAACGACGAGAACCGCCGCCGGAAAGGGCATGCAGGCATAAGTGCACATAGCCGCAGTATATACCCCTTTTGTCCGCAGCCTTTACACTTCAAACCCTCAGAAAATGCCTAGCCGTAGCACCGGCGTTCAGTTGTTTCACATTGTAGGGGCATCTGTACATAATACAAGAGACGCACCAAGGGACCTTCTAACTAATGTCAACACACAGAATGCTTCAAGAACACATCTGGAGGTAAGCGACTTCCTGCGTTCCATAGCTTCATCCGCTCAACCATACGCGAACCATGGATCAAATCGCCGGCATGCATCGATCCCGCCCGCTAGAAACAAGCTTCTCCTCCTTTCGCTATTTACCCAGCTCGCCAAGAATCAAGCTCTTGTCCGATGATGCCGAGACGACTATAGGAAAGGTGTATCAGCATCAGGTCGGAGATGGGGCGCTAATAAATATGCACTTACTAATAGGTTCCGACACAACTGGCGAGAATCGCATGTCGTTGACTGTGCCTCTGTGGCCGGGCAGCTTGTACAGCAGCTTCTTGGACTCAACATCCCACACCGCCACGCTGCCGTCCGCACCTCCAGCCCCAATCTTTTCACCATTGGGTGACCAACTGGCACGAATCAGATTTTTCTCAATTCCAGCCGGCGCTCCTTCGTATCTGAATCGCAGTTAGAAAGAGGTTCGACGAGGAAACAAAACAATCCGTCTTACGTGTTGATGTTGCGTGTTGAGGCGGCAAACGGGCGGATGTCCCAGGTCTTGACAGTGCTGTCCATGGAATTGGAGAGAAGCGATTGACCGTCCGGTGATACGCCAAGAGACGTGATTGTGTCTTGGTGGCCCCGTAACGTGTACGATATAGCCTTTTTGCGCAAATCCCAAACCTGTGAGACGGTTAGCCTAGCCCTTTGGCGGCACTTCGAGGGGCGGGTAAAGCTACTTTTATATCATTGTCTATTCCACCGCTGAAGATCTCATTCCCTGCCTCGCTCATTGTCAATGCCGTGACAGGAAAGCCGGTCTCGATGTAGTCCACCGACTCTTTCTGCCGAGGATCCCATATCTATGCCACTGGTCAGCAACGGCGTTGAGAGGGGCGCTGCTAGAGAATTGATTACCCCAATAGTTCCGTCATCGCTCCCACTGATCATCACCTCGGGCCCTCGTCGGGCGACATCCATCACATTGATAACATCTTCATGACCCACGTATCTCCGGACCCTGATGCCGCCTTCTATGTCCCAAGATGCCAACAGAGTATCCGCCGACGCCGAGAAAACTATACGGGAGTCTCTTGACCAGTGTAGATCGAGAATAGCTCCTTTATGGCCATTAAGTTCCAGATAATTCGCGCAATCGCCATAGGTTTTCCAAAGCACTGAAAAGCTGGCGCATCAGCATCCGATTGCCGCGTCATATAGGAAGGAAAAAGCGTACGGATTGCACGATCAAAGCCGGCGGATGCGATGTTTTGACCGGTGGGATCGAAGCGCACGGCAAAGACCTCTTTCTACAACCCCATTAACTTGCATTCCAAACACGCAAGACAAAACAAGCGAGCCACAATTACGGAGGAAGACATACCCCGTGTCCCGTGAGCTCCATAATGGGAGCCTGCAGCCCGGATGTCCGAGGAACCTGTAGACGCGCAAGTCAGATTCACTCTCTACGGGCCTGTATTCACGCGATGGGCTGCAACATACCGCTTGAATGAGCGCGCCACCGCTCGCCGACTGGTTGACTACTGATACGGCGGACGAGCTGCTTGGAACAGCATCAGGCCTGGTGCGCTTGACGAGCTGAGATGTGCCGAAGTGTTCGGGCGCCTTGCGCTTATCGACCGACATGACAGCGATCTAGGGTACGCGGTATCTGGGCGATTCAGAAATGCGACGTGGTGGAGGAAGGTTCGCTGCTGGTGATGCAATTCCGACGTGTAGGCGAAAGCTTGTATGCGTGAGGTGAGGCGCGAACGCGGATTTCAGGCGTGTTGGTGAAGAGCGCCTGATGGTCACGCTAAAGCCTATGTTGGACTAGCGTCCGGTCACACTCTCATCGGGTCCTCCTGCACGCCTATTCCAACGTATTATCTATCGCATCCAACTCCATCTCCCTCCAAGTGCCCCCACCTCCCCCCACATTACATCGCCTCCTTGGGGCTCAGAGTTGCTCGACATGTCGTCCACGAAAGCAGCCCGCATCGGCGAAGAGTGAGTTCTACCTTTCCCCGTCGGCTGCTACAGCTGTTCACAGTTAACGAGTTCAAAGGGTTTGGAAGACTAGAATCGACAAAGTGGTTCGTTCGACCCGTCGCATTCCATCCAGCCGTACTGCTTTTCGGTAGCTAAAGCTTTTCCGATTCACAGAACGCCGAGCTGGTCACACTCACCTACGGATCCATCGTTGCGCAGCTATGCAAGGACTTCGAAGGCGACTACATGGAGGTCAACAAGCAGTTAGACAAGATGGGCTACAACATCGGTTTACGTCTGATTGAGGATTTTCTGGCGAAGACAAACACCGGGAGGTGCGCAAACTTCAGAGAGACAGCCGAGACCATCTCGAAGGTATGCACTCATACGCCCACCAGAACAGTTGCATTTAGAGGTCCAGTAGCTACCTCTTGAGCTTCATCTCGCACACACGGATGTGGAAGATGCGGCGAAACCGCTGTTTACCAGTTCAGATGAAGTTCACCTAAAATATGACGACTAACTCTGGTGCTATCAGATCGGATTTAAAGTGTTTCTGAACATCACTCCTACGGTTACAAATTGGACGTCGGATAACAAACAATTCTCTCTGATATTCGACGAGAATCCTCTAGCAGACTTTGTCGAGCTACCGGATGATGGAAGGGCACAGAACGAGCTTTGGTACTCGAACATCCTTTGTGGTGTTTTGAGGGGATCATTGGAGATGGTCGGTACCCCCATGCGCTTGTGTAGCTGACCGCGACCGCAATGTCATTGTCGATTTCAATCACACATGACATGTTGCGCAACCGTCCAGCAACCCCGATACATTTAGCTGACCGTTGTGCTGGTAAATACGAATAGGTTCAGATGCAGGTCGACACACACTTCGCGAGCGACGTGCTGCGGGGCAACGATTCTACAGAGATGAGGGTATCTCTCATCAGGATCATAGACGATGAGTTGCCTCCAGGAGAGGATTGAGCAATTGTCGTTGTTTTGTTGTTGCCGAATCGAATACCGCCAATGAATACCAGTATCATACGAGCTCGGGGGCCACGGGTGAATGCATTCTATTCGTGACTATGATTCGTTCAGACCCATCCGTCTCTCCTACCCAATACGGCCGTGAAGCTTTCAACTGAGGTGCAAACGTTGGGACGACCACTTTACAAGGGAACCCCCAGATAACTCGACGGACGCAGGCTGTAGTTAGCTATGTCGTACATACCGGTAGTGTTGACTTGTGGGGAAACGCGAGACGACGGTCGTCAAAATAAACCCAAGCCCAAGATCGTCCATCGTTGCTTGCCGGCTGACTGCTGCGCCTCGCACCTGATGATTTCCGGCTCCCGAGAGCAGCCCTGAAGTGCCTGCGGGAGCTTGTAGCAGGCTAAAGACATCCGAGGAAGCCCACAGCTCCACGACCACACGCTTACTTGACGATCCGTACGGTGTTGCAAAGCGGGACAGATTCAACCATGTATCTTTCCTAGTGTATCTAGAGTACTACCTCTCAGGAGCAATCATCGGAACGGCAGCGCCCCGCCCTGCTCCGAAAACACCAAACGCACACGGCCGCCACGAAGGTTCGGTTCGGAGCTGTTGAGCTCTGGCCCCTTTCTTGTCATTAACTATTAGATTCTGGGCTTACTTCCCATGTACCTGGATTGTTTACCTGTTCCTGATTCGTTGCAATTGGGATGCTCCTCCATCCTCCGATAACCCACTTACACGTCGTACACGTCTTTTTTTCTTTTCTTTTCGCGTTAAAAACTCAGAGCCAACGATTGTGCGGATGAACAACGAGGACAGCTCTTCCTTCGCGGCCTGTTCCACTCCAGATATCACGCCCACGATTTATGCGTCTCCTCCTCCTTACACGGAGGACTTTCCCCGAGGAGTAGCACGACAAGTGACGAGGATCGAATGTGTGGTGGCATTATGTATTTCCCTGATTTTGTGCTGGCACGTCGTTCCTCTCTCTCTCTATCTCGATCTCATGTGAGCTCCTCATGATCAGTCCAATTGGGGGGTTGGGTCGGTGAAAAAAATTCTTACTCCTACGTGCGCTGCATTCTCACAACCCTAACCCACGACCACCCTCCACCCTCCCACCTCGAGCTCTTCCCCCCCAGGACTCCAGGAGGCTTGCCGGTGCCCTTCGCCTTCTCTCCCCGTTGCACCCCAGCCCGATATCTCCGGATACCTCCCCATCCCATTGACCCAGAACGCGTGGTCGAGAGCAATGTCTCTCCTCTGCGCGCGCTCCCTTGGATGCCGATGCTTCGTCTCCTGCTGCTGCTGCTTCCCTTCCCCCTTCCTTTCTTCTCTTCCCCTTCGATCCGGGTGAACATGGCCACTCCGGTCTCCGGTATATTGTTATTATTCCGCACTAGTCTCGTAGTGAAGTAGAGTACTTAAGCAATAAGTTGTGCCTGTCGTTCCCAGTTAGGGGATGGATGGACGATGGCAGCAGGGTGGATGGTTCGCCCCGTCAAGACAACAACGAAGCGCGCAGCTGGCAGTAGGGAACGTCAACCCAACTCCACTGTTTTACCCACCAGCGGTAAGGCGGTACCGTTACCAATAGTTGACGAAGGCTCCAAGCCCGGAGCCGTCAAAGTCTGAGGAGGCACTCACCTGCGCTCTCACTCTCTCTCTGTCTCTGTCTCTGTCTCTGTCTCTGTCTCTGTCTCTGTCTCTGTCTCTGTCTCTGTGTCTCTGTCTCTTTCTCTCTCTTTCTCTCTGCATCTAGAACGCATCAATTGGCATCGCCCCGTGTGAAGTTTAACCTAACCGTCCGCACTCGAGGCCCACCGACATCAGCAGGAGTAAGAAGCATGTATGATATGTACCGGTAGCATCAGATGCGCCATCTTCTCGCGGGACCGTGGCCACGCACGCAACTACTGTACATACATACAGCGAGGCGTCGTCTTTTCTCCTTCTCTTTGCGCTTTTGTATTTGTTCTCGAAGCCTTGCGCCTGGATTGAACCAGACGAACAACTGCAAGACCCTGAAGAATAATATCAGAAATAATCAAAAGTAATGCGGATTTTCGGTATTTGTGCTGGATTTACCCTGTCTGCTCCACAACCAGACCATACACCCTTTCCCTTTTTCCCCCTTCCCCTAAAGAGTAGTGACGGGGCGCGGATTCAACTTGATCTCTCTCTCGCTCTCTCTCTTTCTCTCTTTCTGACTGAGCGAAGGATCCTACATACACCTGTGAGAGGTACCATACCAGACTCTATGCTCCCCCCAGCCCCTCTAAACACGAGAGTTGCTTGAGCTCTTCCTGGAGTCTCTCTCTTCCTCCTACTGCCTGCCTGTCTGCCTGCCTGCCTACTCCTCCTCTTCCCTCCTCCTCCCTCACACACACACACACACACACACACACACCCTACCCACTGCTGCTGCTGCTGCTGCTGCTGCCACTACTACTACTACCTACTACTACTACTACTACTACTATTACTACTACTACAGCCCCCCAAGTAACCACCCACCAACTACTACCTTACCAACCCGCACCACCAACCCGCCGCTCCCCCCCCCCCATCCCCCGTCCCCCGTCCGTTCACCACCCCCCACTCCTTCCGCCCCCAGGGCCCTTTTCTCCGAACCACAGACAGACGAACAAGCACAGGAAAAAAGAACGCCAGAAGAAGAAGAAGAACATCAGGAAGAAGAAAAAGAAGAACACGAAGAAGAAAGAAGTGAAGATCCAGAGCTGGAACAAGAAGAAGAAGTGACCCGGCGATTATCCTGCCACCTTCCACTATCCCTTCGCCTAGTCTGTCGCCTGCTCTATACCCAGCTCGTTTCTCTCTTGAGAAATCAATATCCAGTACATACAGAGTGTCCCCCATACATACTTCCTCCGCTGTATGAGTACCTGCCTGCTGGTCTCCCATACGAACTACGACTCCCAGAAACGACCTTCCACACTGCCCTTCCTCACGTTGCCTTCTGCTTCTCAGGCAGCAACCAGCAACCACACACCCCATCGCAAACCTTCCCCCCTCCGCAGCAACTACCACAACCCACCCAACCACACCCAAAACTAAAACCAACCACCCGCCATAACTATCCCTCCACTCACACTCCCCTCCCCCCCGGCAACCCTACTCTTCCACCGACCGCGCGGGCGAACTCCCACCTACTCCCACCCCTCGGTCGCTTCAAGCTCGCCAACCCCCTCGGCATTCTCAACCGGTTATTCTGGACGTCTGCTCATCCGTTTCTTGACGCTCCATCGCGACCGGTTCCACCAAGTACCCCCCTCCGTCGGTCGATCGCTTCAATCATCTAATCCGTCCCGACCCTGCCGACTTACACGCTCCCTCCCAACTATACCGCCCAAAAGTAAAAAAAAAACGCACCTTCGTTGTCGGTTCGGTGGCGAAAACTGGCTAACTAAACAGTCCTCTCGCCGAACTCGCGTGCTCCTTTCCGCCAGGACCCTTCGTGGTGTAGCAGCTGCTTACTTCGCGCGACGTTACCGTGCGGTTGCCGCCTGTCCACGTTTCTTTCCCTCGCTGGGATAGGCTCAATTTGCATCCGATCAACGCCTGCATCTGGGTCCTCTGCCTCCTTGTCCTCCTCTTTCTCCGAGCAGCAGTCGCTTGCCGTTCACATCGAGGGCGGCAAACTCGAAATCACGGGCGCCACAGGCGTCGGCTACGTTATCAGTTCGAATTTCCTCTCTCGGTCACCATGAGCCAACCGGATCAGAAACCTCCACAAACTGGCCCGAACATGAACATGAACCTAAACAATATCGGGGGGGTCGTCGGCGGAGCACCAGGCATGGACCACGGCGCGGCTCGCGGTAATACAGGCGCCGGTTTCGACGGACGACAAATGCTGAATACATACATTTACGACTATTTTTGCAAGAACGATATGTTCGACTGCGCGAACGCGTTATTGAAGGCGCCGGATGCGGAAGTCCAGGTGGACGCCAACTTTCGACCCAGTCCATCGCGTAGGCCGCAAAAACACGAAAATGATGGCAATGTCATGAACGGCATCGACGAAGAACCGATGGACGGTGACGGTCAAAGGCAAGACGACGGCGACGAGGCCAAAAACATCAAAGATCTACCACCAGCAAAGGTGCCTACATCTATTTCAGGGTCATTCTTACTGGAGTGGTGGTGTTGCTTTATGGATATCTATTGGGCGCGCACCAAGGGCAACGCATCCATTGCGGCAAACGCCTATGTGAATCAGACGCAGGTTTGTGATCCAAAGCTGGGGAGTGAGGGGAGATGAGGTGGGAGGGAAGGGGGCGTACTTGCAGGATATTCGGATTAACACGATGGTCAGACCCAACAACGGTTTCGGAACGAGCAATTCATGCGGATGAACCCGAACAACCAGGCAGCTCTCATGGGCCAGCAGATAAACTATCCCGCTCGGATGATGCCCGGAGGGATAAATGGTGTGCACGCTGGCCAGGAAGGGACGGGCAGTCCTGGCGACATGGCGCATAAACCGGGTCAACAAGGGCAGCTACAGCGCTCTGTGTTGCAGAAAATGACTGCGGCGGGGAGGTAATTGGAATCTTAAATCCTTCGTGCAGTACATGAATGTCGATCTAACGAATGGGGTTTCGCCCGATGCAGAGGACCACACCAGATGACGCCCCTCGGTCGCCCACAACTGATGCAGCACATGGCCAGCCGGGATGAAATCAATGAGATGAACGGGCAACAAAGACCTCAATCACCGGCGGCTGCAGTTGCAGCTGCGTCGCCTGGCAACAAGCGAGTACGCTTAGAAAATGGACAATATGAGCAAGTCGGGAATGGAAGAGGCGGTACACCCCAAGGCGTTCCCCCAGGCGCCGCGGCACAGAGCGCCACTGTCAATGCGGCCCAGCAGATGTTGATCGCGAACGGCATTAACCCCAACACACTGTCCGCGAACCAGTTTGCGGCCTTTCAAGGTCAGCCTCCTCATTCTCAGCAGCGTTCGATGCAGATGTATGCTCAAAACATGGCTGCAGCTACGGGCAAGAACATCGCGCAGTTGCAGGGTGGGCCCAAGGGAATGCCGCAGAATTCAGGACAAGCAGGATCACCAATGATGCCGCAGACATCAGAAGGCGGCCTTGGTGGAAGCATGAATGAATTCTACGCTGCTCCTGGCGGTGGAATGCGCGCTGGTGGTTTGGGTGGAGCCGGAAACCATGCTCTGCAGGACTATCAGATGCAGCTGATGCTGCTTGAGCAACAAAACAAGAAGAGGTTGATGATGGCGAGGCAGGAGCAGGACAACATTGCCACCCATAACGATGCGAACCGGCCCGGCTATCACCCGAGCATGTCACCCAACAGCCGAGCGGTGCCCTCACCAGGGCCCGGTGGGAAAGCTAGTGGCATGGCGGGAACGCCCAAGATGCCGAATCAAGTTCCTGGCTCACCACTACCCGACGGCCAGATGGGCGGGCGGTTGCAACAAGGGAACTCGCCCGCAGCTGCGGGTTTCAACGGTCCGATGGCGGAAGGCAACCATCCAATGATGTACAGTCAGATGGCCAACAACGGTGCTGGTGTACCCAACGGTGTAGGCATGATGCGACCGCCTGGCTTCGAGGGTCAGATGCAGCCGGGGATGGCCGCGCAGATGAACCCGAACATGCGGGCGCAACAGGCTGGTCGAGGGCAGCCGGCAGGTGGCATGTGGCACCCGCAGCAGCAGCAGATGCAGCAGCAGCAACAACAAGCACAGCAGCAAGCGCAGCAGCAAGCACAGCAGCAAGCGCAGCAGCAAGCGCAGCAGCAAGCGCAGCAGCAAGCACAGCAGCAGGCGCAGCAACAAGCGCAGCAGCAGCCACAGTCCCAGCAGCCCAGCCAGCAGCAGCCCAACCAGCCTCCCCAGCAAGCCGGTACACCGCAGCCTCGCCAGCAGACCCTACCACACACGGCTATGCCTCCTCCTCAAGCACCTGCCAATCCTCCCGGTGCAGGCCGACCAGCGCCGGCTTCTCCGCAGGTGAACAACCAGCCTCCCACCCCTACCCAGACGAACAAGGCAAATCCGAAGGGAAAGAACGCCCCGCAAACCAAAAAGGTATCATTGCGTGTTTGTTCGTTTTGTCTGTTGAGCGCTAATTCTAAAATAGCAGCGACCAAAGAAGGGCGCCGCTCCGCCCACCGCGCCAAGCGTCGTTACGCCAACGACATCAGAGCCGCCGACACCGACAACACCGACGATCCCGCAACACCCTCACTCGTTCAACGGTCCCAACAACGGTCGACCAAATTTCACATCGGGCGGGCCAAATCCATCGGGAAACACTTCTGCTGGACAGTCTGTACAACAGCCCACACCGAACCCCGCGCCTGCGGCGCCACCAGTACCGAACGACCCGATCCAGCCCGCTTCCACTTTTGCTGGCATAGACATGAATGTGGATTTCTCGGGAGACTTTGGCAACGGCGAATCGGATCTTTTGGACAACTTCGATTTTGATTCATTCTTGAATACCACGGAGGATAGCTCTGGCGGACTTGGGTTTGGGGATAACCTGCAATGGGCAGACGGTGGTGAGGTTGCAGGAGACTCGTAATGGGGGGCTACTGGCCCAGGTGTTATGTTTTTGGGCTTTTCCTTTTTTACGTGCTTTATTCTCTTCTTCATTCTCGGAGGCGGCTTTAACTCCTTGGTTCGTTTTCTTATTCTGCATTTAACTTTTTTTTACATGTTCCTTGCCGGACGATATATAAAGTGGCTGGTCTTCTGGGAAAGGTTTTTGCTTTTTGTCTGATTGCTGCTGTTCTTTGCTCAAGTGGTTGCCTCTCTATCTTATCGATTTTTCTTTTTACCCTCAAATGTTCGATTATTTTTTGATTTCCCTCCTCCTCATCCTCCCTCCGCATTTTCTCACCGCGGATGGGTTTATGAGGGGAGGGTGTGAGGGGTGCTTTGTGTGGATTGAAGAACAACCTACCAAACCCTTCGTAGTTGTTTGTGTTTGTGTTTGTGTTGCCGCTTTTTTTTCTTTTTTCCTTGTCTTTTCCACAAAAAAAGTAGGCTTTTATGAGGGAGGGTCATGCTTTTTTTCTTCTTCTTCTTTTTGTGCTTATCTCGCGTGCGTTTGTGATTTTGGCGAGTGAGTGAGGTGGGGTGTATGGCAATTCCTACTGTTGGTGATGTGTATGCTGTTTTGCTGCTTGGGGATCGTGTTTGGGATCGTTCGTCACTGTCACGGGGTTGTCACGGGGCTGTCACGGGGCTGTCACGGGACCAGTCACGGGACCAGTCATGTCCTGTCCTGTCTAAGTCCAGTCCAGTCCACACACGTAAACACGTAAAGTGACTCGGCGGCGGCGGTCTGGTGGCAGAGGTTTGGGGGGTGGTGGAAACTTCGTAGTTACTTTCGTATGGATGGATGGGTGGGGGAATGCAATACCTTTTTATTTTACTTTGCTACATCGGAGAAGGGTAGGTGAGCTATGGCTATGGATGGCTATGGATTTCCGGTCGGTTCGTCTGTAGTACTGGTGGTGCTAGTGTTTTCATTTCATTTCATTTTATTTTTTTTGCTTTTTTGTGTACCATTCGCTCGCCTTTTTTTTCTTCCTTCATTTCCTTGCTTTCTATTGTGGGATAATTCTTCGTTTTATTTTCTCTTCTTTTTTACCTTCTTCATCATCATGTTCTTCTTCTTCTTCTTCATTGACTGTTGCATCGATTGTTGCATACTACGTTGCATTCTACGTTGCGTGCTACCATATCATATCATACCTATCATACCTCACACTTCACTCTGTTTTGCTATGATACTTATCATATCGAGGTTTTGATATGCTGTTCTACCTATACTGTTCCACCTACCTATGGCCCTGTGTGGGCAGATTTGTTGGTGGATTATGTTGCGACTGAGAATGGGAATAAACCTATTCACTGAACCCTCTTATACTCTTTGAAAATCGAGCCATTCCGTTCCTTTATTTGTAGCTTTAGCTCTGGCTTTGGTTTACCTTCTTGGGTTTTGGCTTAAGTTTTGGCTTTGGTTGATGTTTTTGGGCTTGCTTGCTTTTTTGGGGCGGCCGTTGGGAACAGAACACGGCCGTTGGAGAAAACGGGTTGAGATGCGGATGGGATGGGATGATGTGCGGAGGAGGCTAGAAGACCGTGCGGAGAAAGAAGGGTTGTTTGTGTACCGTACCTAGTATGAACCTACTCGGTGCTTGCTGCAACCCGGTTGATGACAGGACACTTGAATTGGTACATACATTATAGGGCACTTCGCCATTGCGTCCTGGAACGTGCTGTTACACATATCTAGTAGATACGGTAGGCAAGATGATGAATGGCGGGTAGACCGTAGATGAGTCGACATATTCATTACGCAGCACTCGCTGGTCACGGGATCTGGTGCAAATGTACCTAGCACCTGCCATGCATCCACTGACAGGTCACAGGAGAAGGGCATAAATCCTTATGTACGTTGGGTTAAACCTAAAAAATAGCATGTACCTTATACTTGGTAGTAATATGCAGAAATGAGAAAGAAAAATGTAAAGAAGAAACAAAATCGTTTGATCGAAACGGTGCTCGTATGATACATGAATGCCTGAATTTAGCTGCTTTATCCTCTCCGGAATATTACTTGCCAGCTAGATGGTTTCAATTCTTGTACTGAAGACGGTCCTAGTCCTCCTGTGCAGCTCTCTTCATCTTCCCACGGCGTTGGCGGGTAGTCCGCCAGCGCTGGACAATTGTTGGATGTGGTTGTTGCAGTCACGCAGCGCGCTCGGAAAGCCATCGTTATTTTTGCTGTCAGCCTTGCATTGCAAGTACGATGGCCAGGGCGCAAGTGCGCAAGTGGCAGCGCCGGGGCCGGGGCCGCCATGTTTCCGGATCCTCAAAACCTGTCTCGACGTCCCGTACCTACTCCAGTGCCAAACGTCATTTCGCGACCCGACCCCGTATAGCCTGGCACGCACGGGTGTGTAGCCCGCTCAGCCTCAAGCCCTGCCGGCTTCTCTGTCGCGTTTAACTATGATAGCCTTGATATGTAGGGAGGGGCCAGGTACTACGTCAGTCTGTGTACCTTAACGTGTTGTAACTTGTCGTTGCAGGGTAAAAGCGACAAACCTCTACGTCATACATCCCCAAGTGCCAAGCCCAGAGCTAAACCCTGGCAGGAGACCTGGCGGAAGACCCTGAGTTCACGATACAGGACGTCATCGATTGCGGACCCTGAAGTGCCTGAAGTGACGGGAAGCATTGACAGCTGTATAAAGAGGTCGTGAATCCCCTCCCCCCCCTCTCTCTCTCTCTCCATCCACACAACCACACAACTATATCCTCTATCTGCACCCAACTACCACACACAAACAACACAAAACTCACAAACAAACAACACAATCACCATGTCCGACACTTTCCGCAAGTCCTTCTCCGACCGCGCCGAGGAGAAGATCACGCCCGACTCTTCCAAGTCGACCATGGACAAGGCCAAGGAGAACGTTACTACCACTGCTGACAGTACGTCCCCCCTCCGAGGATGAATGAATGAATGCTGATGATGCAACAACAGAAGTCGCCGGTGAACTCCAGACCGATTCCTCCAAGAGCACCTCCCAGGCGGGCTTCGATAAGGGCCGCCGCGAGAAGGAGACCGTTGTTGACAAGGTATGTGCTTTCCACTCTTCTTCTTCTTATACTTCTTCTTCGAAGGAAACATAGTACTGACAATCGAAAAGCTCAAGGACGCTGTCGGTCTCGGTGACAAGCACACCACCACTTCGACTACCAATACCAACACTAGCATCTAGACACGATGCGGTGGATGATTGATGATCGATTGATTGATGGAGATACCTGGAGTCTTGTTTTCTTTCTTTTACATTTTTCGTGCCTGCGGCGTAGCCAGTTTTGGGAATTGATTCTGGCCCACTCCTACACGCATCACATACCAGTACTTGGAGGGATTTGTGACTTTGTAAATTGTCGGACGTGAATCAAAAAAAACAATTCGGTTTTCGGGTTTCTGACGGTTGTTGGTTCTCGTCCCGTGCAAATGGCCGTCCAACCGAACCCAACGGAGCCCTGCCAGCCCTGCCCTGCCAGTCCTGCCAGTCAACCCGTATCTCCGGCCCTCGGCCAGAAACGTACTTCCAACCCCGACCCCGCAAGTTGTAAGTTGCAACGCCCCTGCATCTCCAAAGCAAATGGGATATACCAGTAGGGAGACAGGAACGGAGTCCGGACGAACCTTCGTCGGGATTCGGGATTCGGGATTCGGGCGGCCTTCGTTTCCCGGCCGGATCGCCGTGCGTGCGTGGACAGCCACAGATATCGCCACCGCCACTGCCACAGATAACCCCCGCCACAGATAGAGTACCGCCACAGATACCGCTCAGATCGCGCACGGAACGGTGGCCTGGATTCGTTCTTCTCTTCTCCTTCGAGAGGGATATACTTGTTTCCCGCGAGCCCCCCTCGAACTCTAAGGGGTCCATACCTCCCACTCTACTACCTACCGTAGTAGTTGCAGACGCCACCCAAGTTCCAACTACGCTCCGCCCCTTGATCGTCGTGATCGTCGTGACTCGTGAGTGCGCAGCGAATCCTCACCTCCCACCATCTTACCCCCCCCCCCCCCCTCCCGGGCCCGGGCCCCGGAATGCGCAGGCGCAGTATGCTACGACAATTCCGCCCAGACGCGCAGTCATCCTTCTCACTTGTCGCCATATCTAAGATGTACGTGCTATAGAGTGCGTAAGTGGGTAGACGGCGAACTTCCTTCCTTCCTTCCTTCCCTGGCTGGAATCCTGTACTCTATGTAAGTACAATATATATCGCACTCCATTTCATCCAACTTGTCTAACGCGGGTGTCTTGAAGCTTGGACGTGCTCTACATGAATAAGTTGTATGTAGAGCTATTTTAGCCCCCTCCCCCCGCACGCGCACGCGATAGATAAACAAGGAGCGCATGATCCATATCACAGTCTCCAGTCCCCATGAACGTGGAATGAAAGTAGTAAAAAGTAGCGAGCGCGGCACAAGTGAACTCCATGCAATGTATTCACACCCTTCCCATCCCCCCTCCCTCCCACTCCCAAATCCCTTTCCCTTTCCCTCTCCCTTTCCCTCTCCCAACCAAAATCTCTTTTCCTGCCCGCAGCAAAAAATAAATGAAAAAATAAATAAAAAAAACACAGACGCCGAACAGAGAACAACAGAGAACAAGAACAATCATTACAAACTACCGTAGAAGTCCGATAGATAGATAAAAATCAAATTTTTTTTGCTGGAAGAATCATCGTCACACGGGAGTATAGAGTATAGGTAGTAGAAGGTTGGTGGGCGGGTGGTGGGTGGTGCTGGATGGTGGATTAGGCGTGGATGAGAACGTCGACGCCGCCGCTCTTGTGCCATAACGCCAGCGGCACCGCACAGTTTCCGCACGAGTGCTGCACGTCCTTGAACGATTTGACGACGTAGGGGACGCACGGCGCGCACAGGAGGCAGCAGAAGATTAGGGCCCAGAGACTGGTGTGCGTTGGTTAGCATCGCGCCAAACAAACAGACAAACAAGCAAACAAACAAGCGAGCAATAGTAGATTGGGAGCGTACTGGGCGTTATCACCGCTCTGATACGAGCAAGCGGTCAGCGCCCTCGCACCACACGACGGACAATCGACGGGCGCAGGACTCCTCGAGAGCGAAGCGAGCGGCATGGCGGTAAGGAATTGATGTCCCTGGGCGCCGGTCTGCTGCGGCTGCAGGTGGTAGTCGGGCGCCTTCTCGCCGTACATGGGCGCCGGAGTCTGCGATACTGGCATCGGCTGCGATGGGTCGTGCACGTATTGCTGCTGCTGCTGCGCGTTCGGGTCGTGCTGCATGTACGTCTGCTGGTTGGGATCGTGAACGTAGCCTTGCTGGTTGGGGTCTTGGACGTAGGACTGCTGGTTGGGGTCTTGGACGTAGGGCTGCTGGTTGGGGTCGTGTGCGTACGCCTGCTGATTGGGGTCTTGCACGTAGGCCATTGTGATGGGTTGGTTTGGGGGGTTGTTTGGATGGTTGTTTGGGGGTTTTTGTTGGTGGGTGGAGGTGAGTGATGGCTTATGCGTGCGTGTGAAGGGGGTGGGAAGGGGAGAGGAGGCAGAGGGAGAAGGGAGGAGAACACGGAGGCTTTATTGATTCTGCTTGCAGGTGCGGCTGAGCTCGCTGTGCAGCAGGTGCTAGGTACGAGACTTGCATACACGCTCATGCTTTTTTCTTGTGTGTGTGTGTCACATAGACATACACATTGCCATGATTCCGTGGGTGGAAGGGGGTGACTGAACTGGGGGGGGTGCCAATTCGTTGCTTGTCCTCATCCCTCCCGGCGGCCAGCAAATGTCCCTACCAATTCTCCACAGCGCCTGGCGAGAGACAGCGCTTTACGCTTTACTCTGCTCTAGCCCACTCTGTGTCTCGCTTGTTTTGGGTGGTAGGTGGTACCGCATTAACTAATGTCAATACGAGGGGTGTGTTGGAAACGCTGGGGTTGTTGTTGGAGGTAGGAAGTCCGGTGGACGGGTGCCTGGAGCCTGGAGGGTGGGTGGGATCGGGGGGCTCGGGTGTGGCTGGGGCTGCTGCTGTCTGCCTTCCATCGAGTGCGGATACCACATTAGTCAGTTGTCGGTGGTCGGTGGTCGGCGCTCTATGTAGAGTATGATGCTTGATGCAGGCATTGGGTGATCGAAATAGAAACCTCCCCGAATGATGAGTCCACTTCCCCGCCGATCCTGATTCCTACATACCTACAGAACTAGCACTGCAATGACTGCTCTCACCAGACGATTAGTTAATGATCACCTCCAACCCACTCAACGCAAGCAATGCACCTAACTTCCTTACCTCATACCCACCAGACTCACAGAGTACCTGCTTTTCATTTAAGGCTATCTGCACGGCGTATCATAGATGCAAACCCACCCCGCTGCAACACCCGGTGAGGAGCGGAACTGAGCTGCCGAAGTAACCCCCGACAGGGCAAATATTTCATCACGTGACGCGGTGTTCGCGAGATGCCGTTTGGGCTGGCAGTGCACGTATGTAGGACGATTCGTGTGGCGAGAGTGAAGTCATCGGCGGGGTCGGCGTCGTAACTGCTGTCGTACAGGTCCTGTGGCAACTTGCAAGGACGGAGGCGCGGCGTACCGTATCGACGAAACCATCACTCCGCCGCAGGCCCGGCGTTCCCATTCCAGGGGCTCACGTGTTGCACAATCAAGTGCAACATAACCGGAGTACAGACGACTACTATACACTTCTGCTCAGGGCACTGTCCTGGCTGTGCACTCGGCGTCTGTCGCGGTTGGCGCAGCTTAGTTGGTTAACTCAGCCTTCTGCTCGACCGTTAAGCTTAACTTCGCGCTGACTGCAGCCTGCTTAGCATTGTGGTAGCGATCATTACGAGGCCCCCTCGTTGAGGGTCCATGCTGAATTCTTCAACAACTACACTCTTGGCGGGTTCTGACATGCATGCGGTTCGGTTTCTTGGCGACAACTAAACGTGTGCTTGGGATTGAGAAGCTTGGAATTGCGGAGGGAGGTCGGTACTCTAGTTCTGTGAGTCGTCTGCGACCGTCGCGGATTATGGATGCATATTACCACCGAATGATCCCGAATGGATATGAGACCCGTCAAAGCTCGTCCGACGTAGATATATACGATAGTCATAGCGATGTTTTATGGCTTAGCTTGCGATTCTCCAGGAGCCCAAGTTTTCGGCTGAACAGGGTACCAGAACCTATGCGCAGGCTCACATGATTCGCTTTTATATTCCTCCTGATGGTGCATAGATGGAGAGCCTTCCCCACCCCACTGTTCAAATGACTAACCTCTCTATCTCTACTCATAGATGTTTTTACATAGCAGTACGCACCCACCCGCATTCCGCTCTCGCGTAAAGTGTCGACTACGGAACTGCCAGTCTCCGGAATGAACGGGAACGTCGTTGAAGGATCAGTGTATACCAGGTGGTTCTTTATGATTGCCGTGCCACTTGTGATGGTGGTCGTGCTGGCGCTGTGGTGCGGATTTGGGTATGTATGGGGGGATAGGAATACCAAGGCGATTTCGAGTGACATGTTCCATTGCGAACGGGCTGTCATATCATGGAAGTATGTGTGTAAACGATGAATTCGGGTACTTGCTCTATAATCCGAACTTACTCGTGAAGTCATATGAACAGTGATTCTTCGTCCTGAATTGGGTGCTCCAGGGTGAATGAAACGCACAAGCCTGGCTCAAGACAAGTGGTTGTCGATTATTTGGCCATGAATGGAGGCCTCGAGACCTGGATCGAAAAAGCTCTCGATTTCCCATTCTCGCTGGTGCAACTCCATCATATTTAGCGCCTCGTAGAACGGATTGCCGAATTTCTGTATCTCACCGTTGACGGAAACACTGTGGCCCTGAGCCAGACGGAGAGGAGACCACTGACGTCCACCAACAAGCAGTCCTACGCATCACGCTAAAATCCGCGTCTCTACCCCAGACGGAACATCCCGGCAACACCCACCGTCGGCCATGACCACGTTGACAACCTCCCCTTAACCCCTCCAACACCATGCCCAGCACCTCCCACCCATCTACCCCAAACCCGAGGAAGCAGACAATAATCTTCCTAGGAGCCCCTATCCTCGACCGGATTAACCTTGAGGAAAGCAACCTCGAAGACGTCGATACGACCAATCCACGGCGCCCATTATTGACGGCTCCAGACAGCACCAGCGCGCCCAAATGGCGGGTCCTCCACGCCTCGAAGCGGCTCAAAACCGGGTACACGCAATCGTTCACGGCGGACTCGCCGTCCGCCAGCGCGGCCAGCGCAGAACCAGAGCACTCCTACGGCCACACCCAGCGCGGCGACGCCTCGGACGCAGGCGATGATGACTCGGCCTTCCTCTCGACCGCCTCCTCGACCTTCTCGTCATACCTGGACGCCTCCACGATCCTCCCCACCCCCAGCGCGGATCTACCGCTCCCCCCGCTCCCCCCGCTAGATTCCCTAACATCCCTCGACTCCCTCCCGCCCGCCCGCCTCATCTCCCCCGCCAGCCGCGTCACCCTCCTAGTCGGCATCATCGCCATCACGCCCACGCGCACCATCACCACGCGCTACCGCAAAAAGGCCACGGTGACGACCCTGACCGTGGGCGATTTCACGCTCGCGCCCTTCCGTATCGACATCTGGCTCCCGTGCCACCCACAGACCGTGGACGAGATGGAGCTGCGCGCGGTGGTGCAGGAGCTTAGGGTGCTGGATGTCGTAGTGGTGAAGCACTGTCGGTTGGGCGTGTTCAAGGAGCAGATTTTTGGCACGGCGGGCAGTAAGGGCGTGGGTGGGAGCGAGATCTGGGTGCTCCATAGGATTAGGTGCGTTGATACGCAAGAGAGGAGAAGGTGGAAGTGGAGGTGGGGGGAGGGGCTGGTGGAAAGAAGGTTGCAGAGGACGGCGGAATGGGTTACGGAGTTTGGTGGGGGGCCAGAGGTGATGATCGGTGGGAGGGGGAAGGAGGAGGAGATGCCGCAAGATACCCCGGGGAATGTCAGTTTTTGACATGAAGACAGCCAGGCACAGGCTGGCACTCGATTTTCAACGCGAAGAGGGCCCAAGAATGTACTAGTACGTGATCCAATTACCATCCACCATACTTGATACAATAGGTATTACCAAACCAAAACAGAACAGAACAGACGAACGCCCATAATACCAAGTACATTATCTCCTGCCCACACCTATCTACCATGATGCGAACCACACCAAATTCCCAGAAGAAGAAGCAGTAGCGATCTATCAATCCCGATATAAAGCGCGCCCAAAAAGAAAAAATCAAACCAAACCAGTACCAGTGCGAGCAAGAGAGATTAAAACGTAGTAGCTCTCGCAATGGTTCCCTTCCTCTCGTCGAGGTCCCTTTGACGGTGGCTATTCAACTCGGCATCTTTCCAATCCCCCTCACGCCTGACTTCCACCAACCCCGCCTTCTCGAGCCTCTTGCGCTTCACGCCCCAGTCGATCAAGATGGGCAGAAACCGCCAGATATCAAACTGCGGCCAGAGACAGTCGATGAACACGATCTCGGTATCCTTATGGCACTGCCACAGCATGAAATCGCTCAGCCTGCGCACGCCACTAGTGCGCACGACGAGGTCGAGCGGAGGACACCCAGCGGTGAACAGGTGGTCTTCGAGCGTTTGCTGCGTGATGGACTCGAAATCGGTCAGGCCGGGCGTCGCGGTCTTTTCCGACGACGTCGAGGAGTCGCTGAGCCCCGGGGAGCCGGGCGCTGCCGCGTGCACGGACGTGCTGAGCGCTACTACGTCCCGGATCGATGAGGCGATCTCGTGCCGCGAGGTGTACGGGAAGCACACGTTCAGGATCGAGCTGTCGCTGTGTCAGCGCGCACTTTTCCCCCCTCCTACCCTTCACGCAAGACGAGGGCGCTGTGTATGTACATACCGGTCGTTGTTTTTCGTCAACTCGACGGCCTCGTCTATCACCTCCAAGACATCGGGGCGCACCAGTTCCCGCTCGCCGAGGATCCGCAGACTGGCACCGTACCGCTCCAGCAGATCCCCGTGTTGACACAGCTGCAGCAGCTTGATCTTGGCAATCTCCATGAGCGCATTCACCTCGTGCATCGGCCGCTTGAAGTTCTCTATGCTGAACGCGTAGACCGTTACCACTTTCACGCCGGACTTGTAGCACACTTCGAGAATCTATCCTCCCTCCCTCCCGAGGCTCAGTTAACATGCGAACGAACGCAAGGGGGAGGGGGACGGGAAGAAGTGGGGCGGAAAAGGAAAAGGAGAAACCAACCTTCGCGAGAGCTTCAAAGCCCATATTGTGTCCCTCGGCGGTTTCGATGTGGTTCTTGCGCGCGAACCGGCGGTTGCCGTCCATGACGAAGGCGATGTGCTGCGGCACGGGCCCCTGACGCACAGAGTGGATAAAGAGCTCCTTGAGCTGTGTAGACGCCCATTCGATCGGCGGGCTGGAAAGCATCCAGCGGCGCATTCGCGCGGTGGGGAGATCGGACGGCATCGTGCGAGGAGGAGTTGTGTTGTGCTGTGCTGCTGTGTGTGTGTGTGTGTGTGTTGGGGAGCGGAGGTGGTGGTGATGGTGGTGATGGTGGTGATGGTGGTGGTGGTCAGGACAGCTATACACTTTTGTAAAGTATGTGAGCTGCGGACTTGATGTAGGTTGGTGATGGTGGTTTGAGGTGGTACCTACGGGGGAGTGTACACGAGTCGTGCTACGAACGCCAAGGGAGGCGCTGTTCATACATCACATGAAAAACTTCTGACGGAACTCTACGACGGAAGTGGCTTTGCGATTCACTACGTGTCCACGAATCATGGTTGAAGAGAAGGTTGTTCACGGTGATGCAAAAGTCAATCAAGCACGGATTTATTGTCTATGTGTCTAGATAAAGTGCGTGTTGACACGTCTTGCCACCTGGTCGCAACGTCTCCATGTGAAGTGCAATTGCAGGGCCACTCTCAACAGGGCTGACGGGCACTTTCAGGACCGTGTCAGCCGAGCCCCGGAGCCGGTCTCGGTGCAGAGAGTGGCATACATCACAGCCGAGCATTGCCAAATGCCATGGTGCCTCGTGAAGAACTTGAGGAAAATCTGCAAAGCTTCTCAACACGTCAGTGACAGGCCTTTCGACAAACAGCGCGCGTGGGAATTGGGTATTAAAAGAGCAAGCGGTGAAGAGTCAGGGTATCAAAACTAAGGAACATCAAGACGACATTGCTGCCGTTAAGATCGAGGAATTCCATTTTCTCTAGTTTGATTTCATCATAAAAGCCGGGGGAGGAAGGTGACGTGAAGTTTGGAGTTGTGCTGTGCTGCCGGAGGAGGAGTGTATCATACCTTTGACGGGTTGGGTTCCCTAGCCGAACGGACATCGTCAGCCATTCGTGGCCATCATGCGGTGAAACGCAGGTGCTGGGTGGTGAGAAGGAGAAAAGGTCGTGAAGTCCGAAAGGCAAATGAAGGGGAAGAAGCCGGAAGAAACAGTCACTGCGGAAAAAGTGCAAGAAAAGCCCCACCGATCCATGGCCACTAACTAACCCGGAACCGGCCGGTAGATGCCGCTGCTAAACTTAGCCCGGCCGAGTTGACTGTTGAACGGTAAACCCCACCCTGCGAGTACGAGCCGCAACCAGCCATGCTCTACCCCATGGCTGAGAGCATCCATCTCGGACTCGTGCTTTGCTGTCTTTGCGGCTGGGTCCTCAACACGGTACACGGTACATCTCTATCGGAAATCCCCACCGCAGCCGCAAATAGAATCCAAAAATAAGCACCGAGAGTTCCCTCCACTGCCTCCAGTGTCCACTGTCCAGGAGTCCAGGTAGGCATACAGGTACCGTACCTTCTCCGCACTCACAACCCGAGGACTGACTGAAGCCGCAGACCTCAAGTTCCCACTGGGTTACAACCTTTCTACCCACCATCAGCTGCGCCTGGCATCCCGCATCTCGTTCATTATTTTAGGCTCGCCCTATCAAGATGCTGGATCACAACAAGTCATTTCCAGCCTGGCCATGGGGCAGAGAAACAATCAAAACAAAAGAACAAAAAGAGCCTGCCTGCCTGTCGTTCTCTTCATTCTTTACGCCCCGTCGGAATGCCTAACCTTATTTACATTACACGCGAGACCGACGTTAAGGGGTCTGACAACAACAAGTGATATTCTAACCTGACGCCTTCCACTTTGTCTTTGTCTTCTACCTACTTCACTCAGGGCTCGGTCTGTCTCAAGAGCCCACGGTACCATACATGCTGCCGATATCAACCCGCACGATGCCCAGCGTCATCGGTATCCTATTCTGTCTGTTGTTCGTTACTGCGGCCAGAGCGCAGGACATCCTCCTCTTTGGTGACAACGGTCTTCCGGATTGCGCACATGCCTGTGAGGATCTCTACTCGGCACAATATGATTGCCAGAATGTCGTGAACAGCGTAGCTTGCTTTTGTGAGAGCAGCTTTATCACCACGAAGTCGAAGGATTGGAGATGCGATGAGGCTTGCACCATGGAGAGCGAGAGGGAGAAGGTTGTCACCTTTCTGGCGGCAACATGTGGAGGTTGGGAGGGTGTTGAGGTCGAGGAAACTGTCGACAGCAAGGTTGAGGATATTGTCGATCGGAAGGACAATGGCACAGCTGTACCCAGCGGTACAAACTCCACCACGACCGCTACTCCAACTACTACTACTACTACTACTACTACTACTACTACTACTCCCGTCGCTCCCGCCGACGAGCAAGCCGGGAATGAACCAGAAATCCCGAAGGCAACGAACTGGTACTTCCCTATAAGCTCCTCTATAGATCAATCCAAGTGCTAACCTCCCACAGGCCGCGCAAAAACTGGCCTTACTTCCTCGCCATCTTCCTCCTCGTTGCCTTCACAGCCTTGGCCTTCGTCTTCGCTGGGCCAGTACGAAAGTACGCTCGCCACCAGATCGCCAAACACCACACACATAAATCTGGAGAGGGTACCTCACCTTATTGGGAGGCGTCGACGTCCCACCTCTCCAGATTCTCTAGCGAATACCCTCCTACCCGGCACTCGGCTGCACCATCATCACGCGGCGGCAATGCAGCGGTGAGAGCACCTCTACGAGGAGGGAAGGATATCGAGAGGCAACGGCTCTATGAAACCATGAGGCCACAGACTATCGGGGTTTCCACTCCACCGCCTATACGCACGCTATTTGCAACACGAGCGGCGTCGGAGAGCAGTAGGACACACGAAAGCTGGGTGCAGAGAGTGCGGAGGAGATATGAGGAAGGAATGAGATTTTCTGAGAAAGGGTCGAGACTGGCGTTCTGGAGGCGGAGCGGTAGCGAAAAGAACGCCTCGAGCGATGTTGTGTGATTGATGTGTTTCCTGGGTTGGGTTGGTGTTATGGGATGTTTCTCCTTTCAGCGAGGGTGTTCTTGGTTTCTGGGGTATAGTTATACTGGGACTCACACCTATGGTGGGATCTTACGGGTGATATATCATGCTATGCATAGCTAGAAGCTGTTGAATAAAGATCGCCTTTGCGCATGTGGGACAATTTATTTATGCAAGGCATTTGCACACTCCATGTGCCGTCACTCCATGCGATGGTGATTGTGGCAAGCGGGTAATTCACCGCACGCCCAAAAGCAGACAAAGTCAACCCCCCAAGTCCGCCAACCTTGCAGCTAACTACCGCCATTGTAGTTAGAGTCCATTCTAGTTCAGTACTGGTCCTCTGGAGTCTGGATCCTTTCTCAGCCTCAACGCCAAAATTTCTCCCACCAAAATTTTAGACGCGCTTTCCACGCTCGTCACTCAATCCCACTCCCTCCACTCCTACTGGCCCGCTGAACTCAATTTCTCCCCTGATTGATGTATCACGCCCGCCTTCCAAATGCGCCTCCAAGTCCATGTCTACCCCACCTCTGCTGCGCAGCAGTCACGGGCAGCCTGCAGCTTCCTCGAGATTGCAGCGCCCCACTTGACTCTTGAGCAACTGAGTCTGTCGATCTGTCGACGGTACAGAAGGCTGTATCCACACCGCGCGTCGGTCCCCTCCACCCTTCCCCCCACCCGCTTCCATCTTCATCCCTGGCTAACGCCCGGGAAGAGAATTACAAATCCACAAACTCCAGGATAGCGAATGCAACGACCTGGACCTGTCGTACACAGTGTCGGATGTGTTCTCGGACAAGTCGGCAAACAAGGTCGATTCCGTCGTGCGCGTGATCCAGGCCAGCAACCTGCGCGAGTCGAGCATCCCGCCGGAGTCCGCGCTGCGACCGAACTCCTCATGGAAGAGTCACACTGCGTATAAGGGCTCGGTTCTGGGGCCGCTGGACGAGGAGGACCTACTCGACGAGCAGGAGCCGCATGAACAGCGCTCCAGTAAGAGGCAGAAACTGCAGGAGAAGGAGATGGTGGAGGACTCGTTGGAGGAACGCGATGAGCAGGATGGTCCTAATGGGGTGGGCGCGGAACGCTGGTTGGGAGACGATGAGGACGAGGCCGAGCATGATGATGACGATGATGACGATGATGACGATGATGACGATGATGACGATGATGAGCATTCGGTGCTGGAGGATACTTTTCTGCGGATGCATAGTCCTGAGCTGGGCGAAGGGATCAATGGGCTCGCATCGGCTAGGTTCTCACTACCCACCCCCGCCGGCGATGATATCGAGATCGTCAGTGCCTCACAAACGTTCGTTTCCTCCATGCAGCAATCGAACAGCATGAACGGTGGACCTCCAGCCGAGTTGGAGATCAAAGACGAAACCCAATCATCACCTATGTTCCGACGCATAATGGATCCAGTGAGCGCCGGCATAGAATCTCAATCACTGCCGCCCCTGCCACAGATCGAAGTTCCCTCCTCGCAATCGACAAACCGTTTACGCTACAGACCTTCTCCGGTCCCCGCGCAGTCTTCACGCCTCCACAGGAACTTCGCTTTCACCACCAGTAACGGGGCAAAACGGAAGGGCCGCGATATCTATGATTTCCCTTCCACCGACGACGATGTCGAAGAGAATGAAACCCCGCGTCCGCGTATAGGACGCGGAAAGAAGGTCAATAGTGCTAAGCCTACGAAAGCTGTTCCCGAATCACCGTCTGTGCAGCTGGAACACGAGCATCTCACCTCTAGCCAAAAGAAAACAGGTAATGGGAGCGCTCGCAAAGCGCGGATGAGAAGGCCGGCCGCGCAACTTGCTGAGGAGGATCATGTTGAGAAGGGGACAGCCGAGAGGGAGGAGACTGAAGCTATTGCTACCGCTGCCGCTGCCGCCGCCAAGGAACAGGAGCGCCAACAGAAGGAAGCAGCAGAGGCCAGACAGAGAGCTCTTCAAGCTGCCGAAGAGCGCGAGCGTCGGCAAAAAGCTGAGCAGGCGAGATTGGCGAAGGAGGAGGAGGAACGGCTTGCGAAAGAAGAGGCCGAGAAGGTGCGCCTGGCTAAAGAAGAGGCCGAGAAGCAACGTCTAGCGAAACAGAAGGACGAAGAGGCAAAACGGAAAGCCCAAGAGGAGGAGAAGGACCGTCTGGCGGCAGAGGCGGCTGCCGAGGAGGAACCCTTGGTGAAGGAGAAGGCCGAACAAGAACGTTTGGACCAAGAAAAGGAACGTCTTGCAAAAGAAAAGGCTGAAAAGGAACATTTGGCCAACGAGAAGCCTGCCGCGGAACCTGTTGCGGAAAGGAGGGCTGAGGACGGGCGATCAACGATAGAGAATGAAGAGCGGGAACGCCTAGAAAAGGAAAAGCAGGAAGCAGCCGAGGAGTCTGGAACTGATGCCATAAAGAAGCTACAAAACGAGTTGAGGAAGAAGAAGGCTGCTGGGAAAAAGGAGAAGACTCCGAAGGCAAAGGACCGGAAGGCCAACGAGCTCGAAGAGCAGAAGGCGAAGGAGCTCGAAGAGCAGAAGGCCAAGAAGACGAAGGAGCTCGAAGAGCAGAAGGCCAAGAAGACGAAGGAGCGCGAGGAACAGAAGGCCAAGAAGACGCAGGAGCGAGAAGAACAGAAGGCCAAGAGGACAAAGGAGCTCGAAGAGCAGAAGGCTAAGAAGACAAAGGGGCTCGAAGAGCAGAAAACAAAAGAGACAGTTCAGAAAGCTAAGGATCACGAGCAGCAGAAAGCGAAGGGAAAACATGTGAAAGATGAAGTCACCCCAACAGCTACCAAGTCTGAAGCTATGACTGTCAAACCAGAAGTTACGGCAACGAAAAAGCGTGCTAGAAAGGACAGCCTGCCTACTGGGGATGGCAAGATATCTCCGGATGCGAAGGTCTCCAATAAGAAAGTACGGACGCATTCACCCGTAGCTGTACGCCAAAGCCAGTCATCTTCTACACCCTCAGCCGAACGAGATATGGGTCCTCCTCCAGTTCCGAACTCCGCCATGAAACGAAGCAACCTTAAGAAGGAGCTATCTTCCCAAGAGCCCCTGTCAGCCAGCAAAAAGAGAAATTCCGTTTCCTTTGCCGAAAACATGCCCAGCAGTCAAGGGTTTCCTGGTTCCTCGGCTCCAACCATGAGCTCAACCCCTACTCCGATTGCTCGTCCCTTAAAGCGGACACCCATTGTATGTCCATTGCCCGCCGCAACCCCAATGTCCTCTATAAACCCTTCGCTCCGAACTGTCACACCAATTCTCCCTCCCGGCTCTGTCAGACCTTCTGAAAAGAAGGAGGTTGTGACAGCGAGAAAACCGCCGACCCACAAGCCCGAATCTAGTTCTGAATCGGAATCCGAATCAGGATCGGGCAGTGAATCTGAAAACGAGGCAGTTCCCAGGGCGTTGCTGTCAGCCAAAGTCGCCGCTCCTACTAAGCCAAAGGTAAGCAGAAAGCTGCTGGTGGTCGAATCCAACCTAAAGGCCTCCACCAAGAAGGCAAATACTCCTACAGCGGGCTCTGCACCGGTCCCAACAAATAACAACGGTTCCGATGTCGAAATGCAGGATGCTCCTCCTCCTTCCACCGCCCCAGTCTCTTTGAAAGCGACGAGACCAAAGACGCCCTCTGCTACCGCTAGGGTCTCACATGCTGCCCCGGTTGCCAAAAGTGCGCCTCACGTCGTTTCTAGTGACTCGGAATCAGAAGACGACGACGAGATGAAGCCACCTCCGTCAGCGCAGATTTCCAAGTCCGAGCCGCCGCAGAGCTCGCAAGCCTCTAAGTTGGTTGGCGCCAAAAAGCCAGTGGCTGCCACTGTGGCGGATGACTCGGACTCGGGTTCAGACACCGGCTCAGAATCCGATGACCACGATGATGAACCGACTAGCACTAACAAGGCAGCTTCTGCGCTGAATTCCCTTCTTGGAAAAGCCAAATCCACCGCACAGTCGCTCGTCAAGTCGAAAGCGATTTCTCCAGCAATGACCAAGAAGCTCAGCTCCCTTGGAGACCTAGAGAGCCGAGTGAAGTTTGACGTCCGAGAAATTCACCCATCTCAACAGGTAACGCAGCAAGCATCGCAATCCACTCCAAGTTCCCAATCGACAGCCAAAAACGTCAACTCTGTAACGAAACGAGTCATCGAGCCGGAGTCGGAGTCGGAGTCTGGGTCGGAGTCGGAGTCAGCCTCAGATTCTGACAGTGATGCCGACTCAAAATCGAAGGCAGCGATCCCGGACCACAAGAAGGCTGGTTCCAACAAAAAGAAGCCGGCGGGTGCAATGGGATTCGGACGAATATTTTCGGGGGTATGAAGACAATCAATCTCCACAGTCCATAGTGACTGACCCAATACTGCGGAAAGTTATTTGAAGTCCTGTTTCGCTCCTTTGTGTGAACATCTGTGGGGAATGGAGCGTGCATCAAAAGTACTATGTTTTTTTCTCTTCTTCTTTCTTGATTTCTCTTTCCTTTCTGTTTTTCTGTGTGTGTGTCCATTGTGTATTTCTTAATGTGACATTGGAGGCGAAGTGGGCGTCTTTTCTTCCCAGCGGGTTGCTGCTGTAGCTTGAGGCGTACGAAGGAAGTGGGGTTTGCATGCAGGGTGAGTACGAAGATAATGTACCTAGAGTATCTACCAGATAAGGGGTGATGGTTGAACGAAAGTGGCTAGGAACCCGATCGCTCTTCCCTTCATACCTCGATGAGTGATGCCACGTGATGTCAATGTAACAGCTTTCACTTCTGCTTGATCAGAACGCTGGACAGTCACGAGACAATTCATTGTGAGCCTGTGTCTCCTGACTCCGGCCCCTTCCCGGATCATGATGTGGATCTTATTTTGTCTTCATTCCATCCTGTCATGTTTCAAATGGCATTCCTGTGCCACCCGATGTCTCAGCCCGCCTGACGGGGGACGCCCGGGAGATCAATTCTGACAGACACATGCCGGCTAGTAGCTATGATCGATGGCGGGAAATCACTCGGTCCGTGTTTATTTATGTCTTACTGTTGCGTTGTGTTGGAAAGTATGAACAAATATTGTAGATATTGAGACTCGAGAGTCTGAAGGTCTCGAGAGAAGACAGAAAAGAGAAGTGGTAGGCGGCCAGTGCTTCCCGCTGTCATGACTGAGTAACCGACTAAAGAACGAAAGACTAAGAAACGGACGCCTAAGAAACGGACGCCTAAGAAACGGACGCCTAAGGAGCGAACGACTCGATATTTCAACACGTTGCTTGCCGAGTGGCCCGAGTCATTGCCCATGAATGCTTCCGGCCGAAGGGGCGTTATTTGGACATGTCTCCTCGATGTTTCTGGACACCTTATGGAGTATCTGTACTTCCCATACATCCCAAGCTACTGGTAGCTATGGTGGCGAGACCACATCGTGTAAATACTTCTTCGGCCTCAGTTCCTTCCAAATGCCTCACTTACCCAGATCTTTGTTTGTCCCCTGCCGCTCCAATACAGATGATCTGCACAGTGGCAGTATAGAATACAGCACATGTAAGTATGAACCGGCACTCTATCTATATACCATTCTTCACTTTTCCTCTGCCAGGGGTCGAGCAGCTTTCGTGTAACGTGATTTGACATGCAAAATCCGCTGCAATGTTGGGAATCTCTATCCATTCATCCATAGATCTCGGGCATTCCCCTTCACCCCTCTCATCTGTTGTCCCCTCGCCTCATCCCCCCACCCCACCCCCCCGCATACATCTCTGAAAGTCCTCTGTATTCGCATTACTTACCTCTTCTTCACCACCCAGCTCGGAAATCCGCCTGCACCCGCAGAGCAAAGACCTCCACCCGCACGCGAACGTCATTGCTTAGGGTTCCTTGTCCGTCTTGGGCCGTTACCTGAACAGGCGAAACTAGCTCGCTCGCGGGCAACGCTACTCTTAATTGCAACTGCTCCCACCCTCCATTTTTCGCCTCCCTGAGCGCTTTGGCTTGTTCTCCCTCCCCTCCTGCTACACGCACTTCTGTCCTGTCATCTGGACACTCAACTCCAACACCCCCCAGCAGTTGCCGTCGCAGTACCAATCGCGTCTTTCAGTCTCACTGAACCTCGCTACCCTTCCCGCAAGCCGTCTGTTCGCTTTACGAGAGCCAACTCGAGCTCTCAATTGAGTTTGCCAGCCGTTCTTGAACATACCGAAAAGACTAGACACGTCGTTGAGATCGAGCACTATCCGCATCCATCGAATATATATCTGCGGATGCGATTGTCCGATATCGACTCCTTAACCTGGGAACAGTAAGCAAGAACACTTCACACAATTCATTCACACCCGCAAAGTCGTCATGGTGCGCAATAAACACATATCTGACGAAGGTACCTCGAATTCTCGTAGAGAATCGTCGTATCGAGGTCGTGGCCGAGGCCGTGGACGGGGGAGGTACTCTAAGAACTACCGGGGCAACTACCACAATAGCAGCGACCAGTCGGATTACCCCCAGCAGCATTACAAGTCAAAAAATTACGCGGATAACAGATCGTACCCGGAAGACGAGGATCAATACGAGGAACAAATAACTGCCAGAGGTGAAAGCATGGAAGACCTCTACGACGATAGACCTAACCAAGACAACATGGAAGGCGTCAACGAGGGTCGCTCTCTGCAGGATCGCATTTCCATGCCCAAGAACGACCACTATTCTGGTCACGAGGGTGCAGATGATCATGCAATGGTATCGTCTATCTGATATCCCCGTTATCGCGTGACGCGGAGCTCTGATCTGACCCTGTGCGACGTTTGAGCAGGATGATGCGTCGAGGTATGAGAACACTGTTGAGAGCGAGTACCGCACCGGACAACTGCCGCCGGCTCGCGATGATGGTACTGGAGGCGCCAACAAGGAATCCGGCGCCTCGAAGAAAGAAGCAAACCCTGAGGAATTGAGGCAGAAAGTTCTGGAATCGTTGGCAGAGAAGAAAAAGAAAGCAGCAGAGTTCATGAACATGGAGAAGGAAGGAGCATCCATACACAAGGACCAGCCTACTGTCAACAAGGCCACTGGCAGCAATTCCGGTGAGGGCAACGGAGAACCGATCAATCCCGAGAGAGACGCTGCTGTTGATGCACTCTTGGCCACTTTCGGACCGGGCAAGGACAAGAACGGTGCAGGAGAAACCGCCAGCAGGAAGAATTCCGGCACAGATGCTGCACCGATTCACATCTCAGACACAGCGGATGCCCAACAGTCGAAGCATGAACAATACAAATTGGATGAGCCTAGGCCGTCTTCTCGTGGCGATAAAAAACAGGGATCTAGACGGGCCTCGGACTATGGCCACAAATACGATGACCATGACAGACACAGAGACAGTCGAGAGACTCATGGCAGATCCAGAGATCCGTCACTTTCATCCGGCAGACACGACCAACGTGGAGAGGGTCGAAAGCCGTTTGGGTACGACGATGATGAGAGAAGGGGTGGCGGTGGCGGTGGCGGTGGCGGTGGCGGAGGAAGACACGACCCGCGCTACCGCTACGATCGTGACAGATTTGAGGACGCAAATTACTCAAAGGAAACCAAAGGTCCAGGCAGTTCGAGCGGCCGTAAAGCTGTGATTGATCGCTATCAACCCGTCACCGACGATCGCAGGGACCCAAGAGATCCGCGAAATATCAGAGACCCCGCAGGCACCCGCGAAATGGTACCCTTCAGGGGCCCCGAGGGTTCTAGAGTCGATCACTCCAAGGGTGCTTACGGTGCAATGAAGCCTCCACGGTATCCAACTGATCCGAATGTGCAAGATGTTGAGTACAACGGCATAGGCCGGGAGTATCCTCCTGTCTATCCAAGTGCTGCTCCGCGTTATCCCCCACGCGATGACCCCCGGTACGCACCAACGGCGGTGCCTCGCCCTGCCGAGACGGATTATGCGGTCATGTACTACAGAGACCTTACTGAATGGCTTGAAATCACTGGTTACCACGATTACGCTTATCGGCAAATGCACCTTCAGCGCAATCGCGAAGCGCGTGCGCTTGAGGAAAGCCGTTACGCTTTGGAACCTGGATATCCCCCTCGAATCGGTAGGGTTGAGGAATCAGGACTACGAAGCTCTATGTACGCTATGCCTCCTCCCCCGCTCACACCCGGCACCTGGGATGACAGAGAGGCTGCCGCCAAACGAGGTCTTCCTGCAATTCCTCCTATCCGATCGGGTTACCCACCAATGCCTGATGATCGGGGAAGCTACCGTGGAGACGAATTGCTCTCCGGAGGAAAACCAGGTGTGCTTAAGAGGCGCCCTAGAGAAGAAGAATTTGGAGAGCCACCGCATTCTGCCAAATCAGCGCGTCACAATTACGAAAGCTCTCACCGATACGGGGCAGATGGTGGTTCCAGACAAGGAGATGATGCTGGTGACGAAACCGAAGCAGTGCGTCAAGTTCTGTCTCGAAGGATCGCCTCTGCTCGCGATCGAGATGCATCTCCCAGCGCTGCCGATCGAGCTCGGAGGCGTAGCATGAGTCCCCGGGGAGCTTCATATGACGACCACCAGAGGGACTTCTTCAAAGGCAATAGAAGTCCTAATCCATCTCCGAGGTTTGAGCATGGAAGGGGCCGGGCTACTCCAAAATACACGCCCCGGGATGATTTCAAAAAGCCATTCCGTCCGAGGCGCGATTCGCTAGGCGAGTCGTCGGCCCCCTTTGAGAGAAAACCGTATGGCCGTGGCAGGGGAAGGGGCATGTACAAGGACCACATGCAGTACGATAGGAATGAACACCACTTTTACGACAGGAGAAACAACCAGAACATGGGAGAGCTTATGGAGATAGACAGACCTTCCGGATTCCCAGGTGGTGAGCTACACTCTCAAATTTAGTTGGATTCAGCAATAGACACGCAAGTATGGACGCTTACCATCATGCCAGAATCAACGAGGAACTCGGAAATTAGATACTTCATGATCAAGAGCTTCAATCAGGATAACGTCAAGATGGCTCAGCAAGATGTAATGAATTTTCTCAAAGCCGTCTCCGTTATCTCTCATGCTGACCAATGGCTTGCTTTTCACTGGAATAGAACATCTGGGCCACTCAACAGAAGAATGCCGAAGTTCTTGAACAAGCCTTCAAGGAATCCCGTGATGTCCTTCTATTCTTCTCCATCAACAAGAGCGGGAAATTCCAGGGCTACGTGCGTATCCTGTCTAGGTCTCTACCTCGCGAATGAACCGTACTAACTCTACTGATCCAGGCACGTATGGAAGGACTGCCTGGATCGGCACCTGTTCCTATGTGGGCTAAGAACCTGCTTTGGGAATCATCTGGACCGTTCCGCATCAAATGGATATCCATCACTGACATCAGCTTCCATCGTGTGGCCCATCTCAAGAACCGTCTCAACGAGAATCAACCCGTGTTGATTGGACGTGATGGTCAGGAGATCGATCCGGACTGTGGAGCCGCTTTGTGCAAGACCATTGATGAGGCGTCAGCATTCAGGAAGCTCCACGGGGGCAACAATCATAAAAACAACGACGAATAATTTCAGGAGAACAAGGAGCAAGCTCAACGTCACGCTGCATGAAATTACTCCACGTCACTTTTAAATGTCAACAAGTTGTTGCAACAGAAGGGAAATACATTCGGAAGGTATAACTTCGAACTTGTAAGATCATGGTTTTAGGGACTCTTTACCCTCCCAATCGATATGGCGGAAATCGATCGTTTTTGCAGGAGGTTTTATGCCCGGCATCTACTCAATTTACCGCGGTTGGGCGTTCTCCTTTTCATGGAACCAAAGAAAACGGATGGATGGATAGAGTGATTGAGGGAGCGAGCGAGAGCTTCCTTCATTCAGATACTTGTACCGCGAATTTCGCCTCTTGCTTGCTTTCGTTTGGGTTTTGTTTTTTAGTTGTAGTTTCACGTTGTAATTCATCTTTTTTTTTCCTTGCATTTTTTTCTAGGGTCTTGCGATCGCTTCTTGCTTGAATGTACTTTTCTACGGGGCATCGAACTGTTTCGGTGTCATGGTGCGTACCGGTAAGTACGATAATTTACTCGATTCCATTACTTGTAGTAGTTTTGATCGATCACTTACTTACATACTTCTTAATTATTGATGCCGTGTGCTTGAGGTTTGATTGTCAGACGGCTGGAAAAACGAACACTTGCTTTGGTGGGTGACCGTGTGCAGAGCGCAGGACGCAGATGGTTCTTGCTACCCCGTAATACCTGAAGGAGGGCATTGAACCAACGGCCGATCTGCTCTATCGGCTCGCATATGTACCGGCGATCCACACTCAACGAACGGACGAGTGAGGCCAGCGGCTAGCGGCCAACCAAGCCCTCCGAGTCTGACGCACTTGATGCATTTTTTTTTGATTAGACTGTATGTACCCGATCATGAATCATGATATGTAGCCCCAAGTGCAACAAATACTGTCTCCCTCAGGCAGAGTCAGGCCGGGCAAAGGCGGTTGGTCTGTCCGATGGGGTTACCTCATCCTCATCCCCGGCACCCGCAACAACAGAAGGAAAGAAAGATACCTAGGTGAAGGTAATGACGCAAGGGAAGTCGCACAGTTTGCCCTTGACGGCTGGCGCATCTGTTGGGCATCCGCAGCTGCATCCGCATCCGCGTCCTCGCCGCCCTCGCCGTTCTCCCTTCGTATTGTACTTATGTACGGACCTACGGACCTTCCGACCTCCGTCCGTACTCCTCAACAGTTCTGGTACCTAGTTCTGGTACAATTAGAGTTTGGGCTGCATCTTCCGTTCACGAGTCACGGCGATCTTGATTATCTAGACACTTCCACTTCCACGGGCTTCAAGCTTTTTTGGGTTTTTGTTTAATCATTGATTGCATGCGACCTAGTTACTATAGAGTAAATCGTGGCACAATATGCAAAACGCCCTTCAATTTTCAAAGCCTCCCATCCATCTATCCACAACGTGTCACCCGTTGAACCGAGTGACATAATGTGTAAACAAAACTTCCCCCCCCAACCTGACCCCCGGGGTTTTGGTAATGGTAATCATGGGTGATGTCCCCAACAGTGTGCCTATACATATGTCAGCTATTTGAGGCTCTCGTGATGCCGTCTTAGTGGAACTTGGGCTCGGGACCTCGGGTACGGCATCCTGACTACCTACCTGTGTACCAATCATGCATTCCCGTACCGAGCCCCGACGGTACATATAAAATACTGCTCTGCTGATAGTTATGGCAAGATCAAGATACTACCCAGTTTTATCCATCGTCTGGTCGGGACGGCCGTCCGGGCGGGACAGACGGCCAAAACGCCGTCCCGTCCGAGCCTGGGACGGACGGTTGCAAAAGTTGTCCGTCCGGTCCGAGGCGGTGCCGGACGGGGCCGGTTCCCATCCGACGGTAGAGGACGACCGTCCAAGTCAGGTGAATATGATTCAACTGATTGATGATTTCTTAGCACCGATATCCTTCACACCACCGCGTCAGTTCATCCCTCGCCGCTCCAGAAGCTGTGAAAAGTAGCAATATTTAGGCTCGGACGGACGGGACAAAAGTAGTCTGTCCCTTATATCCGCCAACTTGCTGGACGGGACGGGATTAGACTGTAGTCCGTCCCGTCCGACCTTACTGGTGGACTACCTACCGGTAGTCCGTCCACCAGACACCTCCGGAGTCCGGACGGACTGGATGTACCATGTTTGCAGTCCAGTCCCGTCCGTGGGTCCGGACGGACTGGACCGGACTAGGTATGTAGAACACCGCATGCAGGAACACTTTTTGACCTTTGGTGCCGCTGGCTATGGTTCGGGAGAGAGGGGGGGCAGGTTGGGCCCTGTCACGGGCTCGATCGTGCACGCTTTCCAAGTCTAAGTGACTGCTACATACATATCACCGTCGGGGGGCTTCGACTGAGCAAAAGCCGCCACTCTTATAGCATACATAGCCACAACGAAGAGTTCTGGCAGCAGCAGTCTGCACGGAGCGGCCCGGTAGGCAGCGACTTGATGATACATACCTGTAGACTGCGTTCTGTCGAGCACGCACGCAGATTTTGTCACCGGACTGGACTGGACTGGATTGGACTGGATTGGACTGGGCGTCTGATGGGCGGTGAATGATCATTGATACCCCGTGATGAGCCAGACACGGCACAGTATAATACAGCAACCGGTTGGTCGGCCTGCTGAGCACTAACACGGTTTGTACACTCGGGAGGGGGTTGGTCCTCTCATACCCCGCGGAATCCCGAAGAACCGGCTTTTACCAGTTCCATTCCAAGTTCTTCGGTCCTGGAAGCGATCGCCTATCAGCACATGCTATGGGGTAATCTGATAGGTATAGATAGGGCCTAATCTTCCGCTGTCATGCCCCGGATACCGTATCTGCTTCCGCCGAAGCTGTGGACGGCCTGTTGTGTTGTCAGGGCACCCGGTACTTCGCTTTCACCCCGCCCCGCCGGAATCGGACTGATAGGTAGCTCCAAACTTCAATCATTTCGAAACGTAGACCGCCGCGTAGGTATCTGGGAATTAACTTTGAGGACCGCCGATCCAGACCTACATTGGGAATATGGGGGAACCATCTGAGCAAACGTCCTCAACAGCCATCACGCCTTCGCACGCCCACAGCGCCGTCGCCGTCGCCCTCGGGAGATGGAAGCAGCAGCAGCAGCGTTTGTGCCGAGCATCCTTCGTATCCAGATTCGACGGCGACGGCGGCAGCAAAACATTGAAAGTTGAAACCGCCGATGCCGCGAGATCCCCTCCCTCCCCGCAGCGATAAATGCACATTGCACATTGCAGGGCGGATCTGCCAATGAACGTCCGTCGCCTTCGCCAGAAGTCAGCAGCATCAGCAACAGCAGCAGCAGCAGCCGGAAGGGATTGTGTTGTCTGCCATCCACATCCACATCCACATCCACCCACATACATACGGGTCCGCGTCACTGACGGAAGGTATGATAGGTAGGCATCTCTGCCGGTACCGGAAACCACGGAAACCACGGAAGAAGCAAAGACGTCGAGATACCGCCCGGTGTAAATTCCGACGCGTGTACTGGTACATGTCACTTTACAACCTATACGCCTCACAGCGAACTCCTGCTTCCTTTCGGTCCGAAGAGAGCATTCTATCGTACATATGACGGGGGAGAATAGAGGTATTTATGCAGAACCCTCAGCCCCCATCCCGCAGAAGAAGAAGGAGAAGAAGAAGCCAGCTTTGCAAAGGTTCGCAGCGGTGGACACTGATGCACAGAAGTGGATTATGGGATACATCAGACATACATATCATACATACTTCTTCATACATACTTGGTTGTGGGGTCAGGGTGGCCACTAACTAACCATATCTCGCCTGCATCCATGATGACCCATCCCCGCCGCGCAGCAGGTTAAAACTTAACGCTGTCCGCGGACCCGATTCGAGCCCCCCCCCATCACACCCTCTCCTCACACCCTCTCCCCACAGTGCACACCTTCACACCCTCTCCCCACAGTTCAATTCCGCACGTCTATGTATGACATGTAACTAAAGCTTCGGCAGTGCTGTGACTACGGATCGGACACGAGACGACACGAGTCCTCCCTCCCTCCCTCCCTAGCAGTGGCAGGCAGCCTGCCTGTCTTTCCACTACGCTATGTACCCCAAACCTTTCCCCGCAGGGCCGCGCACCGCCGCGCAGCGCAGCACATTGCAGGATTCCGGTCCGTTTTGTGTGTGTAGGCCTGCAGCTACTCCACATACATACGCACACCTACTCTACCACCTCTCCCTCCGTCGCTCCCTCCGTCGCTCCTTCCCCTGTGCCTCCCTCCCTCGCCCCACGCGCTCTAGCCTCAACAGTCCGGTTTGCACTGGACTGCAGATGGGGTGCATGTCCGCATGTCCGCATCTAGCTGTAAGTGCCACTCCCAGAGTCCCCACCGTCCCGGAGCGCGAGATCATCCGCCGCTCGCTCGGCGCTCGCTCGCCACTGGCGCTAGCCCAACTAACCCAGCTATATGTAGATAATGTACAGATCTGGAGATCTTCTCCGGTTCGCCCGCCCGCCGCCTCCCGCTGCCGACAGTGGACGTGGAATTGGAGTGCACTGCCAGTGGATTGCGCTTCCGCACGTCCGTGTGGCCCGTGTTGGGAGGAGGGGGGAGGGGGCATTCCAAAGCTCATCCAAAGCTCATCCATCCAAAGCTCATCCATCCAAAGCTCATCCATCCAAACGCGGGGACTCACGAGTCGTGGACGTGCGGCGGCGGCGGTGAGTGGATGAGGTGAGTGAGGTGAGTGCATGCATACATACCCACTCAAACACATACGACGTACGGAAGTGCTGAAGTGCTGAAGTGCTGCAGCTCGACTCTCGACTCTCGAGGTTGCCGCGGGTGGAAGCCAAAAGGCCAAGTAAGGGGGAGTCGCTGCGATTGATCCTGGAAAACGGTGAGTTGGTGACCACTGACGGCCATTGGCAGCACGTTGGGAGCACGCTGGGAACTTGGGAGCAAGAGCGGACCTCCGTGGATGTATGTTTGTACACACAGCAGACAGACAGATGGCTTCACGATGTCGCTGCGATTGGTTCTGGAAAACGGTGGTCACTGAAGGCCGTTGGCGGCACGTTGGGAGTAAGAGCGGACCTCCGTGGACGTACACACAGCAGACAGATGGATTCACGATAGATTCACGATGGATGGCTTCACGATGGATGGCTTCACGATGGATGGCTTCACGATGGATGGCTTCACGATTGATAGATGGCGATGGGGTGGGGTGTGCTGTAGACAAGTGTTTATTCCACGATGCTATGTACCTAGACTACCGTACCTAGCTACACAACTACCGTGAAGTGTACCTACATACAGCTGTAGCTACTCCCCAGCTCTCTGCAGCTGTAGCAAGCAACAGCAACAGCAACAGCTACCGCACAGCTTAAAGTAGTTTCATTAGACAGATACCTAAACCCCCTATCGATAGAGCGTATGTGCAATGCTCACCCGGCGCTAAACGTCTGTGACCCCAATATGTAATTAATCTACTTATGTAAGAACATGTAGGAAGACCTAGGCAAAGTATCTAAAGTAAACTCCTGCCCCGCTGCCTCCGGTGGGGCGGTGGGACGGTCATGTGGCGAGTGATGAAACATGCGGAAGGAAACCTCGACACATAGATTCACTCATCGGGATGCGCCATGGCGTGCTACTATAACTACATGTGCGGACGTGCGGACCCTGCCCCAGAGCCCAAACGCTTGATGCCTTCGATAGTTGGGCTCGATGGTATGGGGTTATCTTACGTGGCATATCATACACGATGGGGTGTTTCCTGCCTCAAACAGATGGACTGGCGGCGAGAGATCCTGATCCTAATCCTGATCCCGATTCATGTCCGGCGGAGTGGGGCCAGCGCGAGGCAGCGAGGAATATAGCGTTGTTAAGTAGTTACGAGCATGACAGCGATTCAATTCCAGGCAGCAGTTGAGTTTGGCGTGCAGAATAGTTAGGTACGGTAACCAAGTAGGTACCCTCGATGAGCGGATAACCAGTGCTGATCGCAGAATCTTAAACCCAAAAATCCTGCCGTTTGTTGTAGAATATGCATGTACCGGTGCTTGTTGCCGGGTGTGAGTTGTCGGGTCAAAATCGGTTTCACCCATGAGATGAGCTGTGCCGCAGACGATCACCGAATTCCCGTGCGATCGGCCGGCACACGTCTGCTTGACGGGACGACGAAATCGAGAGGATTAATCACGCCAAGTCGGAAGCTCCAAAGATGCAGAAGCACAGAGGTCTAACTCTGTTGCACGTTGACATCATCCGGCAATCTGACGGGGCTGGCTGCGGCGTGTGTGATCGATCCCCATTGCTGAAGCGATTCTTCTTCTTCTCCATCGCCATCATTTTCTTCTTCCACCGTCCGGCAATCGCTTGGCCGCCGCCGCCGCGCGGTACGAGAGTCATGCGTCGTTCGGACCCCGGATGACTACCTTGATGGGGATAAACAGGAGAGCGAGGGCGGGCTTCGTATGTGCCTATGTATCGCTTGCAACACGTAGCATCGGAGAGGAAGGGCAGGGTCCAGACTCCGGCGGAACTCGCTGGGCCGTAGAACGGCACATGGGGTGTGCATATTGCGGGGGAAACAGGCCTAAGCACCAGAGAGGCGGGCGGCGTGCTCTTGTGTCTGGTCTTGTGTTTTGTCTCTCTCGTGTCTTGTCTTGTCTTGTCTCGGTGCTAGGTGCGGGTGGGTCACTTCCCGTGGGTATGTGCGGTGGTGACCTGGGGACACCTTGCCCTTAGCTGAAGGTGCAAGCGGCAGAGCGGTCCTCGGAGAAAGAACGAAAGGAATTGATGAATTTGACCCGGGGGTCTGGTTGGTGTGGTCGGTTTGTGGTTGGCGTTATGTAAAAGCCCTAAGCATTTAGGCCTGCACGTTTGGCTGCATTCGGCACCGATGCTCGCTCGCGCCGCACTTTCTTTTTTCTCTCGCTCGAATCCGCCTCCTTGTATGTAGCCGCAACGTCGGTCGGTTCGTTCAGCCTCCACAGACATCAGCTGACAATGGGACACACACATCACACACATCACACACGCATCACACACACACAACAACACCATTCCCTCCATCGGACGACGACCGGATTGGTTGGTTGGACAATGCGATGGGGCGATGGAGACGGGGGGAATGGAAGGATGGATGGATGGATGAATATGGAATATGGTGGAATCCATTAGCTCACAGGAATTTGATTGGCACCATGGCTGTTGCGAGCTTCCGTGCTGTCCGTACCCTAAGGGAAGGTCGAACGAAAGAAAGAAAGGTGCTGCTTTTGCTCTGCTGGCCACGAGCAGCCGTGTGAAAGCGAAGGCATCCGTAGTCGTGCCGCGCAAACGAGCGAGCGAGCGATGGGGGCGGGTGGCGGGGCGAGTGTCCGACGGTGGGAGGGTGGGTCGTGGCGACTGTCGTCCGCCTGTTCTTGCGCGGCCGTGGCCGGTCCGTCGTCGTGTCGTGATCATTCGTCGTCGTCGGGGTGTGTGCGCGTGCGGTGGTTGGGCTGGACAGTCGACGTCGACACGGGAACGAAGCGAAGCGAAGCATAGCATTCTTTGGCGAGCGTGGCTCTCTTTCTTTTATACATGCGCGAACTGCGGGGGTTCTCCCTATCGACGGGCTACGAATTCCCTATCGCAAGCAGAGCTGTGAGCTGCGAAGGAGACAATTCGGCGACCTCTGCGATAAGAAATTCCAGAATCGATCCAAGCAATCCGCACCCGCGTTCGCCGCAGCCAGAGCGGCGACGATGACGGAAACTGTGTAACGGCGGAAGGAAGCCGAAGTGCGCGGTGGCTGTCCATCCTTCCAGGCCTTACATAACTAGAGTATCGAGATCAGGGAGAGATGCTGGGTTTTTTTGCCGAAAGGGCTCGGGCTGCAACGCTACCTACTCTAACCTTGATTGAAAAAAGCAAATGTAGGGTTGGCGCTAAGTATGGGAGATCGGTGCCGAGAAGGCGGGCAGGGTCTGGCCTGAGGAAAGTCATGTGGAGAAGCTGTGACCTGGCCATGCCGGCTGATTGGCTGCCTCAGACCCCGCCACGGCTACTCTGCTTTGCGAGTAGCTACGCACTCTAGAGTGCTCTAGCAGCAGCAACAGCAACAGCAACAGCAGCATCGCCCAACGAGAGAGCAAGCGTCGACGGCTCCTTGTAGTCCTCATCTGAGGGCCCCAGCCCCAACCAGCCAGCCCAACCAAGCCACGCCATCGGCCAATTGGTCGGAAACGTGCAAGCAGATGCGCCGGTCTGTCGGGGCGAGGCGGCGGCGGTGAGCGTTCGGAGAGTGGGATCGACTTTTGCCTTTCTGGGGGACTCGTCTCTGTTCTTTGTCCTCGTCTCGCGTCACGAGCCCATTCGATTGGAAGATCTCATAATACCATCAGCATCAGCATCAGCATCAGCAATCTCGCTCAATTCATCACACATGCGTGCGTGCGGATGCTCAATGCTCTGCTATGTACCGGTAGTACCATCGACTCACAATGCCTTCTCTCCGCTGCCCCAAAACCCTGCCTTGCAGATCCGTGCCGCCGCCGTCGAGCAGGGTGGGTCGACCGTTCCTCGTTCTGCGATCCACGTGCGGCGTCTGGCGGATTTCCATTAGTCACTGTTATGTAGAAGCGCTTTCGAGGAGGGCGATGCGAAGGGTTGAACCGGTGACGAGTACTACGCAGCCTATGCTTTCAGCTAGGGGATTGGCATGGAGTCAATCCAGATCCGCGTGGTGTCTGCTAGATGCTTTTCAGCAGGAGATCGTTTATTTTCTGCCGTCGTGGTTTCCTTTTCTTCTTTTCTTTTCCTTTTTTTCTCCTTCCTTTTTTTTTCCTTTTTTTTCCTTGGTGCTAGCTGGCAGAGATGGCGTTGAGCCTAACCTACCTTACATGAGTGCGAGTAGAACAGACTCTTGATTTTCCCAGTTCCGGACATGGGGTTTGTGATGGTGGGTTGAGCTTGAACGAGCGCGGAGGAAGACTCTCAGACAGAAAGGGTTTGCATGGGCAGCATAGCGGCATGATGGTTGATGACTGACTGACGGCTGTGTCCGCGATGGCGAACTCGGTGCCTTTCTATTGGACCTTGCTGGACCTGCCATCGGGAGCCGGGTCCCAACGAGCAGCGTCATTGTAAAGGCATTTTTCTTTCTCTGCCTTGGGCTGTCTGTCCATTTCAACGGTGACCGCCTGTGGCCAAACTCACCCCCAAAACCAACTCCTTCTCGCCCCACCCTCCCACGGACTGACACAATCTCCCCAGATCCAACACGAAAACCCCCATACCTGCCACACACCTTTCATCTTCAGCATCTTGCATCAAATCATCGTGCTTACCTTGTAGTTGGAACTACCACTGTTCACGGGACCCACACATCCACACACACATCCACACACACATCCACACACATCCACACACGGCCCTCCCCCCCACACACGCTTTCACACCTTGATCGCTACCTTGAACTTTGATCCAAAACCTACATCTATTAAAGAACCCCCCCCACCGTCCGCCACCATGCTTCCAAACACCCTTCATCAGCATCACCACTTACAAGAAGACGACTCTTCCGGAATCCTACAATCCCTTCAGTCTACCGCTCCCGAACCACCTTCACCGAACACCCTCGACAAACACTTCGTGTTCCCACTCGAAAAACTTCCGCGTAACACTTCCTACCCGCTCAGCATGCCCGTCCACGAGTCTCACATCGCAAAGACCCGGGTGGCTGCCCCAATTGAACGTTTGCCGGTTGAGATCTTTGGTATGTTGTGGGGATCCGCTGCTTTGGTGTCTGGGATCCATACTGACTGGCTCCGACAGATCAAATCATCCCCTACCTCGCCGTTGAAACTCCCACGAATGGTTACACACCGCGAAACCGAGACCTTGCGTCGTGCCTACTTGTGTCTCGCACCTTCTACAATATGACTCTGTCGACTTTGTATGCGCGAGTTACCTTCCCACACTCGTCGATATTCTCCAAGTTCCTTGCTCACATCACCAAGTATCCTGAGTTGGGCCAGCTAGTACGGCGGCTGGACTTTGCTCAGTTTACAGCGGTTGGGCTTGGACGGACGAGGAAGGCGCAGTTTGAGATCAACAACCTCACCCAGGAGACATTGCTGCGGTGCTTGAGCTTGACTCCGAGACTTAGAGAGTTTCTGGCTGTGGAGTCTATGGACATGGACGTCAACGCTGCTGTGATGGAGAAGTTGTTCTTCGATCTGCCCATGCTCCAAGCTGTCGACTTCTGCGGATCCGGCATCACTTCGAGCTTCGTGAAGGATATGACTGCCGTGCTTTCTTCCAACAACCCACGCATGCCTGATGTCATCGGATTGAAGCGGGTTGGGTTCCACGGGTGTAACATCCTGCCCCCGTCGGTGTTTGCTTCGCTCGTGCCGCGTCTTGGAAACGTCACCCACCTGGACCTGACGCATACTGCTGTTACGGACGGCACTCTCCATGCTCTGCCCCACACTGCGAGACTTACCCACCTCTCGTTGTCTAAGTGCAACAGACTTCGCGGACCAGCAGTCGTTGACTTCATCGTCAACCACCCTGCGCTGAAGAATCTCATCTACCTGAATCTTCATTTCGATACTAGCAGATATCGGCTTCTGTCGGTTGCGGACGTGGATGAGCTGCTGCCACGCTTGCCCAAGTCTCTTCGTTCGCTCAACCTCTCCGGCGCGAAGATCAACTCTTCGCACATCCCCGAATTGCGACGTCTGGCCGAGCACCTCGAGGAACTTTCCATTGGCGGTGCTGACCTCACGCTCACGCAAATAAATGTTCTGTTCGAGAAGGGCGAAGAGGATGAGCAGCGTCTGCGCGGCGGACCTCGCCAGTCCACCCTGCGCTACCTTGACCTCACTGGTGTCGCGTCAGTGACACCCGTGGGAATCATCTTAGCGGGCAGCAATGAATCACTCCTCCGTCGTGATACATTCCCGCTTCAAGTTCTCGAACTGAGCGAGAAGGTTACCGATGGACTCAAGGAGCGCTCGGTCTCCGGCAATCGGATGGGCTGGGTGGTGAAGTCTGACAGTCGTCGCCAGTGGTACGTCCGTAGGAGCCCGGGAGTGGCTGCGGGCGGAGACCAATTGGCCAAGGCCATCGGCGAGGATGATGGCAGTAGGCCCTGGAAGATGGGTGGAAAGTGGTGGGGTGCTCGCAAGATTGGAATGGCTGAGGCCGAGCCTACCGGACTCTACGGATACTACTCTTACGGAAAGTGATTTCGCCCGCCTGGATTCATTCTCGTGTTCGGCTGTACAATACCTATCGACTTTTACATACGGGACTGGTCACTTGATCCCTCGGTTTATTTTTCCCCAACCGGTTTTTCTTTTTCATTTGTCGTTTTTGTCTCTTTGCATTGGCCATGAGTTTGCCCGTCGGTTCTGATTGGAGTTCCTGAGGTGTATTGTTTACGTATTTGCTTTCTTGTCGTGATTGCTTTCACCTGCTGATCGGGTGCGCAACATACGTCATTTTTGGTCTCTTTCGGCTTTTCATGGCGGGGGATCGGTAAGGCAGGGCGCATCGGGTTTATTGGATATTTGCTTTTTCTGTTTCTTCGATTTACTTTTTTGTGTTTCAATGGTGGACTCGGAGTTGAGTGTTTCCGCAAATTGAACTGGATGCACCAATCTGGGGTGGTGATTTGCTTTTTACTCTTTGCTTTTTTTTTCGAACTCCAGAGTGTATCGTTTTCGATCACCTGTGAGTGCGTGGGTCATATTATTATTTCTTGTGGTCGTCTGTCTATAGCGAACCGTCGCGAGCGAAATCTAAGTACATATTTTACCTGATGGTCATTGGGCGCATGCGCGTGAGGTGAGGTGGGATGGGATTCGAATAGGCGCAGTGAAGAGCGGGCAAGCCACTCGGTATGATTGGTGGCAATTGTCGGTGGTCGAACGGTGACGCCGGTCCGTCCGTCGTGGCAAGACAGGTAACGGTGCTCAATGCTGGGCTGACGTTTTGTGCGGTTGCGATGGAGTCACGGCGGTTCACACCGGCCTGGAGGCTGGGATTGTTTGTTGCACCGGAATGTCCGCAGGCGCTGAGCGCTCAGTGGACCATTCCTTCCACAGCAACGTCGGTCTCACCCGTCTCACGCATCTGCCTTGATCATCCCGGCCGGGTCGAGTGACCGCACAAGTCCGGAGTCCGGAGGTTATGATACACCCCCCTGGCTGCCATGCTGTTAACTCCGTTCTCTGTGACACCGTTCGCGGATCTGATTAGCAACGCACTGCCAAATTCCGTCCGCAACGCAAGGCAGCCCCACCCTCCCTTCCTCCGTCTGAACACGTAGATACTCCGGAGTTTGCGTCGGAGCTTGTGTCGTATGTAACCGTGTCTTATGTACATACATACGAGGTGGATATTACGGCATTCGGATATAGAATTTAGGGGGGTGTCCGTCCGTGGGCCGTGCCGGTCGGTCGGTGGGTACTTAAGCTCAGCGCAGCTCTGCTCAGCTCTGAAGCGACAATTCGACATCAGATAACTCTCCCTCCGCTACCTACCTGCCTACTTCGTTACCGCATACCAACCCCACCCCACCACACCCCACCCCACCAAACGTCGCATCACACACACACACACACGCACACGTGCACACACACACAATGCCGTTGGCAGCACTCAAGCGTCTCGGCAGCTCACTGCTCACGCCGCGGTCGCAATCGCCCACCGACGGGGCGTCCAAGGTGACGAAGGAGACGCTGTTCCCCCCGATCCCTTCGGACGACGACTGCAACCACGACTGCGCCGCCTGTCCCGTATCCGATGGCACGGGCTCCGGCTACGGCCGCGCATTCGACAAGATCGGCACGGACAGCTCCGACCCGCTATGGGGGCAGGTGAAGGCGTACGGGACGCACGCGATCGTGGCGACGGGGAAGACCGACTGGATCCGCGATGTTGAAGACATCAAGGGCAGTGTTATGGCCGCCCTGGCGGCGAAGAAGAAAGCCGTCGACAACGGCCGCTTGATGATTTCTGCCAGCAATCTGCCGCCGCCGCAGGAGTATTTCGAAGCGCATGGGGGCGAGGGCAGGGACGCCCCGACGGATGTTATCTTATTGCCGGCGTTTACGGTTCTGGAGGGAGTCACGCCCGCGGATGCGGACGAGATTGTCAGGTGCTATATCAACCCCGGGCCGACGAGTAGTACTCTGCTGCCGCCGCCGCCACCTCTAGCCGAGGAGCCCGCCGTCGCGGAGGACACCCCCGCCGCCGACCCAGCGGAAATCGCACCCACCAGCGCCCCCTCCACGACCGCCGAAACCGCGCTCAGCACCACCCTCCCTACCACCCTCAAATCGCACCCGTACCCACACGCATTCCTGATCCTAATCTGTTCTCACCGGCACCGCGACGCGCGGTGCGGTATCAGCGCACCGATCCTCTCGAAAGAGTTTGAGAAGCACCTTCGTTCGGTGCACCTATGGCGCGACCATTCTGACCGGCGCCCCGGCGGCGCCAGCGTCGTCTTCATCAACCATGTCGGCGGACATAAGTACAGTGCCAACGTTATCATCTACCGCAAGGAGGATGGGCAAGGGATTTGGTTGGCAAGGGTCGCGCCCAGACATGTCGAGGGCATTGTTAAGCATACTATCGTGGAGGGAAGGGTTAATACTGAGATGGTTAGGGGCGGGTTTAATAGGAGGACGGGGGCGACGAGTTGGTAGTGTATGTAGTGCTGCAATGGGAGGGGAAGGGAAGGGATAGATAGAATAGATGGGGATGAATTGTGGGAATATGTATAATAAAGATGTCAAAACAGCTTCCAACGGGGGCCGCTACCGAGTGCTCGCCAATGACCCTCATAATCCCTCCTCCCCCTCCCCCCATCAGCACGCACTTTCGATTGATTGATTGACTGACTGACTGGTTGATTGATTGTTCATTCATTACACATTCATCATCTCATAGTAATTTCCTCCTCTCCAGGAGATCTCTCCATCTCTCCGTCCTTCCTTCCTTCATTCCTTCTTTCCTTCGTTCCTTCTTCTCCGGCAGTGGGCGGCGGCGGGGGGGTCATAAACCATCATGTATAGCAGTTAACAGCAAAAACAAAAGCAAAGAGCAGAAAAAAAACAGGCAGAAAAACTCATCGAAGAAGAAAAAACTCATCGAAGAAAAGAAACGAAAAGAAACGAAAAGAAAAAGAAAAGAAAAAAACGCCATAGTTATCACACCCACTCATCACACCCATTTCTACAACCCCACAAGTCAAGTTACAACCCCACAAAAAGTCCCCAGAATCCAGTCCAGGTCATCCATCCATCGCACTATCCCCCTGTTTCCCCCACACTTATTGAGCACAACGCCCAACACACAATTCTTTACATCTGGGAAGAAAAGAAGAAAGGAAGAAAAAAAAGAACACCACCGCATGCAGAATGCAAAGTTTGTCATGCTGATGAAGTCGAAGTCAATGTTTGTTTTAAAAAGAAAAAAACGACGAGAAAAAATTGGATGTCAAAGAGGCCTGTACACTACTCTCGTCTCGCAACCCCAAGATAAAAAAAAACCCGCACAAAAAAACGAAGAAAAAAAAGGGAAGGGGGGATGGGGGTAAAAAAGGAACAAGGAAACAGAAAACGAGTGCGGGGGGTAGTAGTTATAACTCGTAGAACAAAGAAACAAAAAAAAGTAAGCGGCATGGTGGTTGTGCGTTGGATGTGTAGATACATATCCTATTAGTATTCCCATCCGCCCACCAATCCAGGGCTATTCTCTCTGTGTCCGTTCCCCAGATCCAGTCCGAGGCCGAGCTCTAGTTTCGGCGGTGCATCATCCTTCTTCTTCTTGGCCTTGATGGGGCTGGCAGGACGACTGTGTTCGATCCGGGGACCGAAGCGGACGTCGCCAACGTACCACTCGTCCTCGGATGCCGCACGCACCCACGTCTTGAGACCCTCGTGGACAGAGCTGTGAAGCTTCTCCTTGCACGTGCGGAGAGCACCGCCCATAGCACGCTCCCAGCCAGAGTTCTTGAGATCCATGCGGAGATCGTTGCGTTCCTCACGGGTAGCAAGGGATGCAACACAGCCGTTGAGGAGATCCATGTGTACGGCGAGGTAAGACGTTGCCTCCCACTCGACACCACCGACGTGGGCAGCTGCTGGTACTGGTGGCCTTTCCTGCGGAAAGTTGCGCTCCGTGTATGACACCGACTTTGAGATCGGGGGGTTCACAGGTATGATGTTGGAGCCGTGGAGGAAGATCCAGAACACCTCCTTGGTGACGTTGACTACCTCCTTGCACCATCTTCGATACGGTCTGTTGACGTGCGCAACCTCGATAAAGTCCAGCGGACGCTTTTTGGGGTCGGGCTTCTTATCGGCAAGGTAAGAGAGGATCCTTCGCGTGCGGAGGGGTCGCTGCGATGCTGGGGAAGTCTGGAGATGGACGTAAAGAAGCGAAATGATGATTCCTCGGGTGGTAAACTCCGAGGGGCCTTTCTTTTCCTCATCGAAGAGCGAATCGAGCAGCCGTGGAAAGATGATGGAGCCCATTTCAGCCAGTTTCTGCAGGGCCAATGACGCTGTGCACTGTCCCTTCAAACAGAGCAGAAGTTCGTGTAGGATGTTGTCCTCGTGCTCTTCCCTCCATTCCACGCCGAGTACTCGCTCGACCATAGACCAGATAGCCTCCATACCGCCTTGCTTCGTGAACGATTCGACCCATCGTAGCGTCTCGTTACGGAGCACTAGCCGGAGCTTGTGCAAAACCGCAACCTCGACATCTTGCATGTGCTTTTCGTATTGGGGCATCTCTGTATTCTCCGCAAACAACCCATGTCCAAAATTCCTCCTCTTTCCCGCCTCCTTGAGCCACTTTACCCACTCGTCCGGTTGGAGGGTTGCAATCGTGGTCGGTGATGGCGGTCCATGGCCGGGAATGGCAGAGGTACTGGTTGGCGGAAACAAGTTCTTGCCCTTCGCAAACGGATCCTCGGCACCGCCCTTTTGTCGTTTCGTGGGCGAAGACGGCGCCGGAACCACATCTTTATCCTTGCTAGAACCGAATGTCCTGCTCCGGGGCCGTGACCTCTTGCTCGGACTCGCATCGGCGCTATCCTTGCCCTTGGACTTTGGCCGGACGTCCGTGCTCGACCCCGCCGTCTTTGGCCGCTTCCCGAAGATGCCCAGCCCGGAGGATATGACTGAAACGACTGGCGCCTCCTTGGGAGGTTTCTCCATCTGTTTCTCTTTGTGAATGAACTCCTGTTTTACCCGTACATCCAGCCCCCTCATCTTGTCTCTCATGTTTTCCGGTACTCCTCGCGAGTCCTAGTCAAAGGGGGTCAGCGGATGTCTACGAGTGATAAATTGTGAGTACCCACGAGCAGCTTTTCGAAGGCCCTATCGATACCTTCCAAGTCCAGCCCCGCAGACTGCTTGCCGCTGCCTTTGCTCGAGTGCGATCCAGCCGGAGATTCCTGTGCCTTTTTCGGTGGATCCGGAAGTAGCTTTTCCTCCGTGCTTCGGTGTTCGTTACTTTTCCTAGGCGCTCCGATCGAGAAACGATTGGACGTCGCCGAGGGGAAATATGCGCTCTTGGGCCGTGGCTTGGATTCTCGGCCCTTCGAGCTGTCTCTCTCCCTCTGACTTTCGCGTTCGGAAGGCTTGATCAATGCAGGCTCAGCCATGGTGCCACCGGCGCCAAAGTTCCTCTGACTCTTGGGAGTATATTCCGTCGGCGTGTACCTCTTCATGAGCTCTTCCGTCTCCCGTCTCCGCGAGCTCATGTACCGCTCCTCGGACGACATCGACGTCCGTGGCGGGGTTATCAGATGGATTGACGAGTCCGAGTCGTGTGGTGTGAGTCTGGGCCTCCCGTTTCCAGAAGGGTGGAATTTCGGCGGAGCGAACGATGGTTGTTCGGCTGGGGGTCTTCCTCGGTGATCGATGGCATCCCGTGAGACCAACCCGTGTATACTCCTCGGCGAGAGAGGGGTAAGAGGTTCCCTCGGCTGTCTATTCTCCTTGTTGTCCTTGATAAACGACTCCGCCACGTCATTCCTGTCCTGCTTCCTCCGCAACAGGTTGATGTCGATCGCACTCTTGCTCTTGGACGGTTTCTTCGAGTGTGTCGGTTTCTGCGGACTCGTCGATAAAACCTCGGTTTGCGTGCGGTTCGGCGTCATGAGGTCCCTCAACGCGCCAGAGAGGTCGAAGCTGCCCCTCGACGGCGAAGCCGGCGTACTCGGTGACGCATCTCTCTCTCTGTTCCTATCCTCCTTCCGCGACATCATGGACGAGAGGGATATCGACGACATCGACTTCTTGTGCATGCGTTTCTTTCTGTCTTCGCGAGCGAACGGGGCTGACGGCGGTTCCAGGTCGAGCGGAGGCAGGAGCGGTAGCGACGGGTCGATTGGAGGCAGCTGCGGCGCCGCGCTTCCATTGAACATGTAGGTGTTGAGCGGATTGGACGCGGCAACGTCTTCGGGGGAAATGGACGCGGACTTCTTGTGGCCCTTGTGCGGCGACACAATTGCCCTCAGTATTGCCGTCTTCGAGCGTTTGTGTCCCTGTGTGTATGGCGTCGAGGACATCGCAGGCGAATCGTCGGCGGCCATGGTGTGCTAGCTGTTTGGGGGTGTGGGGGGGTGTTCCAGCGTGGAGTCGGGCTGTGGTGTTAAGCGGCGACAGGTTTCGCGAAGAAGGAGAGTGGAAGGTGATATGACAGGCTTTTTTTTGTTATGACTGCGAGTGCGAGCAGGAGATGTTCGAGTAGGAGGCAGGAAAGTTGGAAGTTGGTTCTTCCGTGGTCGGTTGGTAGCGATGGCGGGAAGGAGGGTGGGGAGCTGACGGGGGGGGACCAGAGCTTGCTCGCTCTCAGCCCTCACTCTCAATTGGCAGAGGACAGACGGGGGTTCGGGGGGTGGAAAATGTGAGGATCGAATGGATTGCGAGAAGGAAAACGACAGAACAGAGTGCCACGCCTCCTGTCTCCCTTTCGCGCGCGTTTTTTGGCGAGGAAGCGTGTAGCGAGCGAGACGGATGGACTGGCGAGGATTTTGGCGAAGGAGAAGGGAAGCTCTGTCGATCAGCAGAAGAGGAGGGAGCGTGCTTGCCTGGGCAGCGAGTACGCGGGTATTCGAAATGCAGTTATTACTTGGGCATTGCAATTTGCGTTTGCATCTGCATTTGCTTTTGCATTTGCCTTTGCATTGTTTACGATGCCAGCGAAGCGCCAAAGACACGAGTCGCCGGGGCAACGAAGGCGAGCGGAATGGGAGTGATGCAACGTTGGAATACATAACAACACCCATGTCAGGGACTCAGGATACCTCACGCCCGATGCACACGGCGACCGGCTAAGTATGCGGTGAAGAGGGACAAACGTGCTAGTGATTAGTAGTTGCACTGGACTGGCATACGGATGGTTTACACAGCACCAACGAAGCGGATGCTGGGGAAAACAGGCATGAAAGCGATCTTACGATGTCACCTCTGTGCGGGAAGGTGGTAACTGCGGCCATCAGCCACTCGGGAGCCACACTCCTGCACGCGTCATCACTCGCCCGAACAGGAGAGCCGCTGACCGCATCATCCCGCTGGAGTGTCCGCGTCGCATGCAATTGATGATTAAACAAAAACAAAGCGAAATGCTGGAGTCACGAGTGTCAGTGTTGGTTCCAGCGAAACACGTCATTCCGTATATCCGTGGAATGCCGTACGGCTCCCTGCGGACTGGTTCTTCTGCTGCCTGACACTCGCGCGGGAGTCTGTCGATTGCCCGCAGTGCTGACATTTTTAGCCGATTTGGCCGGCATAATCGCCGACAAGGGAACCCGTATGGATGGAGTAACTGTAATAATAGGCTTCCCTCCGTCTCCTTCGAAACGGGCCAGATGGTCAGCCGTGAGGATACTTCTCCTCAGTCTCCTTCGAAGCGGGCCATCAGTCGATCAGCTATGAAGATACTTCTCCCAGTCTCCTTCTCGAGACTAGCCAGTCAGCCATGAAGACAGTTACTTCTCCCCCCACGCACCTCTGGCTCCACTCGACACCGCTCCCCTCTCCTGTTCTGTGACGACACGGGAAGGCATGACACCGCCGTACCATGAAGCCCCGCCACGACCGCCTCTGATAGGTCATATGCCGGTCCTAGCCCCAGCACTCGCACCCCCTTCCAGACCTTCCCACATTCATTCGTCGATCGTGAGGTGTCAAGTCAAGTCAGAGCCAGCGGCCAACGGCCAACGGCCAACGAACTAGTCGCCGCTCACCCGCATCCGACGACGCCGACGCCGACCGCTACATACGCCGACCACCCCGACCACCCCGCTCAGCCCAGCCATCCGCGATTCCACCTCCACCTCCACCACTCACAACAAAGTCGCCAGCCATCCCTTACCGTTCATCGCGCTAGGCTCAACGCATCGCTTCCCGTCCGTCGTGTCTCACAACTATTTACCTACACCTTACTTATCATAGTTGTCCTACATACAAAATAAAACACTGAACAGCTCGTGAATATCCTACCTGCTTTCCTACTCGTGGCCTAACATGTGCAGCGTCGTGATCGGAGTCTCCCGCTTCCAACGAACTCCGGCATTGAAGTGACAAGTGACAGTACATACAAAACCACCTAGCAGACAGCTCCCACCTCCACCAGCCCACCTCCGCATCCCGCAATCAAGGAAGCGCGCGATACAAAGTATATACATACAGCGTCTTCAGGTCCCTGGCTAGCATACATATTGGGCGAGACGGTTGACAGATCGACGCCTAGGATATCGTCGACCGGACGAGACGTCAATGCCGCCGCCGCTGCCGCCGCTGCTGTTTCACGCCAACCATTATTCCGGTCCCGCTCCACCCCCCACCCACAACTGACAGCAGAAGTAGGAAGTATGTAGGCAGGGCACGACAGAGCAGGACAGGGCAGGGCAGGGCAGGACAGGGCAACAGGCCGAAATGGATTATGGCGCAGTTGGCGCCGAATAGAAACACCTCAAATGTACAAAGGCCAGCGCCGCTGAGAGCATGTGTACAAGACTGCTCCTCCCAGCCCTTCGATTTCACCTCTCCAGTAGCGCACCCTTCTCCTCCTCCCCATTCATGAAACAAACACATCAGCCGTGCGTGCCAGTGCATACTTACCCAGGTATCGCAGCTACCTACCGGCGTACAATTGGAAACCTGTATTGCATCTGGTTCCGACGGACGTCGTGACATCCATCCGACATTGACATCAAACCGTTAGATATGTGCGAATAATCCATGGTGAGGTAAGCGCCGAGCTTGCATGCGTAAGTACGATATTGCTACCCCCCGCCCTCCCGTCTCGAAATCCGTAGTCGAGTGGGCGGTTGCTGGCAATTCGCATTGCCGTCCGGATCGCCTGTGTAGTTATGTGGAGGCAAGTGGTAGTTAGCCCCAAGTATTAGGAGGCTACGATATTCACCCTTGACTCGACTCGACTCGGCGATAAACGTGGATCCTCGTTTTGCTATTGTCGCTGGAGTTCGTAATTGAAAATCATCTCATGCGGGCACCACCATAATTCTGGCAGCAGCTCTGTACATAGGTCCATCCGTTCTACGTGAGCTCGGTATCTGGCAACGACATCGATATGTTGATCATACGTTTTTAGGAGGAATCCGAAGATTCCGAACGAGGAGTCTATACTCTACAGCACTCGTGCCCGCCGCTTCCTATTCTACAAAATTGAGGTCACATGTGGAACGCGATATATGTAACAATGAAGTCAAATCCAACTGAAATTCACACCCAAACGCCCCCTCCCTCCCTCCCCAGCCCATCTAACTCGCCACTTTCCACCCACCTCTACCCCTCACCATCCACCCACCTCTACCCCCACCATCCACTCTCCGGAACCCCTCAGGGTCCCCCCCTCTCCGGGGCCCGCAGGCCCCCTACGGGACCCGTTAGGGTCCCCACCTCCGGGATCTCACGATCCCCCCCCCCCCCTAGGACACCACCCCAGGCCCACAAGGGTTCAAAGGCTAAGCCTTCTCGCCCTTGTAGAGGACCTTCTTGATGACGACTGGAGAGGTGCCCGCCTTGGGAGGCGAGGCACCTTCCAGGTTACCAAACTTGTCAAGGGCCACAGGGCCCTTGGCAAGCCGGCTGCCATCAATTCTGGCCAGCCTGGCCTGGGTAGGTGAATGCGTTTCCGCATCGGAGCCGTTTCCGGACTCCAAGGGGGCCCCCCACCGCACGCCTCTCTTCGGCGGTGTCGGCTCCTTCGGCACGAAGCCGGAGCTAGGGCTTTCGCCCGGACCAAGCTCTACTCCTGTCTCCAGGAGATGGGCCTTGCGCTTCCGCCGCCCATCGGCGGCGGCTTTCGTCTGCAATGCAGCCGTGGGGGAGGGAGGCCGAGCAATCGGCTTCCTCTCCACCTGCCGCTTATGCGGCGTCGGCATGCAGTTGAGGTTGGTGTTTTTCTTCACCAACTCCTTCCGCTCCCTCTCCAGCATGGTTTCCCACGTTAGTGGGCCCGCAGGTCTCGGAGCGGCAGGTGCCAACGAGATGGTTGGCGGCCTTACAGCCGCACGACCACTTCGCCGGACGCCCTCTGTGGCTTGTTTTTTCGCAAGCCCGCCAGAGGGGTCCTCGGCACTGCGTTTCCTCGTCCTGGGACTTGCCCAGGGGCTGGAGGGGGGCACTGCAGACGCGTCGGATACCAACGGCGAAAACGGTGTCGGAGCTCCCTCCACGGGCGGCAAGTAGACAGCCTCAGGAACCTTTCGTTCGTTTGGTGCCTTTACCATTGCCCTTGGGATCTATTTTTCCAGTGTCAGCTATTAATCTTCTAAATTCGTCGGGTAAGAGTGTATACCTTGCTCGTCATCGCCGCCTTTGGTATCGGAAGTGACGACTTGGGAGCGATTCTGGTTTTCTCATCATGTTTCCTGATGAAACTGTCCAGAACTCCCGAGCCCGTCATCTTCGAGGGCTCCTCACGGAGCGCCTCGGTATGCTTCCGTACCAGGTATCCGCGCGCTAAGGCCCGTAGGCGGTCCATGGCCGCTTCTGCGGCCATATGGGCGAGCTCGATGCTCGCCCTCCGTCCATATCTCCTCCGGGTGAGGGAATCCGGCGCCTCCTCGACGTTCGCCTTCAATCGCTTCTCTGGAGGAGTGGACGGACCGTCCACTCCTGCCAGCGGGACATCGACGTAGCTGAGTCTCCGCTTCGGCGATTTACCAGGCGATGTCGAGGAAACGTTCTCCTCGAAGGGACTTGAGGACTCGAGATCACCCACCGACTGCTGCTCCGGGGTCCCCGGAGGCGAGTTGGCGGGTGCCGGTCTAATCCGAGCCTTCATGGGGCTCGAGGACACGAGACCATCCACCGACTGCTGCTCCGGGGTCCCCGGAGGCGAGCTGGTGGGTGTCGGTCCAATCCGAGCCCTCATGGGAGTTGGATTCTGCGGCCGCTCAAGAGCGGCCGCACTAACCGGGGGACTCGATGGAATATCTATTCCATACCCCCCAGCGCCTCTGGCCGGGCTCGAGATCGCGATCCTAGGGGATCCATCTTGGGAGAACAGCCGCGAGGCATGTCTCATCGGACTCGATCCGATAAATCTCCCCATCACTTCGGGCCTCAGGCCCGAAGTCTTGATTGGGGAGAAATCCATGGAATTCCCCGTGATCCGCGACTCATCCCCCGGCCCCCGGGTCTCCTCGTCGCTTTCAAACCCCCCTTCCCAGTCTTTTACGAACCCGGGTTCGACAGCAGCTTGATGTGCTGGGCTTGAAGATCTTCGCTTCACCGGGCTAGACTGGGAAGAGGGGAGCGAAACCGGCGGGAGGAAGGTCGCCGGGCTGGACGGAATTTCCGTCGCGCGTGGTTTCAGCGGACTGAAAACAGGCGACGGAAGAGCAGCCAAATCGACCGAGGGACTCGAAGCTTGCCCAGTCTGTCGCTTGGGAGCGGATGCTCCCGCGACCGGAGTCGCAAACAACAGACTGAACCCGTCTGACGATATCTCGTCATAGGGTCGCTTACGAGGACCCAACGGCGATGACATTGCCTGACCCGGCCCCGGGGCCTGTTTCACAGGACTGCGACCTTTGCCGGCAACCAGCTTACTGGTTGCCGGCGACAGCACCGATAATCGGTGTCCATCTTCCACGACCGAAGATCCCTTCGGAATGGCCAAGATGGATTTCACCGATTTCGATGATCCGCCGGTCGCAGGACTGAACACCTTGATGGGTGTACTGGGCTTCGCCGGTGACTTGACCGGAGAATCCGAACCCATAATGGTGTTCAGTGCCAAGGGACTCCCAAAAGTAGCGTACGGGGTCACCATAGTGACCCCCGCGGGAGTAGACGCTACGATCGGGGTCCCTAATAGGGGATCACTGGCCCAGACAGACCGAGGCCGGCTTGGAGTGGCAAGTGGCAGGGGAGCGTCTGCTCCGCTGACAATGCCGTCCACAGCCGGCCTTGGTAACTTGACCGGGGAAGATCCAGTGTCCTCTCCTCCGTCTTCAAACGAAGACGGGAAGATCTCGTTGTAATTCAACGAGTTGTCCTGCGATGCGATTAGTGTTTGCCAACAATTTACAGATCTATGGGATACTTACAGCAACATGCTGACTGACCCCAATGGTATTCTCGCTAGGAGACCGAGGAACCACAGCGGGCGCCTGATCGGTCAGGCGCCCTTCAGCCGGAGTTGTCACTACCAACTCCGGCTCCACCGCTTCCGGCTCTGCCACGTCTGCTGGCTCCACCGGTTGTGGCTCTGCCACGTCCGGGTTTGCCACTTCCGGCTCCACGGTCTCCACCGCTGGTTCCACGGTCTCTGTCTCCGACTCCGCCGGCACATCAGCCTCGGCCAGTGGTTCTGGCTGAGGCTCCACCTCCTCCGGCTTACTTGGCTCTTCCTCGGGGGCCCCGATCGCCTCGGCCGGTTCCGGCTCCTCCAGTTCAACTTCTGGTTCCGGTTCGTTGGTTGGTGCCTTCTTCGCAGGCGACGCAACCACCACTTCGAATTTCGGGTCCGTTGACCCATCATCCATTTGGATGTCCTCTTCCGGTTCGGGCTCCGGCTGCTTCTTTCCTCTCGCAGCTCTCCCCTTCTTCGCCGGAATATCAGCATTGCGTGGTCCCTTCTTCGTAGGAGTCCTTGAACCTACCACTTTCTTCGCAATGACTTGCTTCGTCACGCCCTTCTTGGCCCCTCGGCCCTTCCCTTTGAGGGCCGCTCCAATTGCTCTCGCATCTTCATCTGAAATCTCCTCATCGTCTTCGCCGGCAACGGTATCTGCAGTCCGTGCGGGAGCAACCTTCTTCGTCAAACGACGTGGTGGTGGAGTCGGCGGCGGCGCAGGGGTAGCACTCTTCGTAGAGCGCATTGAGCGACATGGTGTTGGTGGTGCTGTTGCCGGAGTCGGAGCTCTGATATCGACTCCTGCCTCTTGATCTTGTCCCTCCTCGTTCTTTTCAGTCTTAGATCCTCGGTCCTTCTTCGCACAAGGTCTCGTAGTTGTAACCGGAGTAGCAGCTCTCTTAGCTCTCCCTTTGGTCTTCGACCCTTTAACATTCTGTAGGTCCTCCGCCTCCTTCTCTTCTTCAATTTGGGGTTCAATCTGGTCTTCTTCGTCGACCGGCGCTGCAGTATTCTTCTTCGTCCGAGGTTTCCGCGCTTTACTCGCAGTCTTTGTAGTATCTGTACTCGGAGTAGCCGTAGCCGTACTCGTAGCCGTACTCGTAATTGTAGATGTAGTCTTCTTCTTCGAAGCTTTCGTCGTTCTCGTAGCAGCCATAGCTGTGGCCGTAGCCGTCGTCATAGCCGTAGCCGTAATCGTGGCCGTAGCCGTAGCTGCCGTAGCAGTAGTTCGAGTCGCACGCTTCTGACGCGTCGTCTTCGTCTTCGTCACCGGTTTCTGAATCTGGATATCTTCCTCCGCCTCCTTCTCTTGTTCAATTTGGGTTTCAATTCGGTCTTCTTCATCGACCGGCGCTGCAGCAATCTTCTTCGCACGGGGTTTCCGCGGTTTACTCGCAGTCTTTGTATCTGTACTCGTACTCGTAGTTGTAGCCGGAGCAGCAGCTTTCTTAGCTCTCCCTTTAGTGTTCGACCCTTTAACATTCTGTGGGTTCTCCGCCTCTTTCTCTTCTTCAATTTCAATTTGGGTCTGAATCTGGTCTTCTTCCTCGACCGGCGCTGCAGTATTCTTCTTCGCCCGGGGTTTCCGTGCTTTACTCGCAGTCTTCGTAGTATCTGTACTCGTGGTCATTCTATCGGTACTCGTAATTGTAGATGCCTTCTTCTTGTTCGAAGCTTTCGTCGTTCTCGTAGCAGCTGTAGCCGTACTCGTAATCGTAGTGGCCGTAGCCGTAGCTATATTCGTGGCCGTAGCCGTATCTGCCATAGCAGTAGTTCGAGTCGCTCGAGTCGCTCGTTTCTGACGCGTCGTCTTCATTGTCGTCATCGGTTCTTGAATCTGGATATCCTCTGTCTCCGCCTCTGTCTCGGCCGCAGGCGCCTTCCGTGTGGAGCGGCGAGTTCCCTCCATTGCACGCGGGTCTTGCTCTCTCTCTGGGGGTGAGGGGTATCAGAACTGTCGGGGATTCTCTGATGCGATGCGATTGCGAATTGCGATTGCGATTGCGATTGAGGTATCGAGTGGGCACTCTAGGCGTGGGTATACTTCTCGTGGATGTATGCGATTGTATCGTACTTTGACAATTGTGTGTTGGCGATGAGTTGCTAACAGTGGGTGCTTGTCGAAGTGTCGAAGTGCAGGTGCGGGGAGTGGTGAGGAGCGGGAGTGGGAGTGGGTTGGTGGGTTGTGTGGTGTGTGGTGTGTGGGCGTGGCAGTCGCGATCGTGGTGCGCGTTGTAAACAATCGCGCCAAGACCCGTGATCCAACTGATAGACTCGCGCCAAGACCCGTGATCACCCAGCGGATCGACCCGCGTCGACAGCGCACGCGAGCGAGCGAGCGACGCGCACTTCACATAATTATTACGCGGGTCCAGTGATCGTTCTTTGTGCAAATAGTATCTAGGAGCCAACTGCTCGTATAATCCCTTCACTCGTCTCAACTTTTTTTACCCGTAATGTACAACGAAGACAATGTTGAAAGCAGACAGCATCAGAGCACCGCAATTCGAGCAAGGAGTAAGCAGCCCATAATGAAAAGAGGAAGAAGGAGAGGAAGAAATGACGTTATTCCAAAGAAAAAGAAAGAAAGAAAACCACCCATTTCATCCAAGCAGCCATCCAGCCAGGTCCCATCTCATGAATCTGCCCATACCCATTCCTTCGTTCCAGACATCAAAAACCTATCGGCACACACTCAGACTCACGTACGTCTCTACAAATACTTCTTCGGCGAGCTGTTTCGTCTCTTCTTGTAAATTACGTATGCCACAGCCAACCCTACCTGGACCAACACAACAATCGTCACCATCATGCCGATCTTGGGTCCTCCCGTCGCCAGAACCTGGGTAACACTGTCAGGCACTGAGTAGAGCAGGTTCATGTGATGCTCCTTAAGGGTGTTTCGGAGCTCCTCAAAGTGCTGGGTGTAGTCCTTCGAAGTCATCGCCTGTGCAATCTGCATCGAGATGTTCTCGATGACCTCGAGCCGTGCCTCCAGCTTGTTGATCTGTTCGCGAGGAACATTGGACCCCCGGCTTTCATCTCGCCACTGGTCTTCCTTGTGATGAAGGGTGTCGATTGTGTCGTAGATCATTCCGAGCTGGGTTTGGATTGCGGCAAGGTGGTGAGTCAGGCCCTGCAAGCGGTTGTGAAGATTTGTGAACTGTTCTTCGGCGGATTTGTAATACATGGCTTCGTGATCCTCCTCTCCGGGCTCCGAAAGCCATTCCTCGAAAACTTGTTCATGGGGCGCCTTCTTGGATCCTTTTCCGGATTGCGGCTGCTGCTGTTGCTGTTGTTGCTGCTGAGGCTTTCCCTGTTGCTGCTGCGGCTTGCCCTGTTGCTGGTATTGCTGTTGGTGCTGATCCTTGGGCACTTCGTATCCTCCATGGGGAGCGCCGACAAGGAAGTTGAAAAGCTCGAAGCTGTCGGGAATCTGCGACGTCGCCGCAGTGAGACCGAAGAAGTAACCCTTGGGAAGTCGGATCTTGTCGGTCTGGAAGCACATTTTTCCGTCCACCTCGACTTTGAAGAGGTTGGTATTCTGAGTGACCTTGATCTGAGAAAGCGAACCCTTATTCCGGTAGTCGAAATCGCAGTGTCCAAAGGCAAGAGATGTGGGGTTGTGATGCTTCGAGTAATCCGTCCTCCCATCGTTCAGGTAACCCCTCACTTGCGGGGCGCCTGTGTGCGTATCGACGACCAGAGCCAATCCATCCCAAGGCGGACTGGTGTATATCGTGTCCTGACCCGTTCCGGACCCACTCTTGGAACCCCGCGATGTGTACCACAGGTGAAGAGTACCGCCTGCGCGCTCGCCTCCGGACACTCGGAAATCGGTGGTCAGTATCCACTCGTCGTGGACGTTTGACATCTTGCCCCATACACCCACGCGTTGGTTTCCAGAGACTGGAGGTGTGAGGATCACTCTGTCGCCGAAGAGTTGAGGTGTGCCAAATATCTCGAAGTTCTGGATATTGCGCCGGTCGTCGGATATCCTAGGAGCTGCATGTCAACACATGACCACGGTATAGCAGAGAATCGAACGTACGGATGCCGCGATCCTATAGAGAAATCGGAGTCCACTTCGTATGGTCTATCATCCGCCAGCGCAAAAGCAGCTGCAACAGCAGCCAGCAAGCTCCATTGTAGCTTCATGTTGTGTGGTGGGAGATGGATCGCAACACAAGGAAACAAAGACTAGCACTTGGAATGGGAGAACTGCAGCCGGTGCAGCGGGGACTGGCAGGAGGCAGTAAATCGAGTTGAAGGCACTTCTTCGTGGAAGTTTGAGGTTGTTTCTTGCGGGGTAGTTAGTGGGAGTGGGTGGGACGGTACAAGTATCGCTCGTGGCCTCGCGTTTCGACAGGTGTCCTTAGAGCTTTGGTGGCTGTTCCACACACCAGACGCAATTGACGGGTCGAAATCCCTGCCGTCAATCAGATATGCGAGTCATTGAATACCTAAGTCAGGATTTACCCGGTCTTTGAATGGGTCCCTGCAGCATACCGAGGCAAGAGCTGTGTACTTTACGTACTCCAGTCTCTGAGCATCATTGCAATCCAAATGGCTTGCAACTGCTCAGTCGAAGTGTTTCATCAGTTCCACAGTTGAGAGGATCTTACGGCCGGGCCATAAAGTCAATCGAGCCGAAGCCAAAAACGCCCACATAAGCCAAAACCGACAATGTCAACCTAGGAATATCGGACTAGCATATGGCATGTATGTAGGGTATGTGTACGGCATCTACTCTAATTTGTGGAAGCGGCCTATGCAACGGCCCGACGGCGCCGACACGGATAACATCCCTAGTGAAAAAGGAAGAACCCGAACCACTACCACTACTATACTCGACAATCGATCATCAGAGTGAATGGAAATGAAAGACTTTAGGCTGCTACATAGCTCGAGAAAAGACACTATGACGACTCAACGATTTTAGCCCAGAACATGCGCGCAAAACCCCACCCTCACCAGCAAGAAGGGTTGTTGCTTCGGTCGATGGGACTAGCGCTGTCACCCGGTCAACCACTAATAATCACTCGTCATGCGAAGTCACCCTAGCCCGGTTCTGATAATTTGACAGGAAAGGTCGGGTTTGTGGTCGCCATAGTCTAGCAAGGCCGTATACATACGACAATGAATTGATTCTCTCACGCATAATATGTAGCTTAAAAGAGCGAATTGTAAGCCTGCTGAAAATTACCTGTGACGTGGGACGATAAGCTGCACCAAGCAGTGGAGTGATAGAGTGACGACAGTTGAGCGCTATACACAGTTCGGAATGAATCCGACATTTCATACCATCCGTTTTCAGCATCAGCTGCGGAGTCCTTCCAAGAAAATCAGGTGGTTGATGATTGGCCGTCAACACGTGCTGGCACAATTCATTACAGGCCTCTCTTGCACTGACGTTGGGTTTCGTCTCCGATCGGATCACTCGCCGAAAACCAAACTAGAGGCATTCGACGGCGTTCTGGAAGCGGCTTATCACTGTCTCGCTGGGTTCTATGTCATCACTCGCAAGTCCGAATTCCTGCCGTGGCAGCCGGGGGCGGGCACCAAAAAGGAGCCTACCCGCCGCACCCGGACTGTACTCTAGCTCGCTGCAGATGTATGGGGGAAAGCCCGGGCGTATGTACTCCCTCGTATACATGCGTCTTTGAAATGAGGCTACCAGCGGCATGGACGGCGAGTCACGATCTGTCGGAACACCGGTGAGCAAAAGGGCATATTACCAGCTGCAACTCTTTGGAACAGAATTTACTTCACTTGTAGTTTCAGGATAGCTGAATCTTTGTCCCGGAGCGCAGGGCTTGGAAGTTCGACCAATATCCCGAGACTTGCACGTTTGAATGCTGTGCTTAGCGGATTATCCGTCCGTTCGTCATTCCAAGTCTCGAATGTGTGGATTTCGCTCGGCTTGGATGAAAGACCACCCACATTCCTGGTTTCCGATGACCCATTCGGTTTTCTCGATTGGCTAGAATTGCACCGAGCTGATATCCTGCCATACGCTCTACCGAGAGCGGGCGGGCGCCAGAAAAGCAGGTGAACTGTTCTTTCGCGAAGATTGGCGAGTCACATCCGTGCTTCCGGTAAGGGAATGGTACTAGTAGATGGGGAGGAGGAGGAGGATGAGGCGAAGGAGGCGAAGGAGACGGAGGAGACGGAGGATGCGGAGGAGGCGGAGGAGGAGCAGGAGGCAGGTTAGGGTAGATGTTGATGCAACTCTCAGAGGATGAAAAGAGCACATGACATGCACATCTTTCCATATTAGTCCATTTGTACATATCTTTACTCATTCGCCTCAAATTTGCAAACTCCCATGATCGCTACATACGTGCATGATTACGACCGTGCTCGCGGCTGTCTATCTTCCTAGCTCGAGCCACGCAATGCTCACGTTCCAATGCGCGACATGCTTCCGATTCCGTGGCTTCGTGCTCACCACTATTTCTACATATCGAGTGGATCATGATCAACCACCAGGGCAGCCAGGCTCCAGCGCTGCGGAGACGGAAATAACCAGACGGAGCTCTACTAGAGCAGCAGGTACAAACCTATCATGATTGATGGGAACAATGCTGACGCAAGGAGATCGGTGGTAGAGTAGTCCCTGGCAACCACGTCCCTGGCCATCACTAGTCCTCATTGGGGCCTGTCTCCATTGTGGATTCTCCAGGATCGTTCCTCTGAAAGCGACTGTCCGGTGAATTCTGCACGACCACCACGATATAGGCCGAGAGAACTTCACGGACGATCACCTGGTTTGAGAAAACCCACCGCTGTCCGCCTCCGCAGCCACGGTTCCTGAGCTCATGTGGGCACCTGGGGAGATGGGGGTTTTCTTTGTCTGAGCTGGAGGGGTTCGCCGGAAGTGGTGGCTGCTGCGAACGGGGGGACAATTACTATGATCATACATAGGAGCATACCGTACATATGCTGGCGCACGACGCACGTAGGTGTCCATCCTACGCATCAGCACGGGGGCGGAATTCTTGTCGGCTGAAATTGAGTACCTGATAGGGACGGACGGGAAATGAGGCTAAGCGAACGTACATGAGTGACAAGTGTTCCTGCAGTGACTTTTCAGTTCCGTACCTGCATGAGCTTGTTGCGTTTTCTGCAGTGCAGACGCCACAATTTCGTGATGGAGTAGTAACATACTCTTGGTATGTAGATCGTGTCGGGCAGTGAAACGAAGCCTCAAGAAAGTGCAGATGCCGGTCCCCTGGGGCTATGAGTAAAGTTGCGGGCTCTTTCGCAGCGCCGCACATCGCACAGCGGATGTGCATGCAGCTCAGGTCTGTGTGGTTCTTCCGACGAGCCATCACATTTGCACTTGGGCTTGCGCCCATTGCGCGCTCCGAACGACCGTTAGCTGAGCTCCGGTAGTTCGAATTGCAACTAAGGATTGGGCATGTACCGTGGATAAATCGCTACAGCACATCCGCTCTCGGAGCGCAGTTCGATTGGTGGGGCTTTCTGCGTATTGACTCGGGATCATCCCTCACCAATGAAGGGCGCACCATTTGTGATACATCGTCCGGTCTTTGTCTGTTCCCTCGCCACAGACATTTTTGTTTTCAGAAACCCCATTTAATGGTGTATCGGACGGGCCAACTGGTCTGGAAGCGCGCCATCCGTCGGTGCGATATAGGCAGTATCATAGCATGTTGTTCAAAAAACCGGGCAACGGTTGGCATGTCGCGGAATACCCAAGTAGAGTACCTATCGGTGCAAGCCTGAATGATGCAGACGCTGCGCCTCCGCCCTCGTGGAACGGGGGTCGACCTGCCGCGCCGCCGCTATGGGATTTCCGAGTTAGACTTCAGACATCCACGTGCGACCCAAACGATCCTGACTACTCGGTGTCAGCATCCATGCTCCATCGGCCCAAGCACCCAACTCTGTCTCTGACTCTCCCTTTTTTTTGTTAGGAGCAAAGCTAAGGAGGCTCTCAGGGACCGACCGGATCTCAACGGCGGGATGCTACTACTAGGTGTAGCTAGGTGCGGACTAGGAAAGATCGGCGCTGTTCGCCTCCTTCGGTCCCAAAGATGTTCAAGCTTGGCGGAGAAGAGCGGCGGCTGAGGGAGAGAGGTACGTGGGCTGCCAGAAGCGCTGCAGGAGAATCCGGTCACTGATGCGATTAGGTAGGTACACACAGCACACATACGGCCAGAGCCTTGGGCTTCGAAAAGGGCTCTCGACGAAACGGTTGGATGAGGTGAGAAACCCCGTCCCCACAAAAGGTGTCGAAACGGCAGTTGCCGTAGATGCACACACCCGTCATCATCTTCCCCTTCGATGTGATGATCAAGCCTTGGACGGGGGACCTGTCCAGCACTCCAGCGTCCAGCACTTCAGGACCCAGGCGGGCTATGCTATTCCTGGCAGTTTCGTGCATCGAGCCGAAACAGCCTGGTCGTCCAGCAGCCCCATCCATCTCCACTCCACTGGCAGCCGCGACTCCGGGCTACGTGATACCGAATGATGCGAACCGGAAAGGGCCTCTCGCTTCAGTAGAGTACTTATCGCCGGATCAGCACGGATTCCGAGAATTGGACGGCCTCGCGTGGTATTCGTTCCACAATCGTCGCACTCCGGCATATCCATTGCGGGCCTGCTGGCCCACATGGATACGTATACGACACTCGTCTCTCTGTCTCTCTCTCTCCCCGGTCCCATCGCGGGTACCTGCTGCCATAAGGTGCATTCCTCGTACCAAGGAGAGTCTAATGTTCCCGGAGATGGAACCGGCTGCAAGCCAATGCAAGGCTCCAAATACAGGCCTAAACACACTTGAGTCCTAGCCCCCTCGCCCGCCCATATTAACTGGCCGGTAACCGCTCGTTGAGAGAGAGAGGGAGTGTGAACACGTCGGTGGCTCGCTGATAATCGTACCAACGCTCAAATAAGTAATATCGTCCATTACGACCTCCGAGACTCGAGGCCCGACCACGCAATATTCTTCACCTTTACAGAGTCCTTCTCCGTTTCGCCTCACATCTTCGAAACTTCCTCAGACAAAACAGCGCCCGTCGAAAACACCGCGCACATTCCGGACGGATTCCCATCAAGCCACTCCGTGGATCTAGTCTTAATATCCGGAATTGTCCCGATATCCACGCTTTGCTACGCAACACCAACGGTACCGTACCTATCCATCGTCCAATCTTCACTGCCGCCGCCGCCGCCCCGTCTCCCCGGTTGGTCAATCTGAACGGGCACGCTTCGTATCATACAAACATATATTCTCCAGCAAGCAATTAGACGCTGCCAGCAAGCTATCCCCCTTGACGTGTCGACATCCTGTCGGAAACACGTGGTCAAACAGCGAGACATTCGGCACTGAACTTTCTTCGGTGGTGTCGTCCGGAAATAGGGTAGTCGTTTTAGCTGCAAGCCACAATGCTCTTCGACTCGAACTTTTCGTTTGCTCCGAAACTGTCTCCACCCCGCGAACGGGAGCCTGCTAGCATGCGAACCGTCCGATATGGGGAAATTGTTGGGAGCGGCGATGGCAACATTAGCAGCAGCAGCAGCAACAGCATTAGCCATGATCTTCCACTATCCCCACATTCGATGGCTATCGCGTCTCCCGGATCTCGGAGTCGTTCACGGGCCACGTTTTCCACTGGAGGTATTAAGCAGTTGCATGAGCACCCTGTTCTCCTTTCATCATCCTGCTCGATAACATCAAATTCTTCTACGGCACTGTCAACATTTGACGACTCAAATCCTACAACACCGATCCCAACCTCAACACCACTGCCATTGATTGTAGTAAACGAACCAATACTACAGACGATGAAATTCTTCAAGAGGCGGTCAGCCGACACCAGCAATGACAAGAGCAAAATCAACAAAGACTTCTACAGCAGTGCGGTGCCAATGGATCTCAAACACGCAAAACCGTTGACGATATCCGTCCCTCCGCGAAAAAGCACTCGTAGAGCACCTTCGCAGCCTCCTCGCCAGCCGCCGCCACCACCTCCTCCATCACAACAACAACGACCTCCGATGCTAAGATTAGAGCCTTCCTCACGGCCGTTGCCTGCAGTAAAGACACAAGAGATCAACCGCAGCCTCCTCTCGCCTCTCCATTCGAAGCGAAGCCGCCAGAACTCGCAAACCTCCGATTCCGGAATTCAGATGCTAGTCAACTTTCTCAACGATGACTCGGACTCGGACGAAGAAGAAGACGAGTGCGTAAGCCCAACAACCGAAGCACCTACCCAACTTCCTCGACTCGAGATCCCGATGGCTTCGATCGATGAAGAATGTAGCGAAACAAATAGCGAAACATCCAGTATTTTCGACAGTATTGGACCGGCCACTCCTATATCCTCTCGCTTCAGCAACAACCGAAGATACTCAACAACATCAACCATTCCGACCTCTATTTCGGAAGGCTCTACATATTCCTCCATCCGCAGCGACCGTAAACGGTGCTCCATTGCGTCCTCAAACAGACTATCATTTAACGAGGATGATTTCCCAACCTCGAAGCGCGGTTCCGTTGCATCCTCAAAAAGGCCATCCTTCAATGACGACAACTTTACCGCACCAAAGCGAGGTGCCACCTCCGATGCAACATCCTTGCCGTCTTCCCGTCGCTCATCCGCCACAACATTCTTTTGCCGCGGCAGTCGTAACTCGGTGCTGAGCCGCAATTCTATCGGTTTGGGTTCGATTGCCGCCAGCGACATCGACTTGGAGGAAGGATTGGAAAACAACACGCACTTCCCGGGCATGGAAGAACTCAAGAAACAGATTTCCTGGCTTGCGCTCCGCGGATCCCGTAGTTACGAATCCGAAGAGGAAGCGGAGGATGTCGAGGATGACAGCGAAAATTACCACCACCACTTGTCATCCATGGTACCGCCAAATGGAAAGACTTCAACCAAAACTTCCGCGAGGTCTCCATCGAGGGCGATGCCAACGTCGATACCGCTGTATGCCTTTCCGCTTCCTCCCACCGGCACCGTAATGCAGACTCCTGCGCCCCGAAGGGCAAGACGACGAACCGCCAGCTCCGAGTGCATCGTGCTCGAAGCGCTTGAGGAAATGCGACTAGCGGATCAGAAGGCGTCTTTCGTTCCGACTCCGACTCCGACCCCGACCGTTGCAAAGGTATCGAAACGCAAGCCGCGTCACTCGACCAATAATCCTCGCATCGTCGGCGAGGATTCGTGGGAGACGGCTCTGGTCGGCGACACGGCTGCCTGGGATCGAATGCTCGATGCTAGCGATTTCAATTCCTATGCTTAATTCGTACTCGTACCGAGTACATCTTTTTTTTTCTTTCTCCCTAATACCTATCATTTATCTGGGACTGTCTATGCGTTTGGGAGTTGAAGCGGGTTATGTTTGTCTTTCTGTCTTTTTTTTCTTTATTACTTACCACTGTCTTTCTATTTATTTATTTTCGTTTGTTTTATGGGTTCGGTTTGGGATTCGGTTCGGTTTGGGATTCGGTTCGGTTTGGGGTCCGGTAGGGGGTTTGGTTCGGAGTTGGTGATTTGCGCGAGGTTATACATCCTACATACAACATACCTGTTCTATCTCGGGTTTTTTCTTTACATGATTTGCTTTGCTTTGTTTACTTGAAAGCGGGGGTTTTTAACGGCCTTGGGTGGGTTAGAGGTGGTCACTGGAGAGCTCCTGACATGCACTTACATGATGTATCTTGGGCAGCGTGGGAGTTTGCTATACATACATCTTACGGGAGGGCAAATGGAATGGTGTGTTTTGAGAGAACAATAATTAATTATCGTATGGCTGAATGGCGTGTGAGAGTGAGAAAGAGAACGTCAATTGATTGTCGCATACGGCTTGTTTGCTCTTCTATGGCGACTAATGGCGTGTTTTGTTTGGCTAATCTGCGGGTAAAGTCAGAAGTGCCGAGTGACCAACCGTCCATCCGATCTGCCAAGCGAAGTTAGCCGTTTCCGTCCATCGCCGGATTTGATCTGATAGTTAGATAACCTTAGCAACTATCTCACGACACCTCTTTGCCGCCGTTGCACCCCACATTCCACCCAACGACGAGCGCCACGCCTCATCACTCACAACAACAACAACAACAGTCATGGTACGTCCTCGTCGGCCACTCCACCTCTCGCGGCGGCCGACCGGGAAGAGAAGCAATCCGTTCAATGAGCATGCTAATGCTAATGCTGTACGCACACGCAGCTACCACTCTCGCTCCTCAACGCCGCGCAGGGCAGCCCCATGCTCGTTGAGCTCAAGAACGGCGAAACCCTCAACGGCCATCTCGTCAGCTGCGATACCTACATGAACCTCACCCTGCGCGAGGTCGTACAGACGTCCCCGGACGGTGACCGCTTCTACCGTCTGGCGGAGGCCTATGTGCGCGGAAACAATGTATGCGTGCTTGCTCGCGGCGATGGGATGGATGCGGTGGATGGGGGATGAGACGGTGCTGATACAGCGCAGATCAAGTATCTCCGCCTGCCGGAGGAGATAATAGAAGTCGTCAAGGAGCAGCAGGCGCAGCAGCAACAGCAACACCATGGAGGACGGGGCGGTGGTGATCGCGGTGGAAGGGGTGGGTTCCAGAGGGGTGGAGGGCGGGGGAGAGGCGGGACGAGAGGGGCACGCGGGGGTGGTGGTGGAAGGGCAAGAGGCTAGGAGGACTTGGGCGAGTGCGTGTCAGAAAGAATTGGATCCGCTTGTTTTTTGGCTGGAATCCTGGGATGGATTAAAGGTGTACGGCGTCCGTCGATACTGAGACTTGTTGCGTGAAGTAGGAAGTTCATCCTTGAGATCGACTTTGCTTGTACACCAAGTTGCGAAGTAATATCAAGACCCTTGCACTGGGCTATTCTCCATTGACAATATCTATTGCTACCTGCAGTCTCATGCCGCCGAAGATAGTTACGTGCCAAGCTTCCGGCCAACGGAACCTCATACCGAGCAAGCATGAATCATGGCAAACCCTCACAAGTGGCGACCCCACCAACCATGAAATGATGAACCTCCTCGACTCCTCGTTATCCACCGTCTCTCTTGCACCACCTTCAATTGCGCCCTCTATTCCATACCGTATCTCATGTCGCTGAGACGCACCGTGCACCCCAACACCATCTACAATCTTCCCCGCAGCTTCCGGGGATGCCTCAAATACTCCATCTTGAGCTCGTCGCCACCACCAGCGGGGGAGGCCGGGACCGCCCATAGCCATACGACCGAAGCCGCCCGGAAACGCATTCCACCCGCAGCGGATGGCTGCAATCCAGACGAAGAAGAATCCGCGCTCGCCCGGCGCTTCACCGCGATGGCTGAAGACGCCGTTCTGTCCTCACCGCACAAAACTCCAGACTCCAGCACCACCGCCGCAATATCCGACGACCTCAAGTCCGCGCTTCTATCCCGCGTTGCCGCGGCCGAGTTCAGCAGCACGCACGCACGCGCCATCTCCATCTCCGCGCTCCCCTCCTCGGCGTCAAAACACACGCGGGACCTCGCCGCCACGCGCCCCTGGGACGGCACCGAATCGCAGGAAGACGCCGTGCTCCGCATGCTCACCGATGCGCACAAGCCGCTGCGGCAAAAGCCCATTCCGCAGACTGTCGATCTACGCCCGCACAGCACGTTTGGTCCGCGGCCTGCACGGGCGGAGCGCGTGGCGGGGGCAAGGGACGGCGCGCTGGAGTACTCGCTCACCAAGGATGCCAACTTGTCGTCCGACGAGCGGGCGCAGGTCCGCGCTATGTTCTGTGAGCGGTTCCAGCCGGCTGGCAGGCCCATGGCCGCCGCGAGCGTCTCCGCTCTAATGTCCCTCGCCGACCAGCGGATTGAGGATGCGCGTGCCCGTGGCCAGTTCGATAATATCCCCCGGGGCCAGCCGAGGGTCGAAGATCACAATGCGCGCTCGCCGTTCCTCGATACCACGGAGTACTTCCTGAACAAGATGATCAGGAAGCAGGAGATTCTCCCGCCATGGGTGGAGAAGCAGCAGGAGCTGGGGAGGGAGGCGGAGGGGTTTAGGGTGCGGATCAGGAGTGATTGGAAGAGGAGGGTGGCGAGGGGAATTGCTGCGAGGGGTGGCACGCTGGAAGATATGTGTGCACGAGCGGAGAGGTATGCACAGGCGGAGGCGAGGAGGGTGAAGTTGACACGGGTGGAGAAGATGTTGCAGCTGGGCGAGGAGGTGTCGGAAGAGGAGACGGCGGCGGCGTATGCTCCCGGACCGACAGAGGTCTTCCGAGACGCCGAGTGGGAGAAGACAGAGCTGAAATACAACCAACTGTGCATCGATAATTTGAACTCGCTGTGCAGGAGCTACAATATGATGGCGCCAGAGATCGCTAGGAAACCCATATTCACTCTGGAGAGGGAGCTGGACCGCTGTTTTGCTGATGTGGCACCACAAGTGGCGGAGGAGATACTGGAGAGGGCTAGGAGGCCGGAACTACCGAAGATGACGGTCAAGGGGAAAGAAAGGTCGGGGTTGGTGAGGAGTTTGGGAATTGGGGAGGCACATCAGGCGAAGGTTTATGACAGTGAGAAACCTAATTATGGGTTCAAGGACTTTTGGAAGGATCTGTTTGGGCGGAAGGAGGCTTCTTAGCCTGTATATAGCTGAAGGCTTGAAGTGCGGCTATGAATAGCCAGTTTTACTTGATCTTCAAGCTCTTTTAACGCAAAATATAGTTTCCAACTGCGCAAAGCTGGCTGTGCTATGATATTGATTGAATGCAGTATTCAGAAATGATGGAAAGCTCAGAGCTCTTCCTCCGTCAAAAACGCCGGCGGATCCCAAGCGGACACCCTACCTCAGAGCTCTCCGTGCTGTCAGTGACGCTACTGATCACATCGGTGCTGTCAGCGAAGTTACCGGTCACATCTGTCTGCTCCGTTTGCCCCGTCTGCTTCATCTGCTCCATCTGCTCCATCTGCTTCGTCTGCTTCATCTGCTCCGGCTGCTCCTCCGAATCTTCCACCACCACGGGCCCGCTCACCTCCTGCCACACCCACAGCCCTGAAACCTCCCCCAGTAGCACGCCAAGGAAAATCAGTTCCTCCCATCGAAGGTGTGCGAGCAGTTCCCCCACAACCCGCAGCACAGCCCACAGTGGCTTCAGCAGCGGCGCCCCATTAACCAATATCAACAAGATTTGTATTCCCCAAAACACAAGGCCCTCATCACTGCTATTCAGAATTCTCTCGACGACTCGCGAAATCCTCCTCCATGTGCGCTTGAGGGGGTCTTCATCACTGCCATGCAGAATTCGGTCAACGAACCACGAAACCTTCCTCCATGCGCGCAGGAGGAGACACTTGATCGCCTCTAAGGAGCGTCGGCGGGTGAAGCAGCGGGTGCCGGTTACATATCTCCACGCGAGGATGGTGCGGTACTTCCAAAACTGGAGGGGACAAAATGGATCCTCCCGGCTGCGGCGGCGACGGCGGTTGCGCGGGCGGTTTGAATCTTTGGGTCTCGAGCGAGTTCTTTCTCTAGATGCACGGGCTTCTCGGATCTTCGTGTGGAGGTATTGGAGGAGGCTCATCAGTGTCTACCCCCAACAGCGTAATTACAGGCAGAAAGGTGGTGTGGTTGTGAATCGGAACTCTTCGTCTCCATGTGCTGTGAATACGGTGTGGAGGGACGGAAGTGATGCGGCCCATACTGATCGATATAAGGTATCGTACCCCCTAGGTCATCTTGAAGCTGGAGCTTCATTCAATCCCTCGGGAATGTTCCATATCCGTCCGGCGCTGTAAAGATTCCTTCGTGGGGCTTGGGGAAGATCCTCGACTTGTATTTCCGTGGTCCGAGACACCCTCAGGTAGAACCTTTGCGTTGTGGCCAAGTTGGGATACCATTCTGGGACCGACTGCGTGCACATGAGCTGCAACTGTTGTAGTTAAGAGAATGGAGGAGTTGTTTGTAAGATTTCGTAACGAGTCGATAAACCCGAACATCGTGAGATAGTTATGGAGGGAAAGAGAAAGTGCAATTCCCCATGATGTGCTTAACCGGCGGCTACCAGCGGGCGCGTTCTAGGCGGTTCCGGTGGGAGCCCTCAGATCGCTGACCAAGAAGTTCCTTACAAACACACTTTAGTCGGCTTTTGTCACGTTTTACAAACTCTTACCTAGCATGCAGCGGGCGGCCCGGCTATGTGACAAGGTTCGGTTTTCCCCGCAGCCTCGGAGCGGATTTTAGAGTCAGAGTTTCGGTGATGCGTTGACACCGAGGCCTGATCCGAGGCGTACGTTTAAAGGCCCAGGCCCCACTGGTGTGCATTCCCGAGCGGTTATACGAGCAAGCAGACACCCCACCACCACCGCTACCACCATCATCATCACCACCACCACCTCCTCCACCACCAACGAACGAACTTTACTCGACAGCTCCAGCCAAATACCACATTCAATCTTCGACTTCATCATAAACACAGAATTGACGATATGGCCTCACCACTTTTCAACACAATAGACGAGACCATCGCCGCCTTCGCCGCCGGCAATTTCATCGTAGTCCTCGACTCCGCCGACCGCGAGAATGAAGGCGACCTTCTCATAGCCGCGGAAGACCTGACGACAGAGAAGATGGCGTTTATGGTCCGCTGGACGAGGTGCGTCCGGGCTTTCCCCCCTGCGCTGCAGAGGGAGAGAGAGAGAGAGAGTAGTAGCTAACGGCATTCCCCCACCAGCGGCCTGATCTGCACCCCGCTCTCCCCCGCCCTCATCACCAAGTACAGCCTCCAACAGATGGTCGTAAACAACCAAGAGCCGCACGCGACCGCGTTCACCGTGAGCGTCGATGCGCGGGACCCGACCATCAGCACCGGCATATCCGCATACGACCGCGCGCTCACCGCAAGGAAGCTGGCGGATCCCAACGCTACCGCGGCGGATTTCAGGAGTCCCGGACACATGTTTCCGCTGCGCGCGGTCGATGGCGGAGTGAGGGAGCGGAGGGGTCATACTGAGGCTGCGGTCGAGTTTGCGAGATTGTCAGGGAAGAACCAGGCTGTTTCGATATGTGAGCTCGTGAAGGAGGATGATGGGCTGATGATGAGGCGGGATGAATGCCTGGAGTTTGGTAAGAGGTGGGGGCTCAAGGTGTGTACCATTGAGCAACTGGTGGAGTACATAGAGAAGAAGGAGGGAAAATAGGCGGTGTTTCTGTGCATTGGACGAGAGTTTTGTAGATATAAACCGATCTCTTGTTTTGCTGGGGTTTGTTTTGATATGGAATGCACGAGGTAGACTCGATTACGCACTCCCCTCCGTGTTATATGGTACGTTGAATGCATTCGTCTGTATGTGCGTCTAAACTACTGTACAAGTACACATTTCTCTCTGCACTCAATTCCCCGTTCATGGCATTGGACAGAACCTCGCCGAGGAACCGTGTATGGCCGTGAAATCTCCACCCATACGCCTAATGTACACTGCCCACACCCGCCCACCCTTCCTCCTCTTCTCCTCCTGCCTGCTCCTCTACCGCTTCCTCTTATGGGGACCAACAAGGTTGGCATAGAACCTCGACAGATGGTAATTGATGGTACTCTTCGGTTGCTGGACTTTTTTCTGTTCGCGGATCCTGTCAGCATCCCGGGCTCCCACCTCGGCACATGGGGGGGGACATACCTTTGTGTCCATACAACCTCTCAGCGCCTCCTCCAGCTTTCCGCATCCCTCAATAGTGTAGCCCGACGACGCCCAGCATCCGAGCAGCTGGGACATCACACCCACGCACGGGTTCTGAACTTCCTTGTTCGGGCGGCGCACGCGCAGTTTGGGGAGGGGCGGGAGGCGGGCGACCTGGTGATCGATGTGTTAGCGAGTGCATGGCAGAGATGGGGGGTAGGCGGAAGAAGCATACTTTGTCGCGGACGGCGGCGGCTACTGGCGGCGGCATTGTGGTGGTGGTTGTGAGGTGAGGCTCGAGAGCTGTGGTGGGGGATTCTGTGGGTGGAACTGCTCGTTCGTGAAACTTTGGCGGCTTGGCAGTGTTAGTAAGCATGTGGGGTTGTCACTCGGCTGGATGTTCGGTTGTGAGGATCGTGATATTGCCGGATTTCTGGGGTGAGGGACTGTGCTTTATGATGGACGTGAAAATAACTTGTTTTTGGGATCAGAAGCATTTTGTGAGTTTCGAGAAGTTGCCGAGGGGAGGGAGTATGGATAGGTGAGTACATTGTGCATGGGTTTGCGGTGGGAGAAATGCTGGCCGGTAGGTTTACCAGAGAAGAAGACGTGGTGCGAGGGGAAATGGTAGCGGTTCAAGTGGGCTGGGGCTATATTGACGGGGGACGAGAAAGTGGCAGCAGAACATATCAGAAGAACATGAAGCGAGCAATTCGGCAATTCCACGATGGCATGGTAACATTACTAACTGCACAAGGTATCGTGAAGAAGGTCTCGGCATAAGAACATAACGCCAAACAGTAGGTTCAGTATATAATATGACGGCCAATCGCTTGCAAGTTCTGAGGTACTAGTAAAACAGCGTCTATCGAAACGTTGCATCTCCGCTCACTCCATGGCGATTTACGTGGCTCTCTTCTCAAGCTATATGATTGGCGACATTAGCGACCTACGGCTTATAGCGGGGGGTGGGAGCAGGCAACATACCCTCCAGGCAGAGTTCACAGCAAAGTTGCGGGGGGCTACGACTGCGTCCCTCTGGCCGTACATCGAACCGGTAAGGCGGCGATCACGCTCCATCACTGACACTTGAATTCAGTACGCAGTTCTGAAAGATCGCTATTGGTGGCCAACATACTGTTCTTCGCATCGCAAAGACAACCAAGTTAGCATGTATGGTGTGTATATGTGGAGGGCGGTGTCACAAACAATATCCCACGTATCGAGGCCGTGCCTTCCTCTGTGCTTGTCGGCCTGCAAATAGCGGAGTCCGGACACAGCCTTGACGAAAGCAACCAGTCAATCAACCTCCTCGTCGTCGGAGTCGACACAACGAGCACGGACAACTCACACCACCAGAGAGACCGAACATCTGTAGAGCACCAATATCGCCATCGTTAGCTTCGTTGAAGGATCTCGAACACGTGTTGACGATGAGGACGTACGGTAATTATGATCGCATACGGGAGGAGGGATTCGAACGGGACACCCATGATTGCGGTTTTCTGCGAACAGATATGGATTAGTATTGCTAGCCGTCAAACTGCGGGGATCTCGTACTCGATTCTTGGTGTTCCGGTTTGATTTTGCTCAGAGCTTCTTTCGGTTGCGGAGGTTGGTTCGCAGCGGGTTTCGGCAAGTTGGTGCGGTGCTGTGTGCGAGCGGGAAACCACCCCCCTCCACCGGTATTCTCGCTTATGTCATACTGCCAAGCCAGATGTGCAACGCGGTTTGGTTTGGCGAGTGAGTAGCAGTCTAACCAATTCAAGTTTGTCTCCTGTTGCGTTCGAGTTGCTTCCCAAACCTGCGCTGAGATACCCACACCAGTTCTCACTCATGACAGTTCTCTTCTCGTAAACATTTCCATTCGGCTGCTACCCGTGTTTCTCGACCCCAGCAGCGCTACAAAACGACACGTCTGACTGCAACACCGAACCGCACGCGCTTTCGCAACAACCTTCACTACAACCTGTGACTCGTCCGATCGACCGCAACAATTCGACTTCCCACGCTCTCGAGAGCTTTCGATAGTCTTTCCCACGCGACAGTCACTCGGTACCGTTTTCGCGGTACAAGTGACAAGATAGATCGTGGACGGACACACTTTGCCGGGCATTAAAGGTCCCGAAAGCCACGTGCAACACCCGCCTACCGTCGCATTGTTTCCTCTACCTCTTCCGCATCTTACGCTTCTCGCCGGAGCTCCGATCCCAGATTCAGCTCCGGTTGCTGGACCGGCGCGGGATGTGGCGGTGGGAAGCGTAAGGCAGGAGCGGGCACAGAAAGTGGACATGGACACCGAGATGGACATGCAGGAGGAAATGGGAGGTTCTGAGAAGGGAGGAGAGGCTACTACTCCTACTCGTAATCCTATGCGACTCATACCACCGGCTCAGAAGACTCTCAGAAGGACTCCTCAGAAATCTCCGCGAAAATCACCACAGAAGGCTCCACCGCAGAAGTCGCCGGTGAAAGCTCCACAGAGGGGGAAGGACCCGAGAGTACTGGTATGTTTGGATATGATGACGAGCCGAGCTGAGTGTGGCGGATGCTGACGGTACATTGTGAACTAGAACGAGCTTGAAGAAATGACCAACAGCGCGAGCGACGATAATGCCGACGCTGACGATGATGGTGACGGTGACGGTGACGATGACGAAGATGACGAGTTTGTGGAGGAAGCATCATCTATCGTCTCGGAACACTCCGAAGAATCTGGATCGGAGGGCGATTGGGGTGATGGCGGAGACGACGATGAGGAGAAAGAGAGCAACCATCTATGCATGTGCGCGTCCCTGAGCTCGGCATTTACGAAGAACTGATGAGGCTGATTAGATGTTAGACATTGTCAAGACGACGAGGATCATGATCCAGCGTCCGACTTTGAGGAGCCACTTGGATGTGCTGTTTGTAAGGCATTCTGTACGAATATCATCTCCGAAATGTGACTGCAATGAAAACTGACATTGTATGATTATAGCACATCGGAACTGCGACCGGAACGCGACCGACGCTGGCGGGGTGAAATCTGCTTTTGACGATGGTCGGTGGTCTTTTTTTCGCTAGGAGCGCTAGTCCCATTTGCCTGACGTCTTTTTCTTTGTTCAGAATCCTCCACATGGCGATGTCCCACCTGCGCAGCGAATGGTTTGAGACCGGGGTCCCGTCGGCCACACCCGGAATCGCGAGTCGCACAGCGCAAAAGCCCTCCTAAGGCCAAAGATTTTAGAAGTCTGCGCAAGCGCAAAGCCAATGACATGGATGAAGACGATGCGCCAATCGCCCGACGGCGAAAACGACGAGATAACCCAAAGCAGGTGAATGGAGTCGCCGCCGATGTGGAGGAACATGATAAAGGTGAACCCAACGACATACCGCTCACAAATGGCGCGCGCAAGAGGCGGAAGTTGGTTGGGCCAAAAGTTTCATTGAACAGAGGACCACACCATTTGATTGTTCAAATTGAAGGTCTAAATCCCAGTAAGCTGGAAAAGGCTTGCAAGTTTCCATTGACGGCAGCTACTGCTCTGAAGCGTCGATCAGCTCGAAGCTCGACGCCTATTGCGAAACAAATTGCATCAGCAGCATCGGCGAGCCTGACCGCCTCAACCACTCTCTACCCTATCATACCAGACGATGATAAATCGAAACCATATGGTGGGATTCTCACCGAGAAGGAATCGATTACTAAGGAGACGCTCCCCGGCACATCGGAGCGGACCCGGTTCGATGTAGCTCGAAAGAAGGCCGAAGATGAGCAGAAAATGAGGATCGACTTCATGGAGACCATGAATCCCTACACACATGGACGACGAGAAAGAGATCAGGAAGCCAAACGCATAGGAGAAGCCAGCCTAATCGAGTGCATACACTTTGGCGAACACGAGATAGACACCTGGTATGCTGCGCCGTATCCCGCGGAGTATAGCTTGAATAAAATCCTGTGGATATGCGAGTTCTGCCTGAAGTACATGAATAGTGAATACGTTTGTTGGAGACACAAGGTTGGCCGTCCTCTTCGCGACTCTCGGTCATGAACAATCACCTCGGTTATTGAAGAAGGCCAAAGCTAACGTGTGTTGCCGTTCAGATGAAATGTCCCGCCAAGCATCCACCAGGCGATGAGATCTACCGAGATGGCTCTGTTTCGGTATTCGAGATTGACGGACGGAAACATCCGGTGTACTGCCAGAATCTGTGTCTCATGGCGAAGTTGTTTTTGGGCTCGAAAACGCTGTACTATGATGTACATCCGTTTCTGTTCTACGTGATGACCGAGCGCGACGAATATGGAATGCACCTTGTGGGATACTTTTCAAAGGTACGTTATCCTTGCTACTTTCCTTTTTCGTACCCTATCCCAGAACCGGCAATGCAGGTTGTACGGAGCTTTATTTGACACTTCATCGGGGTGCAGGAGAAACGAGAAGGCAGCCAGAATAACGTCTCGTGTATCATCACATTGCCAATTCACCAGCGCAAGGGCTACGGCAACCTTCTGATTGACTTTTCGTACCTACTTTCCCGGGTTGAGAAACGTACGGGATCCCCCGAAAAGCCTTTTTCGGACTTGGGACTTGTATCTTACCGGAACTATTGGAAACTGAAGCTCTGTTATGAGCTGCGGTACCAGAAAGATGCACTCACCATCGCCGATCTGTCACGACGCACCGGGATGACTACCGACGACATCATATGTGGATTGGAAGCCCTGAATGCACTGATTAGAGATCCTGTGACGGGTTACTATGCTCTGCGTCTGGATCATGCGCTGTTTGAGGCCCTCATTGAACGTTGGGAGGCAAAAGGGTACATCAAGCTAAATCCTAAGGCGTTGGTCTGGAGTCCATACATCATGGGACGATCCCAGGCGGAGCACCTTGATGGCATGCCATTGTCGACGATTGCTCCAAGGGCCGGAGAACAGCCCAAGGACGCCGCAACGGATGAAAACAAACCATCAGAAGATCCGTATTCCATGAATATCGATCCTGCCCTTGTGGGGGTCGGCGCTTCTAACGGCATCCATACCGTCACGAACGGCGAGTCTGTCCACCAGTCGTCGCCAACGCCAGTGTCTCCGTCTCCCCACCAGTCGTCTCACAGGAAGAGGCACCTGTCGTTTTCCCAGCCGCTCATCCCATCCGCTTTCCTTGCCAAGATCCGCGAGATCCCTCCTACTCGCTTCGAGATCGTCCCACTACCTCCGGGCACTCGAGGCCGGCCAGGTGTGCTCAAGGGAACCGGCAGGGGCCGAGGGAGACCTCGTCTTGCCAGTCCCCATGTCCGTGGAATGGGGAAGGGCAGCTACGCAGCCACTCCTACGGCTGAACGCAGGGGCAGGGGCAGGCCGCGTCTGAACGAGAAGTCGGCGCCAGAAAACGTCACTCCAGCTCCAGCTCCACCGGCAATGGCAAACAGCAAGAGGATTGTTGCCAAAGCTCCGCGGATGAGGTCGTTGACGGCGGAGGCGACAAGACCGAGGAGTACGTCGACCGAGGTAAAAATCAGAGGCTTGGGGAAGGGAAGAGAGAAAGGTGTTGCTAGCGTCACCGCGGCGGCAACCAGTACAGTGACCGCATCACCCTCGTCTTCCGGCTCTTCTTCCAGCTCATCGTCTTCGGACGGAAACTGAGAAGCGGCAGGGCAACGGAGGATATGGGGCAACTACCTACTTAGATTTAATGTGCTTCACTATAGTAGGCTTGCCCATCTCTCTTTTAATCAGGTTTCTTTCTTCATTCAAGTTGTGGGCTCTTTCTTTCTTTCGTTTCTTCTCCCGCTTCTAGGTTTGCAGTTTTTCAGTTGGCCGGGTTTGTTTTTTTCTTTTCCGTTCTCTGGAGAGGTATCATCATTTTATTTGCTTTCTTGCATATGTACACGCGCACTCAGCTCGCTTTGGTCCATCCAGTCATGTACTTTTAGTAGTAGAGAGTTCAACTTCATCTACAACCCCACACATTTCCCACGGCGAGTGATCAAGCATGCATGCATGCTCACTTCGCCCTGAGCCGTCTGCGATTAGCGCGCATGACGCCCTCCTCGAATATATCCTCCAGCGACATGCGCACAAAAGGGCTGCAATGGTCCTGCGCCATCTCTGCGCGCTCAATCGTGGAGGAGCAGATGGGACAGCGCAGACGCGCGAATACTCCGTCGATTAGACAGTCTAGGTGGAATAGGTGGCTGCAGTTGTGTAACAGGTGGATCAGTGGCGCGTCGTCTATTGTCGTGCTGCAGCTATCGCAGAGAAGGTTTTGGCGTGAGTCGGAGGTGGTTACCGGTGGCATTGTGGGGTGGGGGAGCTGTAGCCTGGTGGGAGGAAGGGAGGAGAGGAGGGTCGTCGTTTGCGGTTGCTTTTGCATTTGCGTTTGCCCAATTGAAGTCGGAGGCCGCTGGGCTTTTTGTACTCTATACATACTTGAGCCGGACGGAGAAGAGGGCGCGTTCGTGTTGCTCCTCTCATCGTGGTGCGGTGCGCGGGACGCTTGAAGCTTGAATGATCCCTCATGATCCGCAACTCGACACCCGACACCACAACCCTCAGTTCGAATCGGAGGCCGTTCATTCATGCATGCTCACTCTGGCCTCTAGCGGATCGCCGTCTGCATGCTAGTTAGAGGGTTCGGGGATTCATCGCGGCGATTGGTACGTCGTATGTACCAGGAGCTGCCAATAAGTGGTTCCTCACCACCATTACGAATTATAAGCACTAGTCTATATTAGGAGCTCACTAAGCCAGATACAGTGAAATGAGTGAGTGGTTGTGATTAAGTTGTATGGGGGAAAACGCTAAGCTGTATGGGGGAAAAACTGGTGAGGTAGTACACCCGAGTGCACAGCATGCGCAGGTGGCCATGGATAACGGGGTGGGGCGCGCGAGAGCATGGAAGCACGGATCACCAACTGCATAAGTAGTACCTTATGAGGTTAGTATCTAACTATTGGAAAGCATTTGTCTTCAAACCCGCATGGTGGTCATCCGCAATTCCCAGAAGAAAAAAAATATTTACTTATGTACCATTTCCCGTTGTCATGTTGCTTAACTTGCGTTCCCTCACCAAGCTCGCACACGCACCACACACAACCACGCACACGCACGTACCTACGCACATAAGCATAACTTACAACGTTCGTGCCGTGTGTGTGGTTGTGTGTGCATGTGGATGGGAGGAAGGGGGGGTCTGTGGCACGCATCGCACACATCCCACAAGGGCATGGCGACACGACCGTTTGATCAGCATCAGCGTCCATGATAGATACCAGGTTGTCACTTGTCTCAAGGGAGTCTGCATGCACGTTCCCACACCTCATCATCATCGTCGTTGTGACAATGATTGAGGTAGGTAAGAAGGTGCAGTGGTGGTGGGAAGGATAGCTGCGGGGGAGATGGGGGAGGTGGGGGGGAGGGAAGCGCATGTGTGGACTGGCTGGACGCTGACGCAAGAAGAGGGAGGAAAAAGCAAAGAGATCCATCCACCCGCCACTTGTTGGAAAAAGAAAAAAAAGACGGAATTGAACTGAACTGAGAAAAAGCAAATATGAGTACGATATCCACAGCATCGAGTTGGAGTTGGTTGCCCCCGTCATCCCACAGGATGGTCGCGAGAGGACTAACTGGTATGCACACATGAGGGCTGGCGTAATCACAGCCACTGCCGTACTCCAACCGTACCCCACGAGCACGAGCACGAGCACGGCATAACCCCCCCGGGCGCTTCGATTTCGGTAACCGCACTGACTGTCGAATAATCTCTCGAGAACGAGCCGAGTCATGAGCTGTGATGCGAGCCATCCATCATCGCCAGCTGCAGACTACCTAACTATGCTTCCCGACTATTCCGCCACTGCACTATACGCTGCTGCAGCCCCACCATGGTGTCCGCCTGCCTGGCCCGTGCTACTGCTGCTGCTGCTGCTGCTGCTGACGGTTATATTATATTATTGCGCTGCGCTGCACTACATATTGCGGTATTGCTGAGTTCGAGCGGAGTTTCCGGGCGACGAACAATCTACTCTACTCTGGATTGCGGAGAGTAAAAAGTAGGTACTCTAAATACATTTGAGCTCGAGATGGATGCATATCGGATGGAGGGGTGAGGGGTGAGGGGTGAGGGGGGAAGTAACCGTGGGTAAGAAATCTGTTTGGAAGAGCGAATGCCTGCGGACAAGGGCATTGCACGCGGCCAGTGTCGCAATGCGGAAGGCGCAGGGAGCGGGATCGGGGAAACGTTGTGAGGAATATCATTGTATGTATGTAGTGGTGGGCCAGACCAGGTAAGGCCAGGCAACAGTCCTGGATATGGACATATGGATACATACGGGTTGGTATGATGTATCTATCTACTGGGGGAGTCGGGACGGTCCGTTCTCGAAGAGGAAAGCCATGGAGTATTGACGCTCCGCTCCAGCCATAGGTCAGAAGTAGGTAGGTATCGCACGGTATTGACGACCTCGACCTCGAGCTCGGAGCACTGGCGGAGAAAGCACCCGGCCAGGGCAAGCTGATATAGCTATTTTATACCCACCTCCTCCAAGAACTCCTTAGGCCTTTCACATTCCCTTCTGAAAGCTGAAAGCTCTCCTTTTACCGACCTTCTTCGGGAGTGATTTCCCCGGCACCGTGATCCCCCCCTGCAAAGTGACTGCCTTCCCTTTCGAGAGCGAGCAATGTATACATATCCTGTTACCGCTGGTTGAACAACTTAGAGTACCTACCGGAGAATTTTAACTGATAGATACCCTCCCTACCCTACTCGTATAATCCGTGTGCTAGGAAAAATGAACCTAATGTTTGATTTTTGGCCGGCAAATACCTGGTGGGGATTCTGCCCCATATCCAGATCTTACCATCATGAACGGATACCTAGCTTTCCGCTCTCGAAGATGCTCGAAATGCACCTTGTACATATGTTGACATCCTAGGTATATCTACCAGCCGATTGCTGAACGAGTATGTAGAATATGTATCATACATGACTATAGCAGGGCCCTTCGCATCGCCGGGAAGGTATCATAGCAGCAGCAGCAGTACTCCAGCCAACGAGCAGGCCCTGGGCGCTGGTATGACATGTGTGTGTGTGTATATGCGGACCACTCATCGTCAACTTCGAGAGAACCCGATCTCGAGTCTCGCCGCCGGCCTTCTTTCCATGCATCGTCGTGGGCCGCGCAACGTGGTGGTGCATTCACTTATTCACTTGTCTCTCCCTCAATAGCTGCTCTACAGCTCTGCAGGACGCCTGTTCAAGATTAGTTACCTTTCACTGCGGAATCCTTATGTACGTTGGTATGTATGTACGGAAATGTCGGCTGGGTGCAGAATTGATTTTTTCTTGTTGGAGAGCGAGCAGAATGGGGTGCCGGTGGCCACCGTCCACGAGTGGACACTGGAGGCGGTGGAAACAGACTGGCCGGTCACCAAACAACGCAGCGTCCGTCAGAACCAGGTACGCACATAGGTGCGTACGTACAGTCGGCCAAGTTCGAAGTTCGCAGTATTGAACCTGATAGGACTCAGGAGGCTCGGCCGGAAGTGCTGAATCGAGATGGCTTGGGATTTTTCTTTTCCCTTCTTCCAGCTTCGGCCGTCCTCGTCCTCGTCCTCTTTCTCTCTCACTTCCCTAGCTCGAGTCGAGCCATCCAGACGCCCCCAGAAAATTTGCCTCCCGTAGTGCCGCAACTACGCAAGCGGTGCCGTTAAACGGTGAGCCCAAGCAAGCCCTTATACTTAGCTTCGTCACTCCCTGGCAGCCTCCTCCCTCCACCTCCTCCCACACACCTGGTTACCTGGTTCGGGTGGGATATAGTCCACACTCTAGTTCCGCTAGATGTCGACCGACCTGTACGTCAGCTGATACGGAGAGCTCCCCCCGGGTGGAAACTCGGATGGATGTTCATTTCTTTGGTGTGCGGACTGTTTCTCAAGACTCGAGAGTTCCTGGTGGACAGGCTGGCCACTGATTTTGCTTGGGCATTGCTATTGAAGAAGAAGAAGAATGCACAGTGCTCTTTTCTCGGCTCGAGTGTTGTGGTACCTGGGTATTATTGCTGTCGCATGGGATTATGCATACAACCGCGTTAAGCGCGACTACCATGGAAAGCGAGTAAACACGGGACATGACTGCCTGGCAGCACCTGCACATTAAGAAAGAAGTGGTGGGGGCACGCGGGGGACTCAGCATAAATAGTTAGAGGCATTGCCATTGCGCGAAAGCGGTAGTACCGCGGTAACTACTACAAACGAGGGTTTTTTTCCCAAGACTCCAAATGCGTGTTGATGCGTTATAACCACTGGTGCACCGGTGTCCAGAACTGAGACACTGATATGCGCATCATCACGACGAAAACCGGGCGAGAAACGGAGCCCTAAAGTACTGTAAGCTCTGTATGCATATATGCATATGTGTGCATCCTAAAAAAAGGGAAACACCCGCTTCGATCCTCCACGTTCGGCTTCAGCCTGAAATCGAAACATCCCCCATGGATGATAGATATGCATAGGATCATGGGAGGCGTGGACGATCAGCGTGCCAAGTTCCGCTAGGTGAGAATGCGTTCGAATGAACGGGAGGTGTGCAGAGTTTCCACCCTACCGTATGTAGGTTGTACGAGTACTTGTGTGTGTGTGTGTGTGTGTGTGTGTGAGCGGAACGCATGGACCGTGGAACGGCCATAGCGTCTGCCAGCCGTCTGGTGAGTGACACAACACGGTACCTAAGACGTTGGTATGTGCCTGCTTACTCTACTCTGGCAGGCTTGAACTTACACACTCGTATACTCGGAACAGCTTCTAGTCAGCGTCAGCAGGGAAAATGTTCTTTGCTGGCCGGACGAAAAGGAGACTCCGGAGTCCTATGTACTTTCACCGCGACCACCGCCACGAGAGCAGCGTGTCTCGCGGGGAGAGAGAGAGCAAAGTTTCTCCATTTTATATCGGTTCAAATTCGCATCGCTTCGGCCGTCGGGGGGGTTCAGTGTCATGTCGTTGGATGCCAATCAGTGCAGCAATGGCGGAGTTGGATCGTTTTGTGTGATACAAGAGCTAACGTTGACCACGGCCCCATCATTGACGACCTTCAGAAGCTGAGAAGCACCACTATGACCCCCGGTGATAAAACCCCTCACCGATGCCACCGGCAAAGCTCTCTTATCGAACCGTTGTTGAGCCAGAGTCCTGACAGGCAAACACGCCCCCTTTCTATGTACTCCCACCCTCCTCCCGACGAAACTATCTGTTGCACGTTGGGGGCTGCTCGGTTCGAAATGTCGCGCAGTATGTAGAGTATGCATACGATACTTTTGTGGGCATCAAGTATGATACATGTGATATGTACATACCGCTTTGGCAGGATGACAGACAGGCATTGATGATTGCATGCCTTCTCTCCGCGGGAATTATAAGCATTAATGGGGGCATCTATATAGTATGGGAATCGCCGTGTCGGACTACATACCAGTGATGAGCGGCTAAGTATAGTAATCATCATTCATGCCAGGACGCCAATACCTATGCACATATTCGGCAGCAACGAGAATCACCCGCCCCCATCGTGTGGGGTCCCATCTGGCTGCTATCTACTTGGAGGCTCTCCTCCGGTTGTATGTATGTATGTTAGGTAAGTCCATACTACCACATGGCACACACGGTGCGATTCCGGTGAAGAGGTTCGCAGGCAGGCGCGAGGAAGTAAGGGGGCACGGACGGAACACTACTTAACTACGCCTGCGGCTAACTATCGTCTACAGACGACGACGAACGACGAACGACGAACGACGAACGACGACGACGTTGGCGTGGGCAATGCCACTGCTCTATCTACTACATATGGCACCTGTTCGACCGCCGCCTTGGTTATCGTCCGTCGATGGGTGGACTCTTGCCATCGTGCCCCACCGCAGATATCCATGAGTGACACCAGAAGATGGCGACAGAGAACCTGCAACGGCTCCTCGTCGCGGTTGATGCATTCATCCATGCCGCCCATGACCTCCGGGGAGGACGGCTCCAGTCCGCGGCCGGGAATGTACGTGTGATAGGGCATCAGCAGAGAGAGAGAGCGAGAGAGAGGAAGCGGCGTTGCTCCTCCGGGGGGCATCCTCCTGGTGTTGATAGCAGAGCCACAGCTTTTTTTATCTTTTTTATTTATTTGTGTTGCAACCTGGAGATCTCAACACCTCGCTGTTTGGTTTTTGCTTGTTTGCATTTGCGAGACAGGTTTCCAACCCGGTCGATGGCTACCTATTGCACGGGACCACGGTTGGACAGCAACAAGCAACAGCAAGAGGGAGGGAACATGTTCGGTTCGAGCGGCCGAATCCGTGGTCGTTCGTGACACGGTTGCTTTTTTGCGATAACCACGGAATCTTTGACCGTGATTAACGTTTGGCCTTGACATGTTTGCCTGGATGCTCTGCATATCCCCCCATCCCTCCATTCACACATCCTAGCATGTGAGAAACACCTTCCCCCCCCTCTCCTCCCTCCTCCTCCTTCTTCGCTTTCCCTCCCCATCGCCGCCTAGGCCAGAACCAGAACCATCGATCCGGATCGACGGCACGTTTTGTGCCGCCCCACCAGATACCTGAGCATATACCTACATGAGTAGGAGGAATGTGCATGGTCGAAACAGGAATACCCTATAGCCACCCCCCACAGCGCGGCCGTCTCGAAACCTGAAGGCCGCGTTTGGATAATGGATCTCTGCTCTCCGCACTCTACATATGTACTGCATCTTCTCTCAAAGAAGAAGCTTCAACTCCCCAGTCGCCATAACCCGTTTAGGGCATCCTCCCGCGCCGCGATCGACCATGGACATGACCGCGGACCATGGACCATGGACCATGGGCCACGGGGTGTATGTAGATGCGGGTGGGCAAAAGCCGGTTATGGTGCAGACCTGTCACGTACATACATACAGACATACGTGCGTGCGTAGATCCACACAGTACGGTAACTATCTAGAGTACCCGGGAATGTCAAGTGTTAAGGCCAGGGAAGGATGGCTTTTCCACTCTACTCTAGTTTCCTACATACTCGCTATATATCTCTCTCTCCGCTCTACTCTAGTTATAGTAGAGCATGTAAGTATGAAGTAGGTAGGTGCCCAAGTAAGTACCCCAAGTAAACACTATAAGTTACCTACATAGCTGGACAGAGTGCCATATGCCATACCTATGGTCTCGTTGAAACCTGCAGGTGGAACCCTGAACCCAACCCCGCAGACAGCCAGCCCACGGACTGGATTCGGCGTGGCCTCCAGTGCCAGTGCCAGTGCCAGTGCCAGTGCCAGTCGCCAGTGCCCGTACCAGTACCAGTGCGGCGCGGTGCGGTACGCACGGTATGTATGTAGTAAGTTGAGATGTATCTAGCATAGTTACTTTGGTATGTGGGGTGGGGTGGGGAAGTAGGTATTGGCTGAAGCGGCGGCCCAGCATATGTATGGTATGTAAACACCATATGTACTCCACTCGAGTACCGCTCCACTCGAGCGCCGCCCATCCGTCAAAGACCAGGTTCACTCCGCAGCTCTATCGCATCAGAGATTTTATTTCATTTTTTTGAGGGGGTGGGAGGGTGGAGGGTGGAGGAGGAAGGGGAGTGGAGCTGCACGGTATCTACTCTACTACGGAGTAGTAGGTACAGTGTGGAGCTGGAAGCTTCCTGCCGACCGATCAGATCCCGTGAACACACGAGCAGGAAGCAGAAAGCAGGAAGCAGGAAGCAGTATTTACCTATCGATCCATCCATCCATCCATCACTTATTTAGTCTGCTTGCTGCTTGCTGCTGTAGCTCCGAGTCGTCGCTGTGGCGACCCCCCGATTCCCCCGCGCGGACGGACGACTCTGCCGATAGGATGTAGTTAGGTAGGCCAGTCGCAATTCTGCCTGTTTGAAGGCATCTCATTCTCGCACTCACGAATCCCGCAGCTGCAAGCCTGCCTACCTGCCTGCCTCTGCCTGGCGGCGCGGATGTAAAGTTGTTGGGAGCCGAGAGAGCGAGCGAGCGAGGGGGCGAATACTAGTAGTTAGCCCCGGCTACCAATCATAACTGCGGGCCTATGTATGTACGGCAACCCCCGCCCATTCTGTGTATGCATGGTAGATAAGTCGAGTACATGTGTACCGTGTATACATAGGCGGAACGGGAAGTTGTATCAGCAGCAGCAGCAGCAGTCGGACTGGGCTTACTTACATACAGACGGTACGGCAACAGCTTCGATTGCAAAAGTTGCAACCAGGGAACTGGCTGGACTTGCAACTGGGCTGCATGGATGGCTTGAGACATTTATAGCCAAAGATGATGAGCCGCGTATCCTCGGCATCACAACAACACCTCCCACCACCAATACCAACACCATACACAAGTATTGACCCTTCAGAGAGAGAGAGCTCCGTGGCCCGTGGCCCAGCAATCCAAACCGCCTCGGTCGTCGTCTTGTTGTTGGGGGGCGGTAAGGACTGCGAGCGTGCGTGCGAGCGTGCGTGCGTCCGTTGGTTGGTCGTTCCGGTACATACCGTAACTGGGGAAAGCTGGGGAACTGGGGACTGGGGGTGAATTTAAATTTTAGAGTAGAGTGCCTTGATACTAGCTACGGTAGAGTACTATGGCAATTGGCACGATTGTGGTCACTCGCCCGCCCGGTAACTGTGGAGCAAACCTTCGTCCGCATGCCTACTCTACTCTACCTAACCTGTTGCTGCCGCTGCTGCTACCTGTGATAGTTGGATGGATGGATGGACGGGCCCCATCATGCGTACTTCACATACCTGGGTGGGTAAAAGTACTTGGCTGGCTATCTACTGTGCCGCAAGCGCATCACGGCAGCTAACTCGGCCTGGAGGCTGGAATGCCCAATTCCCTTTCCCTTTCCCTTTCCCTTTCCATATACCAACACGAATCCCGGCCGGTTCCAACTCTATGTACAGTACACGCAGACGGGTTAGATGTCTACTATCATACCACATACCCAGTAGAGTACCTAGTACCCATCCTCACCCCAACCCCAACCAAACCATGGATACTCTACATACCTGTTGGTTTTTATGTCTTATGCTATGCCATGCTATCCAGCATTCTCCCCTACATACCTTGCCATGTCTTGCCCTGCCCTGCCCTGCTGCCCAGTGCCCGGTGCCCGCGTCTCTCTCCTCCCGAGTCTCTTCTCGACCAAGTATCCGAAAGTCGTGTTTCAAAGCCCTGACAGGCAGGCAATGCAGCGCAGCAGCAGCAGGTCTCGTTGGATTTCGGGCAGAGACGTTGGCGGCGGAGGAGGCAGAGGACGGACCACGCGCTCCCACTGTCTCTCCCACTGTCTCTCCCACTCTCACTCCCACTGCCACTACTGCTGCCGCATCGTAGACTCGTAGTATCGCGGCCAATCACGCGCGCAGGAATAACGAACGACGGTTCGGGAAAGCCCTGACCCCCCGCTGATTGGTCGGCACGCTTCGATCGTCGGCGCGCTCCGTCCCCGTCTGGGAATCCGGGTCGAGGGCTATACTGAGCGCTCTGCTATGCATACATAAAAACCGTGCATGCCGTGCATACCGTAGATAGAAACCGGTAATCCAGAGGGCGAGAATTCATACTACCGGTACTAGTAGGTGGTAGGATCACTGCAGCGAGGCACGGTCCACCGGCGGGCGGGCTGGCGGGCGAGCGGACGGGTGGGTGGCATGCGTTTGATATGTAGAGCATGGACGGTATGTACGGTACATGATGGCGCCGACGAACACCGAGAACTTGTGGCATGGTTGGTGCTCCTACGGTACATACCGTACTTACTTACCGTACATAAGTAGAGTACCTACCAGTGGTCCCTCGGCTTCGAGGTTCATGGATCACGATTCTTCGCAGGCCCCACGCAGTTTCTCCCCATCCCCCGTTCCCCCGTTCCCCCGTTCCCCCGTCCCTCCCCCCCCCGTCCCTCTCCATGTACTCCACGCGGCGTGTGAGTGTGAGTGTGAGTGTGAGAACGAGAGAGACTGGACTGGACCGGGAAGATATCGAACGACTAACCACGGACGGTACGGTTACTCGGAGGTTGGGTTGGGTTTGGTATGTATGATAGAGATGGATGCTGCTTTCTGTTACAGACTCAGTCTTGCAGTCTTGCAGAAGATCGACGGTGGAGTCCGTTTCGACCCTAGTTATATAGCCCATACATACCGCACATACAGGCAGGCAGTCCTAGCATACATGGGATAGAGTAGGTAGAGTGCTCTAACCACTCTAACTAACCAACTGATCAGACCACCCTCTACCACCTTACTCTGCCTTGCCTTGCTTTGCCTTGCCTTCCCCTTGCCCTTGTGCGGCCGTTATATGTCAAATATATGCCCCCCTCAAAAATTTGAGTGCCAATATCTTCGCTTCGAGCCGGGGGGCGGAAGTGCTGGTGGTGCTGGTGGCGGCGGTGGTGGCGAAGGTGCTGGTGCTGGTTGAGTGCTCGCCCACCGTTTATGATATATCCGTCCATCGACGGTTCCGGGGGAACGCAGTGTAGCCGGCATATGGTATGTGTGTAGGAGGAGAGGAGTTTCCTACGCACCGAACGATCGTGCTTGCAATTGGTCCTTAGTCCCTGGTCCATCTACGACCTACCTAACCTACCTGGATGCTCTCTTTTTTTCTTTTCCTTTCTTTTTCTCCTCCTCCCTCACCTTTCCGGCTACCCAATTGCCCAGCCCAACTGCCCACAATCGTTGGATGACAGACCGGCAGACCGACCGACCGGCCAGTCCGCACCGCACCGCACCGCACCGCGCCGGACCAGGTAAACCAGTAGTCTAGAGTCCTGCTAGGGTAGTGTCGTCCACCGGTTGCTACGGTAGTTACTAAACCAGGTAGAACTAGCTGCTTAGCAGTGCACACACAAACTCGAGACCCATGGGCCATGATCCATCGGCCCGTGGTTATTTCCGCACACGACGGATGAGTGTGACTGGTCACTGGACACCTACCTGGATACCAAGATACCGACCTCTCCGCAGCAGAGCTTCTGTGTGTCCAGATTTCCGCGGGCTCTGGCGCTGACTGGTCACTGGCCATGGCCGCGGCCGGCTTCGAAGTTCGAACCAACAACTGAGCAGGTAAAGGTACCGTAGGCCAATGAGAGAATAACGTTTGGTATTGGATGTTGCGGCACAGAATTAGAGTAGAGTAACAAAAAAAACTCGAATCACTCCTTACCCTAAGCACCTACGGTATTTTGTGTTATGTTATGCGTGACAGAACGCAAAAAAGGAATAAAACATAACAAAAGAGAGAACGAAAGACCGCCAAGCCAAGGGTCACACTGCACCTTACCGCAGCACAGCGTACCGTACCGCGCCGTACCGCACCGCTCCATATCTAACGGTTCCTGTTCGACCCCACGCCACACGCCACGCCACGCCAAAGCAAAGCAAAAAAAAAACGTGGGTGGCTCGGTCGAGAAGGTCCCCATGCTCAGATGGGTTATAGCGTGCTCTAGTCAATCTCTGGATGAGGCCAAGACGATCTTCAGGTTTTCCTGGAAGGGGAGCATGACCACGAGCATATCCACAAGCATACATATGATAGATTGGGGAACGGGGGGACGCTGTGGGCCAGCAGCCGGGCCAGGCAGGTCGGGTTTCTCATCTTTGCTCATCCGGGGTTGCGATTGGACACGGCGGCGAGAGCGAGCGAGCGAGAGTGAGTACTGGGTGCTTGGTAGGTGACTCGAGTAAGTAGAGGTCACTAACTAGCGGGCAGCAAAGGTTCACGGCTCAAAGCTGCAGCATCAGGTTTTGGTGGGTGGAGAAGGGAGGAAAGAAAAGAAAAGAAAAGAGAAAAGAAAAAATAGGTTATAGGGTAAGAGCGAAGAGTGTGAAGAGAGCAAAAGAGAGCGACTGTGCGAGGGTGTGGTCACAGTTGGTGTGGGGGGGAGCGAGGAAGGGAGGGAGGGAGGGAGTGGCAGGATGCCGGTTCATCCAGATGCAATCTGGGATTCGATGAAGGCCGTGCTTGCTGCATCTGCGTTATGGTTTTCCCAACTAGCGTACCGCCGGAGCTTTAGCCGCTGCGAGTACCTGGTAGAGTACGAGCGTTTTGCTCTCTTCCCGCATATGCTCTACCTACACCCTAGATATTTTCTGCACCTTCCGTTCAAACTCAACCAACTTCAGCCCAGTCTAACCCCGGAGTGAGTGGGGCACCGACCCAGATACGATGCAGCACTCGAGCCGACAGACAGACAGATACTCCTCCTCCCGCACGGCCTGTGACTGACTATGGTATTCTCCCCGGCTCACGTACACTCTATAGTACCTACTCTACTCTACTCTACACAAGCAACCACCGTATTCCGGAGTGAGTACACGAGTACCACGAGTATGGTACACGAGGACCACGAGGACCACGAGTAACTCCACGAGCACACGAGTGACTACACGAGCACATACCGTACATGCCGTACATGCCGTACACTGCGCCGTACATACGTTGGTACTATACCCACCTTATGCCGACGACGTCGTGTTCATGCACCGGATGGACGGCGATAGATAACGCCTTCTCCCTCTCCGCTCGCTTTCTTGCGGCAGTTGATGGGCATTTCGTGTGGTGGTTGGCTCGGTCGAGGGTGGGGTGTGCGCGCGCGCGTTTCGCTATCCGGTATCGAAAACGGTTCAGCCTCCATGGAGCTTAGTTGCTGCCTGCTGCTGCGTTGGCGTTAGCCATTTATGAGGGAGTAGTTGGTGAGTAGTGAGCCGTGAGACGTGAGTGAGTGGGTGAGGAGGTGGAGAAAGAGGGCACTTGCTGTAGGGTAAAATAGAGCAGAGTAGGGAAACTCTCTTCTCCGTGGCCGCCCGGCTATCTCTCCATCCATCCATTCCTCCATCTATCCATCCGCTCTTCCGTCGCATCAATCCGACTCGACTCGATCCCGTAGTGCCATCTAAACGGCTGGTTTGGGGGGGGAGAAGTGTATCTACTATAAGGTACGATACGAGGATGCGAGAGGAGCGAGAAGCGCATTCTAAACACCATACATACGGGGTGCGAGAGGAGTGAGAAGCGCATCTAACGACGCTACACACGTACGTACGTGGGTGAGAGGAACGCGAAGTGTCTCACCCTCTCAGGCCAGCCGGTTGTTTGAGACCGCCAACCGATCCGCATGCTTTATTCGCTACCGCTGCATATCCCGCCGGCCCCCATCCTTCGTTCCTAACAGCAACACCCCCAACCATGACCAGACACCTCACCCATATTCGCATATACCCAGATCTCTCACCCCTTCGTCCTCTTCGCCCCCAACAACAGCCAGACCTCCCCTTGCCCCCCTTCCCCCCATGCCAGATTCGACCCCGGGCTGGCGGACAGTAAGACGGAAGCAGGACGTATAGAGTAGCGTTAACTCGCTCCTTTCTTTCGTCTCCACCAATTGCGAGCACAGGCGAAACGGTACGGTACTCTAGAGTGGAGCACACCACATGGCCTTCGCTATTTGCTTGCCTCCCCCCGTTCTGGAAATCTGCATCTTGTGCGCGGCCCTTCTTCCCCGATCTCCCTCCTACGCCATCCTCTAAAGTGCCAAAAACAGCCCCATGGTATATATCGTCATATACATATACACACGCGGCGTGCATGCCTCCCCCCCCCTCAAGCGATATAGGACTCGTGCTGCTCGAATGCAATCGCATCGTCTGGACGAGCAATTCCTGATTCTGCGAAGGGGGCCGTCTGGGAACGTGTGTGGGTGCGGCGGCGGCCGGTATTTAGAAGGTAGTAGTAGCAGCAGCAGCAGCAGCAGCAGCTCCTCTGCAGCAGGTGCAATCCATGACCAGTGGTTCCCTGGTTCCACCCACTCCCCCACCCCCCTCCCCATACCTACTCCATACCTACTACTCCGCCCACTGTTCTGAATGGCCTGGGGAAACCGGGCATCGTGACTGGAGCTGAATCCGACTCGCTGAGCTGCGTGTGCGTGCTCAGCCTCAGGTCAAAATCGGAGAAAAACTGCCTCTCCGCCTGCCTGCCTACCTGCTTGCCTGCCTGCCTGCCTGCCTGCCTGCCTGCCTGCCTGCCTGCCTGCCTGTCTGCTTGCTTCTCCACCCCCCATCGCACCCCGCCAATGGTGTCCATAGGCCCTCGAGTGGTAGACGCACACATGCTCACACGCACGATCAGGATATTAATCGATTAATCCTCCACGTTCATGCTTTCGGCCATCACGGAGCCCATCACATTCACCCACCCACCGCCGCGAAGAAAAGACAAGAAATGAAACGAGAAAAAAAACACGCAAAAAGCAGAATGGAAAAGAACAAGAAGAATAAGAAAATAAAAAAAGAAGGAAAAGGGGAGAGAGGTCAATCCAATTATCGACGACCCCCCACAAAACTGCAACGCAACGACCTGCATTTTTTTTATCTGGAGATGGATCCATTGCATTTCCGCCACAGATAGACGGAAGAGCAGCCCAACAGCCCAGCGATCAGATACACGGCTTATTTTTTTCTTCCTCCCTTGCCGTTAATTCCCTTTCGGGCCAAATCCCGGTTTACCCTGGCTTTTCCATCGCCGTGGTGCCCGTGGCCATGTCTTGCTTTTGTCCAGCCAGGGCCACTTCTTTCTTTGCCGTGTCGACAGACCCTTTTCCACCCTGCCACCCTGCCTGCTCTGCTCTGCTCCGGTCTGCTCTGCTCTGGTCTGCTCTGGTCTGCTCTGGTCTGCTCTGGTCTGCTCTGGTCTGCTCTGCTCTACTCTCCATACCTGCTCACATATTCTACTCTATTATCTACACTCCACTCTATTCTACATACTCTATTCTACTCTACTCGGGTACTCTACCTACTCTACCCTACTTGCTCTACCCTACTCACTTGCACACCACTCACACAATCGTTAGTCGCTGGCGCCAGGATCTTAGCCAGGTGAACGCCGCCGCGAAACAATCCAAACCCTGGCCCGGCCGACTGCACTTCACTGCCTGCCCCCAGTAGCCCTTGTAGAAAGAAGAGTAGAGCACTCTACTAACCGTTCTCCGCTGGGCTTTCCTGCATACTTAGGTCAACCCTACTACTACCTGACATACATACATACCCACCGTCTCCCCTCCTCAACCGCAACCTTCTCTCCTTCTCCGTCGTCAGATCTCTGCCGCTTTCACCTCGCCTGCATCACGACGACCACCAGCACCCCCCGTCGTCCCTTTCCCGGCTTTCTTTACAGCTCCTCCTAACCTGTGTCTGTCCTTCCGCGCCTTTCGTCATTCCCTTTTGCTATCCGCGGCCACCCCCCAAACCCACCGCTCTCCCACCTTTTCAACCGCCTTCGAATCCTCCGATTGCCCAACCCAACCTAACTCAACTCAACTCAACCCAACCCCTCCTCCCCCCCCCCCAAGCCCCCCCTCAAACAGTACAACTCTTCTACGAATTCCGGACTGGATCTCGTCGTTCCATTCCGTCTACGGCTTTCCTGCCTCCACTAACGTTCCTGACGTTACCCCAACTTTGCTCAGGACGCGCTTGGCAGCCCAAACCCAACCTACAGACACCATAAGTAGCTTTTCTGGCCGATCCGGTACCATCCCAAAATACCCACATCGAAAAGGACACTCGGAAACTTAGGAGCGCAAATTTCTTCCTTGAAGAAGAAAAACTAGCTGGAAGGATCTGTGCGCGCGTAACGACAGCCGTCGCTTGAAAGGAAAGGAAAGGAAGGCACCGACACCCCCGTGGGACGATTCTGGGGCTGGACTTGGGATAGCGAACAGAGCAGAAGTCCAACAGGAGAAACGGGGACTGGTAAAGAGTGCCGGAGAACGAGTAGGAAAGGTTCAGGCAGTAAAACATCACACCACACGCACACAATTGAGTCGTAACCCAAGCGCGGGTGTGTGTGCACATGGGCAATTGAAGGAGGACTCTGGATTCATCAATCAGACGATTGACGACTAGAAGGCCTGTCGCCGGAAAAGACTGAGGATCCCATTTTGTCTCTGCGAAGCGTCATATTGCCAACAGTCTCGCGGCAACACACTATCATCGGGTGTTCCGAATTTGTCGCCTTCGGAGAAGTTCATCGAGAACTTTAGGCAACCCTTTAGCCTTGTTATCGTCCCGGGGAGGTCTCGTGATACATCTTTGGACCCCCCCTCCCCTTCACTGCTCTCTCGGAGGTTAGGGGCATAAGGGCGGCACGCCATACAGGTTATCCGGTGAGGAGATCTGGCCATCGGAAGGCAACTACTCGACAGCGGCCAAATCATCCTCCCATCTCCTCGTCCACATCCCGATTGGCTACGGGTGAACAGTTTGATGAACTCTCACACATTCGTCGACGCCTCTTCAAGAGTTGGAAGGCTGAGCAGGTAAACTTCCACCTTCGTATGGGATTCTTCGCGAAGAAAAAAAAAACTGACCCGGAGGTGCAGCGAGGACTATGACTTAATTATACGTCAAGGGCCCGAAAGAGCTCGGGTAGCTGGTGTCAAAGAGAAAGGTAGATGGGTCCCGTGCCACGGTCGGTCTCCGGTCCTAAACTCAACGATGCTGATGGCAATATGATAGATCGGAAACCCGTGGATCCTCCCCCGATCGTTCAGCTCAAAATCAGAGATGAAATGGATCCAGCCCAGTGAGTTTGGTATCCGCTGTTCGACCCGGCAAGTCATTCTGACCATTTTTCCGAATAGAAACTACCTCCAGAGCCCTTACTATTTCATGTGCTGCAATCTTTACAGCGCAGTCCATGATGAACCCACATTGATCCCCCCACATCAAGCATTGGCCGGTACTCTGGTATCGTCCCTGCACAGATTGAAGGACATCGACAATAGCGGTTTGACCCCTGCCAATCCTCCATTTGTGGACTGCTGCTGATGACTCAAAAGACGGTGGATTCTTCGTCTTCGGGGACTTGTCGGTCAAAATCGAGGGGGAATTCCGGTTGAAGTTCAGCCTCTTCGAGATGATGAAGTAAGTACCTCCTGACTGTCCGAGAGGTTTCCACATTACTCACACCTGGACCAGGAATCAGGTGGTTCACATCAAATCGACTACCTCCGAGCCATTCACCGGTAAGCCATACCGCAGTCCCCTTGGTATCGTGTGTATTGGGCCGTCTAATTCTCTTCAGTCTACGCCGCCAAGAATTTCCCGGGAATGTCGGAGTCCACCTTTCTTTCTCGGTCTTTTGGCGATCAAGGAGTGAGACTGAGGATCAGAAAGGAGCCAAGGACATTACTGTGAGTTTTCACCCTACTTATTGGTTACCAATCGTTGATAACTTATTCACAGTAGAAAGCGGCCTCAACCACGACCAGAGGAGTATTCCGCCCGGCCATACAATCCGATGGGTCCCGACCCACGAGTAATGGGAGGCTATCAGCATCCGCCTGTATCCGGGTACTTGACGTCCCCCAGTCATGACTACCCATCTCCATATTCGGACGGTGGGAAAAGGCAGCGTACGGACAATCATGTCAGTCCGCGACATTCAATCGATGCACGAGCGCCAGAACATCAATACATGGCTCGGGCATACGACCAGCAACACCAGCAGCCGCATCCGCAACATCCGCAACATCCGCAGCATCCTCAACATTATCAGCATCCTCAACAACCACAACCACAACACCATCACCAGCAGCAGTCACAGCAGCAGCAGCAACCGCAGCCCTATATGTATCCTCCGGTATCCCAAGGGCAGTATCCCCCATACAGCGGCAACTACAGCCAGCAACCACCCCCACCGCCTCTGCCACCTTCGACACAGTACGGGGCACCGCCACCCTCACCTGTACATTCGCTCCCCGATTCCTCTGCATACGGACAGAGGGCGAACCCAACAGCTCAATCTCATTCTCCTTCACCTTACCATTCGCCCCGGACCCATACATATTCTCAGCAGCGCTCTCCACTTCCTCCGACGGTGGCACCGCAACCATCAACCCAGTTCAGATTTCCTCAACAACCCCTTCCCCACCAAGGAAGTGCACCTCCTCCGATAGCTCCACCACGGATCAACTCGCCTTCTTCAAGAAATCCGCCATCTTCGCATGCGCCATCTTCACATGCGCCATCTCTGCGGCCGCTACATGCTCCATCTCCACTTGGCGGGGGCGGACCACTCCCACAGTCGTCGTCTTTGCCGCCGATGCCGCCGCCGTTACTTTTGGCGGATCAACGACCACCACCTCCACTGTTGCAGCAGTCAAATACAAATCCTGTCTACTTGCCTCCGCTGCTGCAGCTTCCTCCGATGAACTCGGGTTCGCAGATTCCATTACCGGGAGGGCAACGGAACACGATGCCGCCTATGCTGACACAACCGCCCAAGTATCCTGGGCCACCTTCCTCGCAGCAGAAACAGCAATCATCCGCATAGTGTACAGATTATCACGGATTTCCTTGGCAGTCGGTTTACGGAATCATTGAGCGACCCGAGGGGCATTTTGTGCGTTTATTGTTTAATTGGATTTGGGCATCGGATGGGGTTTGATTTCTTATGGCATAAGTTGAATTTCGGAGGGGAGGGGGGAAGAGGGGTGGCAAAAGGTCGGGGAGGGGTGGCAAAAGGTTGGGGAGGTGTATTTTTCTGTCCGTTTCCGTTGTAGATAGAGGGGGGGTTGTGTCGTTATCAGTAGGACGGATTCTTGTGGCTTTTTTTTTATCAACTTTATTTCCGTTTCCTTTTTCCTTTTTCATCATTTGTTTCCCGGGATATGGCGCAGGTTATGACGGTATGGTATGTTATTTATTATGGTATTGCATGAATTCGGAAAGGAAAGTTGAATGAGAGGATTTCGACATGAGGGTTTACGGTGCAGACTTCGGGGACACTACGGGAACTATTGAATTGCTACATACTTCTGCCCTCGAGCAGATATCCACTGTTATTGGTACATCTACAAGTATTCCGTTTATGCTGGTGAAACAGCAGTCTTGTCTGCATGCGAATTCGAATAGGCGAATAGAAAGAACCGTTGGTATCGCGTGAGTACGTACATGAGCCTAATTGTTTGTACAATGCAGCACGAGCATATGCGGTTGTAATATTACCTTATTTCTTGTATGTAGACAAAGCATGTACTCACTCTATGTCCGATACCTTGTTGCCATACCACAGAGCACAGCACAGCACTTGAATATTACAACCCCCATTGCCTCTGCATATCATCATCTTCTCTGCCAATACCCGTCCTCCATTCTCCTCCGTCTTCATTTATAGCCCCTACCCAATTACTTGTTGGAACATACCTACTGTACCGTACGATTACACTTCAACCTCCTCCCACCCCAATATCAGAATAGAAGCAGCAAGCCATGAGCTCTCGTCCAGGCTCTCGTTCGGGCTCCAGTGGACCCGATCAGCCCGTCGTCGACCTCTCACTAATCGGACGATGGGATCCAAAAGACGGCACCAACACGGCCGATGTGATGATATATGCAAAGGCAAGCTCATATGATTCCCCCCCCCCCCCCCCCCAATTGCCCGTTGTCCCCATGCACTTGTTGTGTTCCTGCCGTGCCCTGTAGCTTTCCGAGCTCACACCACACTGGGCAAAACTAGGTTACGCCGCCGCAGCAGCAGCACTCGTTGAGGATCCCCTTCCTGCACCTCCAGCCGTTGGTGCTCCAGTCCACGCTCGTACGTGTCGTCCCCCTGCTGCCCGACGGCACGAGTCCTTGGGGGTCGCCCGGCGTTAGGGCGCTCGGTGTTTCTACCGTGGCTGGAAGGAAGCGGCGGATGCCGAGGGGGGGACCATTGCGGCGTGGGGATGGGGATGGGGAAGGGGGGATGGTGGACGGGGGAGGGGATGGGAGGGCTACGGCTGGTGGTGGGGATGATGCGGAGTCGGTGGGTTCATCTTCTAGTGGGACTGGGACTTCGTTGCTTTCGAATGGGTCTTCGGAGGCACCGTATGATGATGGCAGCCCGGAGGATCCGCTGCCTAATCTCATGCCACCACTTACGTTCGACGAGATGGATCTTTCTTCCGTCGAGGGCTTCGGGGGCGTCAGGCTGGGTGAGGTTGAGGTTGAAGATTCCAGCCGACAAGACAAGACCATCAGTGCAGACGAGCAGCAGGAGGAAGCTTCATCAATAGTGTCCAGTCCATTTCCCGAGCGGGGCCGCTGGCTACCAAGGGACCATGCAGCGTCGACCTCGCCAGAGCCCGGAGTGGCGCCTTTTGCGATGGCCGGGAGGAGATGCGTCAGTTATACCAGGACCTATGACGGTGTGATGCAGCGCGTTCCACTGGGTGCCCATGAGTGGGACCGCATCCAGAAGTGTGCCGAGAGGATTCAGAGGGTTGAGACCCCCGTTGCCACGAGAGATAGAGCGGCCAATGTGGCTTTCACCCCGAGGGTCGATAGTAGAGGGAGGATAATCTCCTCGGGATCGTACAACAGTATCAGGAGCGTGTCGCCTCTAACCGCCCATCTGGCTCAGCGGCTTCAGCATGGTGATATTGATCACTCGGTGGACGAGGAGGAGATGGCAGAGCTGCTGCCTCACGGACACGATGGCCCTGGAGAGTTCAGAGACAAAGTTAGGGGGAAGCTTCGCGGAGTCAGGCATGTGATGTTTTCTGAAGATCGACATTCTGAGTCGGAGTCGGAGGATAAGAACGCTGAAGACGACGAGATTACGATCGCCGTGGAGGACAATTCCCTCGTTGTGTGTTTCCTTCAACACGTCCGTCCAGATCCAGTGGTTATCGAGATACTGCTCAAGGTCAGGCCCATCCTGCTCGGGCAGAACAAGAACTACCATACCTTCATCTTTTCCGGCCTTCCTTACTGTAGGAACCCGGCCTTTTTCGACTTCAGGGTCGACAGAGATGACGAGGAGTGGGTCTTCGATGCGGGCGATCACGACCAGACGGCTACGTTCGAACCTCTCGTTCTCGATGAGCCAAACAGGCTTCGTGGACAACTACATCTCCGGGATGCAACGCCTACCCAGCGCAGCATCATCATGCGGGCACAACGAGTTCCTTCCCATGTCGAGATTTACGGGCATAAGATTCGAAGCAAAACCAACGCTCTGTTCTCGTGGACTCCGGATGGGCATGTCGTGGCGGAGTTCGAGATAAAGGTTTACTTGATTGATGTCGATGTTGCGGACAATGTGGCGCGAAACATGATAAACCTGATACTCGTGAACGGCGTCGATGATCCCAAAGAAATCACAGTAAACTCCGCCTCTGGTCGCCGCGAGAAATTCTCTCTGGAAGGTCCGGTGATGAAGGATGGCGAGGAATTGCAGAGTGCTCGGCTTCTGCAGGTCTCGAGGCTTGTGCGGGACTCCCGAGATTCAATGACGATCAGCTTCCGCAAGGTTCAGGAATCTTTTCCCTGCTATTTTCACATTCCCCTGGTTGAAACCGGCAGTCACCGCGATATATTGGAGCAGATAGTGGTGATTCATGAGCCACGTCTACCGCTGACCCTAGCCTTCACTCCGGATCTGTCGTTCTGGCGCGATCTGGGTGAAGAGAAGGATCTACTGGGTTCGAGGAAGATAACTAGAATAGTTGACAGCTCGGCAATCGAATATCCCAGGGTCTGGGTGAATTCGCTGGAACCCGTCTGTTCAACCGCCATTGCCGTTCTCGGCAAGTTCAGAAACCTTGGGTTCGTCGATAAATTGACGTACCAGATCGAGGAGCACTCGCCGGCGCTCTGGAGCGCACGCAATCCAATTTCTCTCCACTTGCGAATGTCATTTGAAATTGAGGGCCCGGTGAAGAATGGAGCGGAATTGTCGAGGGTGCACAGAGGGTTATTTCAGGTTGAGTTCATCACCATCAATGGCGCCCCGGCTAAGATGGCATTCATGGACGAGGATGAGCTGGTCATCCTTAATCACGGGCATGAGTACGAGACGGTGCCGATGAAGTTCAGCGTTTACTGGGTATCCATGCAACCGCATACCACCGACACGATTGGCGGGGGCAAGATGCTGGAATTCCAACTACCGCGCATCCACGAAAAGTTGGTGGGTCGAGCGGTCTGCAAGTATCCGCATGGACCAGCCCAAATAACCTCAAGGTCACACCTCCTGGATACACCCCCGCCAGACGCTGGGCCCTGGACCGTGGTTTTCACCAACGGAAAGGCTACCCTGTCAGGATTACAGACTTTTAGCAGCCGCATGTACCTTCAGATTCCGGCAGAGTCGTCCCGGTGGCCGCCGAAGTCCCGGGCCGGAAGCATCATCGCCGACGCTGACTCGTTGGCCGAAGGGCTCGTATTTAGGAACTCGGCACACGACGAAGCGTCTTCACTTGATGGCCCGGCTTCCACCACGCGCTTGCCATCCCCTGATCCATCTCCATTTTCTTTCGATGGAGCCTACAGCCCACCGTCAACCTTGCGGCACCTCTCGACAGATTTCGGCCCAAACCCATTCGCAGTGGCCGTGGAACACAAGGACCAAGGCTCCTCCGACGGCCCCACTCCGCAGGAAGAAGCAATGGGGTGTCTCCGTAGAGTCTTCCTCTTGCTTTTGATTGCCGTGACGTTTCTCGGTTGCTACTACTGCTATATGGACCTGGGAGGACAGTCGTTCTGGGCGCCGCAGTCGCGATTCCACCCGTACCAGGCCACGGCGAGATCGTCGTACGAACGCCTGGAGAACTTGCTGATGGAGGGGTACGCGGATATCCTGCATGACGAGGCACCACCACCAACGCAGGATCACTGGAGAGGCATTTATACGCCGGAGCCGCTCTCCGTCGTGCCTGCCACTCCGGATGCGGATGAACCCGCGATAGAGTCGGGGAGTCCGACTGTTACTTGGAGAGACGATGGGGTGATGGCTGGCGAGTACGAGAGCGGCATGGGAGGAGAAGGAGAAGGAGGAGGAGCAGGAGGAGGAGGAGGAGGAGCAGGGGAACCACGGGGTGTGGGATTGTATCGACACGGCTTTGTGGCGCTTAACTTTTGGACGGTGGCAAGGACTTTGTGGGCGCGTTTGAGAGGTTTGTTTTGATTACCTACTCTGATGTGATTTGAATTGGCTTGATGCATAGCTTATTGTGGGGAGCTTTGGTTTGGCATGATGTATATAGCTTACGATGGGGAGCTTTGGTTTGGCATGATGCATAGCATACTATGGGGAGCTTTGATTGAGTGGAATGAGGCTTCTTGATGGACTTTTTCTTCTTTTGTTTTGCTACCAAGTAGATGGCTAGATGGACGAACTTACCTATTTTATTCTTGATGGACATGATTAACATGGCAGGATAGTACTTGGATTGTACTTTTACTCTTACTTATAGTTGCGGGATGCGGGATGGCTCTGAGGACTTTCCCGCTTCATTTCCTCTTTGGGTTTTTTTTATGTTTATGTTTAAAGGGCCAACACTCATGGCAATGGTATGATACCAAATTGGAATGGGAAAAGAAGTGTCCAATTGTTATGCATAGGAAAAGGTCTCGTACATACATGTAACTTTTTTATCCTGATGGGGGAAGGGGAGGGGTTTTTTGTTGATTTTGTCTGGTCCAAACCCACCGAAAGTGACAGAAGATGAACAAGAAAGTGTCATGATGCCCTCAAATCCCCTATGATAGGTATTGAGAGCGAATAGAGTAGAGTATCCAGAGGTGAAGGGGAAGAATTGAATTACCCGAATCCCATAAACGATGAAGAAGGAGAAAGGAAAAAGGAAAAATGAAACGGAAAAGGAAAAAGAAAGAGAAAGAAAGAAAGAAAAGAAAGATGAACAACCTTGAAGACAGATGTGGGGGGCTGGCTGGCTGCTAAACGCACTGAAAGCCAGCCAGCCAAAGAAACAGAATAGGTACTTAGAGAAGTAAGTAGGAAAGAAAAAAACGAAACCCCGGGGCCATGGCATTTTCAGAAGAAAAAAAAGAAAACACTTTGAGATGAAGAAGATTAGGAGAAACAGAACGAACAATACAAGAGAGCGAAGGAAGGAAGCAAGGAAAGGGAAACGAGAGATGCATAATGTGACAAAGACAAACAGCTCACAACCGCGCGCGATAACTACCACCTTTTCTAGAGTAAAAGTGAAAAAAAAACGTATTTGGCAAAATAAGAGGAAGTAGAGATGCAAGAAGAAAAAAAAAGCTGGACTTGAAATTGGAACGTATAAAAACCTATCCGCCCGCCGAAAAGAAAAAAAAGCTGGAGCCTACAACAACCTATTCAACCCTCTCCGCCATCCATCCACCCCTCATTCAACAAAGGCCGAGGAACATCACAACATATCACTCGACTTGTTACAGCCACCCAGTCTCATTGTGCTTACAAACCAGCCAACCCTGTCCAGCCAACCTAAAAGTCGATCAGGTTCTGGTTCTGTTGTTGCTGCTGCTGCGGCTGTCCGAATGGATTTGCGTTGCCGCCCTGGTAGGTCATGCCGGCGGGGCCGGTGTGTGCGGGGACCAGTCTCTGCTGCTGCGGCTGGAGACTAGCACCAAATCCTGTCGTCTGCGGCATACCTGTGAACTGTGTTTGCTGCATCCATGGGTTGTTCCCCGTGGCCTGTGCGGGCGTCGGACCGCGCCTCATTCCGGCTGAATTCACGAACATGCCTGGCGCAGTGTGCTGGGCCGGGATTCTGAGATCACCAGTATTTCCAAACGTATCCAGACCGTTTCCGCCAGCCAACAGTGCCTCCAGTTGGGCGTGTTGGGGATTTATCGGTTTTGCTGGCTGCTGCTGCTGCTGAGTAGGGACAGGAGTCGACGGTGATGAGAACGAGGGCTGCTGGCCAAAGGCAGTCTGCTGGGATTGCTGCTGGAACTGACTGAATGAAGGGGTTTGTGTCCGTTGCTCCTGGAGGGCCGCGAGACTCGGTTGGCCATTGTTCCTTGGTGGCGACTGCGTACCATAGCTCATCTTCGGGGCGAATGGATTGTTTGAACCGGTAGGAAGGGGCACCATCGGTTGCGCCGGCTGCAGACCATTCGCGTAAGGGTTGTTGTTGCCCGGGGACATGTACGCGGTTTGCTGCGGACTGAGGTTACCGCCATTCGCGTACGGATTCTGCGCGGCGAAGCCAGTGGGTTGAGCGACCATCTGTTGCCCATATCCCTGCGGTTGCTGCATTTGCTGCTGCTGCTGCTGCATTTGCTGTTGCTGCTGAAGTTGCTGCTGCTGCTGCATTGCCTGCTGCATGTCAAATCCAGTTGGCTGGGGAAATTGCTGCTGATTCGCAAACTGCCCAGTTGGCTGTCCGTAAACACCATTCAAGTAGCCGGTGTTCTGCTGGTTCATCGGGTTACCCCAGAAATCCACCATCTGGCCTTGCTGGTAGTCTGGCTGCTGCTGGAACGCTGTCTGCTGGTACTGCAACGGCTGAGCTTGCTGTTGAACCGGGGCATCATCGAAAAGAGAGTCTGCGTTAATCTGTCCCTGCTCCTTCTGGGCACGCTCGCGCTCCGCTTCTTCCTTGCTCAACCGGATCGCCTTCGCCAGGTCATCATCGGGGACATTGCTCTGCGACTGTCTCTTCTTGTCTTCCTCCGCCTGGTTCTTGCTCGCCTCAATCGCCAATCTGTATTCCAGATCCTCCTCATCCGTCCTGGCGCTCGGGCCTGGGTTCGAGTGTCTCCGTGGGCGCTGCCGTTCCGACGACCGTCCGGGGTATCCATTAGACGAAGCAGAGTCCTCAATTCCAGACACCCGTGACTTCCACGATTTCCGATCCTTTCGTTCGTTACGCAGGCGTTCCTCGTCGAGCAGCAATGAGGTGAGCTCCTTCGCGGATACCCGAACTGTCACACCCCCACGTCAGCCGCTGCAACCACAATCTATGCAAACGCACATCATCCATACCATTCATTCCCTGATCCTTTCCTTCCTCGTCGACGTACTGGAACTCGCGCAGAGTCTTAATGATGTAAATGTTGTCCTTGGCCCATACAACCACGTGCTCGGAACCTTCGTGCAAGCAGTAGTCCAGCACTTTGAGTGCCTTCAACACGTGCCGCCAATTCTTTCCCTTGTCGTTCAACCGTTTGTCGAGCATGTCCATGATTTCAAAGAAATCTGTAGTCCTAGTACTTATAGCTGAGTTAGTACCGGTTTCGCTGGGCGTGCAAACAGAATGCGACAGGTTGGGAACTACGGGAAACACCTCAGGTGAGTGTGGGGGGAGACCAACGTATCAAACGTCATCCGAGCGATGTCGCTCATCTCTGTTCCCGTGGGACCCCATGGATCATTACTCGTAGCTAGGGTGGCCATCATCAGCAACTATCACTTCTGCCTCGGCCGACAAATCCAGCGTGTGGGAGAGCGCCAATCTCACCATTCCGTACCTTCACCTGGGTGTTCGAGTAACCCTTGGTGACATTCTTGACTGTTCTGATAACCTTAGACATGGTTGCTGTTGTGAGTGCGACAACAGACTACAAGCGGGAGGTGGAGGTGTCGATGGAGAAGGTCGCAGTAGGAGAGGTGGTTGTCGACAAGCGGGAGCGGGGGCGACGGGACAGGGACTGCGGCTCTGCGGATGGTCAATGCTATGCGTCCCTTCGTGTCGTATCTTCTTTCCAACTCCCAGGTCCGGGTGTGGGAAGCGGGGCTGGAAACTGTTGCGTGGCTATGCGACGACGGTCGACCGACCGAGAGTGATGGTGGATAGCTTGGGGGGTTGATGGTCCGACGAGCAGTGTCGCGGGCACGGTAGAAGAGCGGGTGGAGAGAGGGGGTGGAGAGGTGCGGGCGGCTAGGGGGATGGGCGGTGAAGGCGGGAAGGAGGGATATTGCCGCAAGTTTCGAGATGAGGTGTGTGTGGTTTGAGAGTAGGTGTGTATGGGGTGTATCTTTGGTGGTAGTAGTTACTAGTAGTGCAGTACGTAAGTAAAGCTTGGGTCAGGCGAATCCCAAGTCAAGTGCAACGGGAACGGGACCGGTACCTCCTTTTTTTTTCTACGCAAAGGTTCCCCGATGCCCGTGATGTCCGCTCTTCGCTTAATATGTTTTCCGGTTGCCCAGCAACTGTTACGCGTCCACTATGCCGGCAGCCCTTCGGGGAGTTGGGAACTTTGCCGTGCCGGATCCACAGTGTGGCGTGTGCCTGAAGTGAAGTGGCGTGCAACAAACGGCTGCGGCGTGTGGCTGTGGCGGAGCTCTGCTGTGCGTCTTGGCGTGTGCGTAAACTTACTGCTTGGCTGTGCGGTGTTGCGTACTTGTGTACCATTGGCGTACTCGTGTATCATTGCCTTAAGTCCCAGGTGCAACCGGTTACTTTGAAAGATAGCAACCCACCACTGAGTCTCCGTTTCACCTGACTCAGCCAGTTTGAAAGCAGTGGCCTACTTGAAGCCGCTGGATGCACGGCAGGGACGGTTATGGCTGTGAGATTTGATAATACGCGTCCAATGAAGCGTATAAGAAGGTCACGATCCCGCTATTTATCTTGGAGAATTAAATGTACAGAGTGATATTTCATGAACAGATGCATCACGTTGCGGAATTCCCACTGCTGAGATAGACTGGTTACAATCACGGGAACATACAAACGATAGTCCGAATATCACCTTTCTAATTGCATAGTCCATGAGCTTTTAGCTGTCAAATATGCAGCATTAGAGAATCGATACTCACCATAGCAAGCGAGCCGGCTGGCCGGGCCGGCTACGGTCTGCGCGCGAGTGAGGGAAACACCTGACACTCAAGCTTGGAAAGAGCAATAGTCGCTCACTCGTCAACCGCCATTGGGAGTAGATCGATTAGACGGTTCATATGACTCAAGAATACTTGCATAATTGCACAACTCACCATTAGTCCCTTAAGTGAATAGTTTGACCCGAAGACATGTCCCCAATCAAACGCACCTCTGATTCGATCAGCCCACGATAGATAGTAGAAAAAAACGTGCAAAGCCGGGCGGCCTAGCTTCCAAGAGACTCAATGGCGTAGTACAAGTTCCCAGAACGACAGTGGCCAGGTAGAATAAGAGCACAGGAAACATTGGCGCCTACATGAAGCGGAATGTCTCCAGTCGCACTACCGCTCGGATTTGAATCAAGCAATCTCGGAGAATACATATTTACTCGGGAATTTTTTCTTCTCCTACAGTCTCAATTCTACGGTATCGAAAAGAATTATACGCAGTGTTGCAAAGATACGCTTGCTAAAAAGCCGGAAGGACTACCGCAGTTCTTCCGAATACAAATTGTGACGTACTGTCCAGAATACAAGAAAAGTACCAGAGGATTACCTTATGATAGTTCATTGGTATTCAAATGACCGTGGTATTCTTCCCGTATCAATCGTATCCCACTTTTTGCTACTGTTCCTACACACAGGGTCTCCCATCCACTGCCAACCCCGACCTCGATCAGTCCGCAGGCAGCTCCCCTACCCACCGCCTTAGTCTGTCGCGGAAACATATGGAGCGCACCAAAGAAAATACGAATGAGAGTGCCCCCAGCGAGGCGTAACGAAAGGACCGAGTGATCGTAGTGATTCCAAGACTCAGAAACTCCCTACAATGTAGGCCCGCATCCACAAACGCATCCGCACTTCCTGTGGGAACGAGTGTGTTCCTGTGAGTATTCAACTAACCGTTCGCAGGACCGGTGGTGGGTGCTTGGAACATTCGGTGCGGTAGCGGGTCCAAATTCAGGTTTCTTTCCCTCTCTCTCCCTCTTGTACCTGTAGCTCCTGGACCCCAAGATACCACTTCACTCCATCTCGATCGTTCCAGTGAATCACCTCCACAAGTCCTTCCAACACACCCCACCATTTCCCCCTTCTCTATTTGGTAGCTCATTGGGGGTATCACATGCCTTAAACTTTCAGCAAACCATGGTACAGAAATATTGTCATATCCCCCGTATCCTACCATATCCTCCCATATCCACCCATATCCACCCATATCCACCCATATCAATACCATATCAATCCATATCCTCCCATATCCATCCATATCCATCCATATCCTCCCATATCCACCCATATCCACCCATATCGATCCGTATCCTCCCATATCCTCCCATATCACTGTGGATAGACCGTAGACAGGGTCCATCACCAGGGGAAAGTATCCAGCATACTCCGTGACAATCCACAGGGCGTGGAGTAGGGCACCGTATGGAGCTTCCAGCGACAGACCGAAGACGTGGTATGCACCTATCACATGACGGATGACGAGAACGAGGAGGCTACCTATCAAGGCCTAGACGCCGCGGTTCCGCACATCCTGATCCAGAAAACCTCTACATGGGCGGGGGGAATATCATAGGTACAATGCTTCACGGACGGGCAACGTACACAGACGAAGATAATTCTTCAGAGGCTAAACAGCTGAGGTACGCATTTGTGGGTTCAACACGATTAAGAGTGAGGAATGAGGACGTAGATGAGTTGGGTATATATGATACTTTTCGATCTCTGGCATTCACATCTGAGAGTGAGAGTGCTAGATACGGTACAAGGTGTAGAAGCCGACAGCGAATAATGACAGGTATCGCGAGGCAGAATGATCAAAACGACGAGCAGAGCGACTCCAAGGGGAGCGTGACGGTGGTCGCAATGCCGCAATTCCGCAGGCTCAAAGCCGCTCCACGCAATTAGGGGCAGTCTGTGCTAGGTACTCATGTCACAAAGTTACAGCTTCACTCGTTTACTGCCAGAAGGACAGCAAGACAGCAACCTCCCTGTTTACGTGTAGTCTAAGGAACGGTTCGGAGGCCACCTATGTTTTACATAGATCAGCGTCGCGATGAGACCAATCCGCAACCACGCCGCCGGGTTCGACCTCGTTCCGGACCCGCTCATCTAATCGTTGGCAGCCGGATTTCGCCTCTATCAGGTCGCAGTAGCCCGAACGTCCAATTGACGTGTCCAAGTATATGCCTCCAGTATATTAGCGGTTCCGGCGCCAAATTAATCGAGCGACGTGTCTATATAAATATGTGGGTTTACAATGGCAAAGGTTCGGCAGAACCTCCTGTCTGCGGTATCTGCGAATACGAGCAATCGGGTGTTATTACTCCTTCCTGCCTATATATTCGTTACTATTATCTTTGGGAGCGAGAGGAGATGGAGATTCACGAAATCTCTTCCGAAGTGCCACTTACAGGTTCCAACTGTTTATTCTGGCTAGAGGATTCCCCGTATTGCAGTTCTGAGAGATCATCAATGTCAGCCACCGGTAGAAGGGAAGAAATATACATGTGTATATATCAGCGCTACGAGGTGTCTCATTTGTGGCCATCGTGGTTGGCTATTAGTTACTGTTGAGACTACTGCTTCGTATAGGTAGCGTATCGGCGTCCTAATCCGGTCAAATAGTTCGATCATCCAGCCACTACTCTCACCTTATAAGATCTGAAATATAGGCGTCCAAGTGGCCGCATTCTCGTACGCATCCACAGAATATCACTCACAAGCATGACCTGCAAGTAAATCTGGGTAAGCTGGCTCGGATATCGGGAGAAAGCTGTCTCAGAGGCTGGGAGGTGCCTTCTCCAGCTGAATACATATCACGAACAAGCGTCAGACGGGCTGTGTTCTGCCACGATGGCTGATCGCACGTACGTGCGGAGCCGGGAGCTCTCTAGACGGTTTCCATAGCCGGAGTGGTGATTGATCTGGGTCACGATTACGTACCTACTTCTTATATCGAGCGCTGAGATTTTTCACGAATATCTGGGTAGTATATATGAATCGATGGGCACAGGAAGCGAGCTCGAAGCGGGCACTCAGCTAAGGCACGCGCTGGCCGCGTAACGGTGCTCGCTTCACAGAATCACAGGTGCAGTCCGGACGGACGGCCGGCGAGTGCGGCTGCATGAGGATGTGATCGTGGTTCCCATCAGCCATATGTATTCACATACAGTCGTCATGATCAGCGAACTGGCGGGGTGGGTCTTTATTCGGCTAGATAGGTTCGCTTCTGTCGTTGTGGTTTTATGTTTGGCTTCATATGATAACATCATGCCTCGCATATGGTGATCTGCCGACCTTCCAGATGGGTATATTATCTACTATGTTCGATGAACCGAGTGGGAGATGCGCGTGCACCACGCATGTTCGCTGCTGCATTAGATAAGGTGTATAGTATGTACCTTCATCTCACTCCCCAGCGTCATATAGAGGATGGGGGGGTTTCGACATCCGTTAAAGCCCCCCTCCACCCGCCCCACCCTCCTGACCTCCGTTGTTTCAAACAAAGCCCAGAAACGTGGTTCCGAGAACGTTGCCGCGCCACTGGTACCAGGGGGTTCCGCTTCATAGTTGGGTATAGACGAAACTTGCTGTGTGACAGATATATATATATCATCAGGGCAACGACCGTTATCGATCAAATCGATGACAGGAACGGGCCACCAATAGTGATGGCAGGCAGGCGGGCAGCAGGAACAGCAGCAGGAGCAGCAGGTAAGACGGCTTCCCCGCTTGTTCAGCACCCCCCGCATTAGTAGATTATGGATTGCAGAGTACTCAGCACCAGACAGGCCGGCCCATGTTGCGGGTCCGGCACGGAAGCCCTCGAAACGAAACTAACCAGCGTATAATCCCGGAAGGCCCCATGACTTACGG